AGTCTTGAAATTTTTGGATACCATGGCCAACAGAGACTCTTACCACCATCATCTCGACTTTTCGCACGACTAAAATCGTCAAAGCAAGCCTCGGTGGGGGGTTAGAATAGCTCAATAGAACATTCAGAATATCACCAAAGAATTCACAACGGCTCGAAAAAGTTTCGACAAGGATAGAATCGGAGTGAATAAGATTACAAGGAACTGTGGCAAAGGGAACGTACGACGCGATAAGGTTGTTCACCCAATTTGGAGGGAGTTTGAGTGCAGTGGTCCTAAAGGCTGTTACCCTGTTGGAGGTTCTGTTTGTTCAACCTAGTGAACCACTCTAGAAACAAGAACCAAGACCTCGAAGAATTCTTCATGAGGAACGGCAAGGAATTGACCCGGCACGGAAATGACGCAGACGCCGGTTTCAAGGCTGTGGAACAAAAAATTTCTTTACCTTCAAACAACGACGACAAAGTTTCTCGCTCACCTCCTCCTTACTCCTCTTCCATCCATACTCATCATTATAATCTTATACCATTACTCCCTCACATAATATGACCCGTGCATCTCCTGTTCCCGAAAATGAATCTAACCCCGACACAGAACGCACTCCTGCCGATAATAATTCCCCTACGACTCCAGGGGGAGACACATGCTGAAATTCGAGAGATCCCAGAAACCGTTGGGGTTTATTTGGCATTACCTTCTCGTGCCGCACAGCTGCTCAGCCGAAACATGCCGTAGCATGCTAGTTATCTGATCTATCGTGTCCTCACCAGGTTCTCCCTGCATCCGATTTCAATACGGCCTTGATGCATGTATAGCATAGATATGCGATGATGCTTCGTGGCTTCCATCTGCTCTTACTCTTAATGCTCTGTATCTTTCTGTGTTTTGCAACTATGCCCCCCTCCAGATATAGAGCTCGGAGATCATTTCGTCCAAAGTTCATTTACATATTTGAAATAGGAAACCTGCAATTTACTGCAATAACTGTGGCACTCCAATGAGACATTCTGCACAAATTCGCAATAGTGAATCAAGCACACATAATAAGATCCGGCATTGTTCGGCTAAGCGGCTGTGCGGCACTAGAAGGCAATGCCAAACAAACCCCAACGGTTTTTGGGATCTCTCGAATTTCAGTATGTGTCTCCCCCTGTACGACTCCCAACTCGCAATCACAATCACAATCGCAATCGCAATGGTCCATTGGAGAACGACCGCCGCCAGCAGCGGCCCATGTGTTGCTGAACGAATTGCAGGCGCCAGGCCCAACGAACGAAAAAGGCAAAGGTGCACTAAAAAAGGGAATGAGCAGTAAAAAGCTGGACACTCTAACGACGGGATCGTCTCCCTCATCGATCAAGCCTTCTACCTTGACCATTGGAAACGACGTCTTTACTATTCTCAAGCTGAATACTTCGGAAAAGAAGAACCGGATCATCGACGTGGGTAAGGTGGTAGATGCGAATTTTCGTGTCCTAGGCGGTCTTCACCTCGAACTCGAGAAAAGACTGACAGATCAAGGAGCTCGAGTCGCTGATGATGTTGCGGAGCTAGCTACACGAGTTGATAACCTGGAGGTAGCGGATGTCATGGGCAACGAAGACGTTCTCAACGACAACCCCTCGCAGTCAAGTCTCCTTGTTTCGGCGGGTGCGGGTATTCTGCGAGACTTGAAATCTCGTATTTCTGCACTGGAAGAGGCTCCGGATAACGAAGAAAGTACAGATGAGCACGTGGAGGTGCTGGAGAAATATGTAAAAAAGATGCGCGGGGACATTACAAATCTGAAGGACAAAGTGGAGCTCGACTGCCAATTTGCCAAGACCCTTGCCACCCCCAAAGATGTCAACAATGCACGTACGTTTGCAACGAAAGAGGTCGCAATGCTTCGCACCAAATTCTCGGACGAAATCAAAGCAGTACGGGGGCTCATCCCAAAGGAATCCATATCGAGACGAATAGCACCAGTCGAGTCCAGGATCGACATACTCAGTTCAAAGGTAGAGGATCTCGAGGGAAAGTTGAACCGCGCATTGGCCGAAAATGAACTCCTACGAGCTCAACTTCATTCAAAGGAGTTGCATCGAGGCCGAACTCCCTCAGTAACCCCCAACACATTTCCGCATTCCCGATCCCCCTCCCCTCGTCGACGTCAATCACAGGCCCTTGGTCGTTATCGCTCCCGCTCCTCTTCACCCTTCCCTCAACATCAATACCCTTTGCCGCCGCTGCCACCTCCTACTTCCATTTCCCGGAACAAGAGGGGACGCAGCAAAAGCCTGGATAGCAGACCACACAAAAGGGGTCAACAACATAATCCAGCGTCGGAAAAGGTGTCAATTTATGTGGGCCCTTTTCCCTCAACGTTCTGTGCACACACAATGGGTCTTTTTTTTTTTTTTTTTTTTTTTTAAACTCTTCATTAACCGCAAGTAAGTAAGTCTAGGTACTAAGGCGCGGGGAGTCACGGAAACAAATCAGTAATATCCTCGTCTGTTGCCTTTCTCCATTCTTCTGATATGGGTACACCTTGATTGGGTCCCTGCGTGGTGGTAGAGCTGTGGGTCGTAGGGTTGTTCAGTATGTATTTGTAGTGTATAAAGTAGTGTTCAGCCAGCAAAATGGCCTGATAAAGGAAAAGGAAAGTTTTCACACTCTGCCCGTGTAAGGAGAATAACCGTTAGGGAAAACCAAGTCCACATTGCAGGCGTATCCGCTCTGTGGCCTATCTGGCTCTTGCTGGACTTGGGCAGCTAACCTGTTACATCTCCTGCAACAGGAAAGCCAAAACCCACGCTAGCAAGTTGTGAGCTTGCCGCACCAACGGTCTCGGGTTTTGTGTTTCAGCTAGTAGGTGGTGGTATGGTATAGGTTGTGTTTGTTATATCTCGGTATCGGAGTTGTCGGAGTCTATGACCTCCTCCCTCCAATCAGCTTCCGGAGTCATTTCTTCCCCGGTTGGGCCATGGAACATGGCTTCAAGTTCCTCCCCGATGCCCAGTGGTGTGTACGTTGGTGCTTCAGCGATTGGGCGCTGTTTTCCTGTTTTAGTGAATGCCCCACTTTCTTCCAGGAACTCTGTGAGGGCCTCAATTCCTTCCTCCGTTCCAAGTATCTCTTTCAAGCAGATATCATCCGATGCTTTCCTGAGTATGTGCCGAAAGTTGTCATATCGAGGGCAGGCACGTAATATGTGTTCGCGGGTCTGCAGATCTTCGCCACAAGGGCAGTTAATGTTCTCACCAGGTACAAACTGAGCATAGTACTCGCCTAGGAAGGCATGGCCTGTCCGACATTGTGTTAGTCGTCCGAACACTTCCCTTGGTGTTTCCTTCAGCCGCTTTGTTGGTTTTAGGGAGGGTGGGAGCTGGTTGGCAATTGCGAAACGCCCATAGGTTGAACGTGATTCCCATTTCTTCTTCCATTCTCTCTCTGCCCGCACCTTATTTAACCGCAGAGCATTTGATTGTGACCTCCCCCACATTGCCTCATTTTTCTGTTCTGTTCCCATTTTGGCTAGGAAGTCAGCACGTTCATTGCCGATTATACCTATGTGGCTCGGCACCCATGCCACTTCAACTGAATGTAATGGGTCAGAGTCCAGAAACTCCACTACTTTTCGGTAGAAGTTAGAGCAATACACTTGGCCTGGCTTGGGAGAGGTGTCGAATATTGAGTCAATGCTTGAAGCGCTATCTGTGAAGAATTGCCAGTGAGTGATAGAGTCATCTTGGGAGGACATATTTGCTGCAAGGCCCGCGGCATAGCTGAGTGCAACAATCTCCCCATCATATGCTTCTGCATGAAAGCCCAGCCCAATGCTTCGGCTGAACATTTCTATATTATTCTGATAGGCCACTAGTCCTGCACCTGCTCTCCGTATACGGCGGATGGGTTTCAAAGACCCATCTGTATATATACACAGGTTTTTTGAATGTGATTGAAGGATACTTAGCTTTGTTTTGTGTTCTTGGACTTGTTTGTGCATTCTCTTCTTCTTGTCTTCCTCTTTCCCTTTAGGTGGTGGTGGGATAAAGCGGAGTCAGTTTCCAAAGTCTGATCCCACCCTTCGCCATGGTGGTGTGGAGAAGGGAAGGAGGCGTTCGTCGCTAGAGTTGGTGAGGCGCGCAATGTTCTGGAGTTGGGTTGTGCGGTTTTCATCTTTCTTGCCCTTCCGATTTAGCTTGTAGTGGACAGCTGGGGGGCGCGATGGTGGCCTTCCTGCTCTCCATGTATTATCAAGTCTTTGTATGATGGGGTTGGATGTACTTAGCTTGTTGAATCATAATGCACAGTTTCGGTTCAAGCAATTAAGTTCCACCCGAACCGGTGGAATAGATGCCTCAATCTCCATTGCTGCTATGGGTGTAGTGCGAAAGACTGCACAGATTAGTCGTAGTCCATGGTGTTGTACCTTCTCTAGTAGTCGTTCATGTGTAATCTTCCCCGTCCACCACGCTGCGCTTGCATATGTCATGACAGGAACCACGCAGCTCTTGTACATCATACGCATGTGGTAGGGTGATAGGCCCTTGACCGTGTTTGCGAGCATTATGAGAGAGCCCACTGCTTTGCCTGCACTTCCCGCAAGAGTCTTGACATGGTGGTTGAAGAGCAACTTCCGATCAAAGTATACTCCTAACCACTGTACAACTGCCTGGGGGGCTACAACTCGTGTCAAGCCATCATCATCGTGAAATGTGATTGAGGGAGAAACATTATTGTCACGTTTGCGGCGGGTGTAATGCATAAGTTCGCGTTTATCAAAATCAAATGATAAGCCTACTTTTTTCCCCCAGGGTACAATGACCTCGATCCAAATTGCTTTCAGGATTGCTGTGTTGAGTTCGAGTGAATATGAACACACATGGAGTTTCCCATCGTCCACAAACATGAATAGGTTGGGGGGCAGTGTCTCCTGTCCGTCGGAGCCTGGTGATTGTTGGTACTTTTGTGACCTGCACTCCAGTGTCTCCAGTAGTTCCGCTGCATAGAATGCTGATAGAATCGGGGAGAGTGGTGAACCCTGTGGGGTTCCGTTAGCAACATCTTCAAGATTAGAAGTGATACCATCTACGCAGACAGCGGCTTTGCGGTCTGACAGAAAGTATTTCACAAATTGGACTATCTGTAGCGGAATGCCTTTCCTGCGAAGTTCATACAGTAAGCGATCATGATTAACAAAGTCAAAGAATCCCTTAATGTCAAAGGTGAGTGCCGATGTGACCATGTCATGGTTCCATGCTGCTTGTACGTCATTCACGAATGAGAGAATTGCGTCTGTGGTTGATAGCCCCGCACGACCCCCAAATTGTTGGGCAGGTATCAGGTTATGTGCCGATGCCATGTACTGTAACCGTCGGGCTACTATCTTCTCCAAAACCTTCCCCAGACACTCCAGGAGGGTAATGAGACGGTAAGCTCTTGGTTTTGAGTAATCTGGCTTTCTTGGTTTTCTGAGTGCGACCACAATTGCTTTGCGCCAAGCCCGTGGGTGATATCCTGCACGAAGACATTGCCTATAAAGTGCTGTCATAACGTTACGTTGCGACTGGAAGGCCCACTTCACCTGACGGTATGACTGTTGTGAGAAGCCTGGTGCCGAGGTGTTGGATGTATCTTTTATTGCCTCAGCCACTTCTGTCTCTGTGACTTCCTGGTAGGGGAGATCACCTGGTAGTGTATCTGTGATGTTAATTGGGTACTCATCTGGTAATGCAGGGGGTGGTTGGTATAGCTTATCGCGTAGAGCCTTGCACTTCTCGGCATGTGTTGTAGCTGGTAGTTGACCTGGCCGTTCTATAGCTGGCATTGGGTACTGCCTCCCGCCCTTGGACCACTTCCGAAAGCTGTAGATATCCTCTGGATGTGCTTCCTCAACTGTTCTGACTGCCCACTCCTGTTTCTTCCACTTCGTGAGCCGGTGGAAATGGTTCTTTTCATGTTTGGCGGATTTCTCCAGCCATTCATTTGAGAAGCCGTTTTCCATTCAGTTGTGGCGACGGACACGTTCTGCAACCTGAACCCGATTCAGAGCCTCTGCACATGCCCCATCCCACCAGGGCTTGGCTCTTGTGCTCGGGACACACAATGGGTCATGTGCGACGTTGGTTCTCGGACGTGGTGCAGCCCACATATTGCCCATATGTGCTTGAGGCAACGAATGGATATTACCAAATTTCTTTTGGCTTGCGTGCTGATGCCGATGGCTTCATTGCCTCTTGGAATGCGAACTTCTCGAAATCTGAGCTGAGGAGTTATCACGGTATCCACATCAGGCAGGGGGATTTTTGAACAGGGCTGAGGATCTAAAGCATGTCAGGGAGAGTAGCCATAGTTCCGATTCTATGATAACAAATGATGATGTATACGACGAAAATGTTATTAGAATCCTTTCTTGGAATGTTCATGGTGATTTCTCTGTCAAAATGCTCAGCCCTGAATTTCGAAACATGCTTTTACAATATGATATAGTACTCATTCAAGAAACACACTTATGTACTGAGGAAGAAGAAGCATTACTCAAACTCGATGGTTTTAACTTCTTTGTACAATCACGTACCACTGCCAGGAAGTGGGAGAAGCAGCATGGGGGGTCTGTGCTTTTGTTCGGAAAGGAATAGCAGTGTCAAAGTCGAAGCTTTCATCAGCAGACATTCTCGTGCTTGATTTTGGTAGACTATGGGTTATTAATGCATACATCTTGCCTGCACTATCTCGATATATACATTTCACAGATGTATCTCCCGAAGAAAAGTTATTTGAGACAATACGATTATGTGCATTGGTGGACATGTCAAAAAAGACTGTTGTGGCTACTGATGCAAATGGGCGGACTTCTTCGAGGGTGCCTACTGATACACACCTGACACGAATATCACAAGACAAGGAAACCAATGCAAGGGGTCTGCGTATCTTACAATTATGCGATGAGATGAACTTGGCAATTGTGAATGGCACGGAATTGGAATCTCCACATCGGGGGTCTTACACGTCCCACCAACACAATGGCAAAGCTGTGGTAGACTACATTCTAGTATCACAAGCACTGTGCACATTGATCAAAAATCTGAGCATTGAGGTCCGACCAGTGTCAAAGAAAGACCAATGGTCAGACCACTCGAAACTCTCATTGGTGATTTCACCAGAGATTTGCACTGATCTGCAAAACCTGGATATTCGGCTAAGGGTCCGAAAGCAGTTGAAAGCATTTCCCAGCAGTGAAAGCACTCAGAGCAGCCTGCTCTCAGTGCTTTCGGTACTGGGATCTGCTGGGATCTGCTCTCAGCCCTTAGCCGAATATCCATGTTTTGCAGATGGCATCATGACGGCAAATCAATCCACTCAACAAAAGAATCCGCTTTCAATTCCAGTACATGATGAAAGGACTGACATCATCTATAACGAGGTGCTGCAGAGTGCAAAACCTCCACACCAGTTGCTCCGTGATTTTTATGGTCCTGTTTACTATGACAAAAATCCAATCTCTGTGTATACTGATGGTTCATGCTTGGATAATGGGAAAGAAAGTGCAAGAGCTGGATCAGGAATATGCTTTGGGCTACGGTCCAACCAGAACATTAGCCTCAGAGTACCAGGCCCAGGAGACCCCACAAATAATAGAGCCGAAGCATACGCTGTCCTGATGTTATTGTTAAATGTTGACCCTAAACGTGCACTGAACATCTACTGTGATTCAACATATGTCATCCGAGAATGCTGCTATTGGGCAGGCCAACATCTATCTACGGGATGGAAGATGTCAAATGGAGACCTATTGAAAGACATTTGCTTATTACTAAAATATTGTCTGGCTCTCACCCGCTTTATATGGGTTAAAGGACATAGTGGCATTCCGCAAAATGAACTGGCAGATGAATTGGCAAAAACAGGTTGCACAAAAAGGATTCCAAGGGATTATACCTGCCTAATTACTGCACCATGGGAGTGTAACCCAGGAAACAAGTTAGCAATTGATGTTCAGAAAGTCACCACTGACCTACCAGAGCATGCTGAACCAGGAGCAATGAATGCTACTCCAACAATCTTAACAGTGGAAAGTGGTCATCGCGGAAGGTCAAAAGTTGGAAAAATCCGTCATGAAAACCTTGTCAAATTGCGCAATTGTAAGACTAATGCTCAATTCTGGATGTTATATAAGTCATGGCTAGATCCAAAAGCAAAAGACTTTGAGCTTTCACTCAATCACCTATATACAGAGTTTAAGACAAGGTTGAATTCACCTTTGGTCCCATCATTGCAGTTGAATCACAATCACCTGTCATATCTAAAGCACCTAGAAGCAATGCTACCAGAAACCAACTTGGACCCAACAGAGCAGGGGTTTTTTAGCTGCCCAATTCAAGAAGATGAAGTAGCTGAAGCCAAGGAACACATACTTCAATGTAACCTGAACAGTGCCATGGGCTCCGATCGCATATCATACAAGGAAATTATGGACATCCCCAATGAGAATATAGTCTCATTTCTCAATCACTGTGTTGTAAACAAGACTGCACCCTCGCAATGGCTTTATGCAATAGTGATTGGTATTCTAAAACCAGGGAAGAATGCTTCAGACCCAAGTGGCTACCGCCTCATTGTATTAGAATGTTGTTTTGCAAAATTGTTGGCCTACATTATTGACCGTAGGATAAGGTCTTATTCAGATCTAAAGCAATTAATACCTGATTCACAAAATGGCTTCAGACCTACATACCGAACAACTAACAACCCACTAATTTTGAGGACTATGGTGGATAAGGCTGAAGCTCTGGGCAACCCACTATATTTTGCATATATGGACTGGACAAATGCATTTCCCTCCACTGATAGATCTGTAATGTGGATTAAATTATTCTCAATGGGAGTGAAAGGTCCAATGATTGACTGGATATGTATGCTCTATGCAAAAATTGCTTATGTTGTCAGAGTTTGTGGCTCTCACTCTGAACCTTTTGGCGGTAATATGGGGGTCATTACAGGCAGTCCGGACTCACCAAACTTGTTTAATCTGGTTGTTGCAGATTTTAAAGTGACTGAACACCCAACAGATGTGGTTCTTCATGATATGTATGTCAACCACATGTTGCAAGCAGATGACACAGGAATGGCTGGGACAACACCATCTAGCATTCAATCTAAGCTTAGACAATTTGAAGCATATGCATCCTTCACAGGTTTTGAGGTATCTGTGCCTAAATGTATGATTGCAGTATTTGGAAAGGAAGTTGTCACTGACACTGTTTTCATGCTACATGACAAACCTTTGCAAAAGAAGAAGAAACTGAAATATATTGGGGTACATCATCAGACTGGTCGAGGAAGCATATACAAAGACAACTATCAGGTACTTGCAGATAAGGCTAAGAATGCTGCAGGTGCAGTCCTTCATGCTAAGGCTTTTGTAGGCAGTGACATGCCAATAAGGGATATGATTACGATGTACTGGGCTAGAATTGACCCATATTTGAAAAGTGGTGCCGAGTTCATTATGGATGTGGTTGCATCTCATAGAGACCAATTAGAGGAAGTACAACATTATTTCTTACGGAGGGTTCTCTCTTTACAAAAACGATCATCAACCCAGATTCTGTTCACCGGAACGGGAGTGATGCCAATCCGCTATCGAAGAATTATTCTTTTCTTCAAGAACATGCAGTACCTGGTCAATTTACCACATCATCATCTCGCATGGAAAGCATTCAGAGAAGCTTACTCTTTGGCTCAAAATGGACACACATCAATAATTTTGGAGGCATGCAGAGTACTTGACAGCCTGCCAATTCCATTCACTTAGAACATTCCAGAGTTTGAGGATATCACTACTGCATACCTGAATGATCTAATCACTGGCATTCAAAATTCCATGGAGAAGACTCTACAAAAGGCTGTGATATCTTGTCCCAGAACAATGGACACTCTGAAAGAACGAAAGGAGTATGACCGGAAACAGAAAAAGATGGTCTTTAAAGCTCTGACTTTTCGACACTATTTGAATGTCCCAACAGGTTCACATCGGAAAGCACTGATCCACATTGTGACTGGCAATCACCAGCTTGCTGTGGAACGGTTGCGCTGGGATGAGAGAAACAGACCTCGAATAATCAGAGAGCTCCGGTTGTGCCGTCTTTGTAAAGGCTCAGTCAAGGATCCTGCCCATGTTTTATTTGAATGTAAGGGCAGTCTTGAATTGATCAAATTAAGGGAGACTTTCATGCACAAAGTAACCCTGGGACTTCCACAATATGCAAAATTCTATCCAGATGCATGGATGCTGTTCCGCACCTTATTGGCTGATACAAGAATCACGGAATTGTTTGCAAAGTTGGCATATGATGTTTTAGAAGTTGTATATGGGGTTGAAATCTTTGTCCCATCTTGATGCAAAGGTTGCTTGCATGCATTGTCGAGACGGGGAAGACCGTGCACGTCTCACGAGGTTTTTTTCCTGCTTTTTCCTCATCAAGTGTGAGAGTGGCATTATCGCCCCCCCGTCTTAGAAATGTGTGTTCCAATACTGTAATCTAAGTAGAGATTGTACAGTATGGTAAACTGGTCGTTCGGGAATCGGACCTCGCCAGTATAATTTAACTATCCTATCCTATCCTATCCATGGCAATATTTCATTCTATAACGTGACAAAAGAGATTGGATATGTGCCGCAGAGTTTGCTGAAAGCCTTGCAATCCATGCAATGTGACCGGATTCAGCATCTATCCCTTGATATCTTTTACAAGGGACCCACCACCATTGATGATGAGCTAGAGAGCGAAGAGCCTTTTAAATGGAAGACTCTCAGTAGGTTCCTTGGCGAAAAGCAAAACCTCCATGACGTTCACTTCAATTACTGGCTTGACGAGAATTATGATGGAGATCTTGCATACTATCACACAGAAGATGTTCATTACTACTTTTCTTCACTTCTTCTTAAACAAACTTCTGTACATTTTTCTGCCGCTAGGTGTTCTTTAATTTCTTATGTACCACCCTGTTCATGCAGTTTACAGAACTTCTTCGGCGAGTAGATGCAAATGTAGCTGCCGGTGTTGCCAGTAAAACATCCACATTCAGACACTTTTTGGACACGTCAGTTGATCACCACATCTTGTTTGTGGTTGCGATGAACCACTTCTATCCCCTTCCACACAATCCTACAAAATCATATATCTGACTAGGTTTACCTATCTTTTTACAAACGGTTGTTGTCTTTCATTTTATGAATTTTCAACCGGTTCCAGACAGACAAAAAAACACGGGTATAGATAATTGCATTCACCTGACCCATATAACTGACTGACTTTCGAATTCTTCCCAGTCCGCTATTACCACACTCTGCTGCGCTGGAGTTGATTCTTGCTAGAGTAGAATCCACCTCCATGTAACTTTTGAGAAATGAAGAGCTTGAACACCGTGAATGCCCATATGCGTGGAACCCATCTATCGTGAATTTTGTGTCTGCAAAGAATTCTGGCTCTCGCGTCATGCAGTATGGGCCCAATGCACAGGCGAAATCATATATTACGCGTTTTGGTGCTCGCTTCCACCTGGTGACCATTGCGGAGAACACGTCATTCCTCCCCTCACTTTCTGGGATGCAATGGAATCCATAGGCTATGCTATGTGTACACCAGCACACCATGATCCCACCGGTAAGTCGTTTTTTGCCATATGTGTCATAGTACTTCAAGCAAGCCCCACCACGTTCAGAGTTCGCATCAGCTTGCCCATCTTTCTGAATTTCTGGGTACTTGGGCCATCTGCGGACTTGCGACATTCCGTAACAGCACCCTGACTATGCTTCGTTGAGTATATACATTCATTCAACTTAATGTATTGCTTACCTCCTCCCAGCTCTCGTTTCCTATCTCTGCTGCTTCTAACAGGGGGATAGGACTGGTTACGCCTTCCAAGACTCTCTTCAACACCTCATATCCACGCTCATACATCCACTCGCAAAGCCCCAGATCCAAGATCCGTTGATTGCTTGGCTTCCCCTGCTCCTTCTGGATGATATGGAACATGGATGGGAGACAATGTAACGCTGATGCTGTGTCCTTATCTGGATGTTCTATGAATGCATGTAGCGCTTTCAATGATGTGACATTAATAGTCTGAAGCGCAGATTCTTCTGCGCTTATCTGAAATGACAATTAGCTTACGCTCTCATGTTCTACCGATTCGGCGAAATTAGAACATACCATCTGGAAGAAAGCTTTATATTCTCTCTGTGGTTTCCACCTTCCGCTCTTGTCCAGCACTTTATCCCCCAAATGCTCATCAAACACCACTGCCAAGGTCTTGTTCACGCAACGAAGGCTTTCCAAAATACCTGGATATTCCCTCTGTCTCTCTTCTGCAGCCCCTTGCTCTTTCTCGTCATTACCACAGCCCAAACCCCCTTTTGCAATCCAGTGGTGTAAGTGTTTACGCGCAACACTATCTTCAAGCCACTCCTTTCTTTTTGTCACAGTACGTGGACGAATAGGTGAATCTGCATCTACTGCCGTAGGTGGTCTCAGACCAGCCCTGAGCTGTTTCCTCGCATAGGCCAGAGTTACCCCATCCCAAATGACATTCTCGGGTGCTTTGCCACAACACTCACACCACTTATCTCCTTCGAAGTTTATCAATTGAGCATAAGCAAACCAAGCTGCGCGGAAAGTATCGTTGCCCACAAAAGGTAAGGAATTGTCTTCAGCTTGATACCTTCGACTAATCTGTTGCACCCAGGCATCAAACGGTGTCTCAGAAGAAGTGAATGCACTGGTGTATTCATCCAGTAGCTCATGCGTGAAAAGCAGAGAATTATTGAGATTGAATAAACCCAGGGATCGTGTTTCTGGACCGACATAGCGCCTTTCACAAGATGAACACTTCTGAAGCTCAATATTGGCCCGTACAGCTTTACTCAGAGTGTACACAGTACAATTCCGTAGGAACGTAGGCGGACTGTCATCATACATTTGTTGGCCTCCATCACGACAAGTGCAAGATCCTTCACCCCCCTGTATGGATACTGTCTCAGGAACTTGACGGAGTGGTGGAGGACGAAGATATAGTTTCACGTCTGATTCGAGTTCGCACCATTTGGGTGGCAGTACGAGTTTGAAAGATATAGCATGATCTTGCTTCTTTGACACCTGGTCTGCTGTAAAACGGTAAGATATTTATTATTATCAACTAAGACGACTTACTAAGGTTCATCCCCTCAATCTCCTCCCTTGTCTCCTCTAGTTCGTCATCGCTATCAATTTCCTGTATTCCCTTCTTCAAGAACTGCTTTGCTGCTATGATGTGGATGCATTGGGTACCATCTCGCTGACACCGCCAAAGACCATCGCCCTCATCGCGACCTTCATGAACTACGATAGCTTGACCATGCAAACTCAAACCGCTTCCGTTTTTTGCCACTGAGAAACGATGTATAACCTGTCCACTGCTTCCTGCCTCTTGGTGAAAAAGTACAGTCCTAACTGGTCGTTCTAGTCAATGACTATCAATAATGCTTCTCATCATATATGAAGCTCCTACCTGGCACACGCTCTTCAATCTGTTGATCAGACACCATATATTTGCAAAAGTACCGTTGGTGGATGCAGTTGTGATCACCCTGCCCACACATACAAACAGGAATCAAGTCCGGTCCTTGCTGGGCTGCCTCAAAATGGAACCATTGTCGCTTTTTAGCAAAGTTAGTCATCCAAAAAATTGAGGCTTGGTGGAATGCTCACTGTTCCCTCTTTCTTCTTTGCAGACCATCCTTGCACCACATATAAGCTTCCACCTATCGGCAAGAAGGCCACAACGTTCCGCTCCACAGCATCACAGTACGCTTCATCTGCATCACCTTCTACCACAGATTCTTCCGCACTGTTTCCAATCTCAGGCTCCTGAAACTGAGCGTGGTTGCTTCGATCCATATCTGGATTGAACATCACGATATCGGGGTCCAAAATGAAATCTGCCTGCTCCGCAATCTCGGGCTCTGAAAAGGAACCCTCTTCCAAGGGAGTGGAGGCTGAATCCTGCGTGTATGAGGATGCTTCAGGCTGTAGTGGCAAGGTTCGTCTTCTGGAATTTTGTACTCGATGGCCTCCTGATGCCATTACATTTCGGCGCATTTTTCCTCTCTTAACCGGACTAGTACTTGGTCCGGCATTGGCGTGAGCAATGCGAAAGGGATACGAGCTTCCTGTGGAGTTTTTTACCACATTCCGTCGCAAAGAAACTGGACTTTCATCCGGCATGGGTAAGAAATCAGACTAGGGCAAGATATGAGAGCGGTTGCTTCAAATTTCAAAGATGATGACATAAATAGCCTAGATTGTCCGCACCACCCTGTGCTCTCTCATCTCTGCCACCATGACACATAGCCACAAGAAGAAATCCCGCTCCTCACCTCGGAAACCCAAAACACCTACTGCTGTAGTGAAAAATGTCACTACGGTTTCTCAAAAGACCAAAGGAGCTCCTCGTTACTGCAAAACATGTCCAGGCCACCCATTAAGAGCTTCAATTGAGTGCCAGCATAGTGCTATTTGGCGGAAGGCAGTATGTTTCGAATTTTCAGTTTCCCGTGAATCGAAAACCAACCATCCTTGCAGAATGCTTCCTCCAGGACTCAGGAAATTTCCAATGGTAACAACACTGATCAACAATCTGCAGTAGGTGGTTTTTATCTTGCAACAAAGTTACGCTTTCATGACTTGCTTGCTAGACCACTCCGGGCGATATTCTTGGACTTCTCCCACAAGCCCCGCCATGTACCCCAACTCAAGGGCATACTGAACGCTCATCTAGAGTAGGCATCACATAACAGACTAAGAATGTGACTTATATTTGTTAGATTTGCAGTATGAATCCAATGGAATTCTGGGCCTTTCTCGTCCAAAGACCACACTGCCCACCGGTGCTAGATCCGAGTCCGAGCATGAGCCATTGCCGGGCTCAGGGCGTAACCCTGACAAAGTATGTTCAATGTTTAAAACTCAATCTATACGCATTATGATTCATTGACATCTAGGAGTTGCCCTTTCCTTTGGATCCGGCACTTCAGATCACAGATATCATGTCGGCTGTTCACCGCAGTCATGGTCCATTATCATCGCCAGTTGTGTCTACATATGCTGCCAGTCCCAGCATTCACAGCAGTGGACGTGGTCCATTATCATCACCAGGATCTGGTTTGGTAGCAGCTAACAGATTGCGAGTGCGTGTTTCTAAAGATAATGCAACCTATGGCTGGGTTGAAGGGGCGGGCCGTGGCCAGTTTCCTTTAGGCGAGGCACTTTGCAACTTAACCGTCATTTGAACATTGTGACTGATTAGAACAGTAGAACTTGTGCGACCACGCGAACTGCCACCTCCTCGCTCAACAACTGATGAGCAGGGTCAGCGTTTCCGTCGTCTCATGCCCAATGTTATTGCTGCGGTATGTTTTCTCTAATGTACCTCTCTGTTTTAAATAAAGTTGATGACATTAATTAGTGTGAATGAATGGCATCGGAAAGCAATTGTTGGGTTTATATCGCAGGCCAGCACCCCAATGCTAGGATTCCTTTCTTGCATTTTGCTTCAAACCGCTTGAGACTTGAAGCACCATCTGTCCTCGATGAACTTCATGGCAGTGCAGATCATCTTTTTACCTCTCTTCTCAGCTCCCGTCGCCAAGAGGCGGCCGAACTTACTGACAAACTGTTACTAGCTCAAAATCGGATCAAGGAGCTGGAGTCTGAAAAAGTCGCATGGGAGCAGGCCAATGGGAGTCTCAATTAAGTGTTTGTATTTATTGTCCAAGCTATAGTGTAAGATTATTGCATGTGGCTACAAACTCGCTGTTTTGTGTATGCACTTCAGGCTTCAAAGTCTGTTCGGGGCTTGCCTTTGGCTCACCCTGTGTTTTTTCTCTTGCGTCCTCGGAATTTTTTAAAATAGAGTGACAAAGTTCTTGGGTGGTATTTCTCTGAAGAGTGAGAGTTGGCAGTCGTTCGTAAAATTGTCTCAGTAGTGAAATAGAGGCAGAGATACCTGCAGGCACCTATGAGCGCCTACGGAAGTTTGGAGAGCAGGAGTCCAATACACCATCACTCATTAAGTAGCTTCTGGTAGTCAAGTCAATCTCAACGCCCATTCCGAATTCATACAACCTTAGGGTCCCATAAGTGCGAAATTTGAAATGACCATTCCCACCCATTTTCAGGGGTCCTTGTTCCGAGGAAATGTGACTGACGGTTTTGTCAGTGCAATTTGAGTGATGCAGCAAAATGCTTTTATAGAGGAATATGACTGCTATGTAGCTTCATACGCAGACTGAGTAGCTTCCCAGCAAGCCACCGAGCTAGTTCCCAGTAAATCCAACCAGGGAAGTGGCATCGGAATGATTAATGTGTCGAAATTGGGCAAACCTTGGTGCTCTCCTGCCAAGTTTGGTTTCCAAGATTGCCTTCTCCAGCCTTCATCGAAATGTTCAAATGACTGATCCACATATGAAGCCTTATGCACAATTTTATGCAACCCTTGCTACTCAGGCAGTGCTAAGTCAGTACTTGTGCTTGACAAGCTTTGCCGTACTGGGTCACTTATACTTTGGTCAGTTGTGGCACCTCATCTTAGCTAGAATCATAATCCAGGAATAACTCACTTCATTGGACTTGATATTATATGATCTATCAAATCAAAACCCGAGATAGTATTCAGAGCTGTTGAATGAGGATAATAGTATATAGTCTACATACTCTAATATACCCACTGAGGTCAACAGAAAATTGACCACTTTTGTATTGAAACCGTGCTCAAGAAGGATATAATTTTACGGGGAACAATCAAAGGCAACAAGGCACTAGAATTCGACGCAAACTCAACATATTTTACTGGAAAAGAATTGAGGACAGCATCCAGGATCTCCTTCGTTGTAGGTCCTATGATTTTCAATGTATGCACATGCATATAAGGCGAGAGAGATGACCTTACTACATGCATATTAGGAGTGAAAGACAGATACCGTGAAAGATGACCTTTCATTATCCGAGAACGACAGTGTTGTTCTATAAACCCTTTGTTGCTGTATGTGTTCATTTTATTCGCTGGTACTAACACACATAAAATGTATACCAGGCATAGAGACACCATGTCAACATTGGTGATGCTTTTGAGTTGGTCTAATGCATGGGATATCCACCCTTGCTAAATATTGCTTTGTGTTTGCAGACGACACAAAAAAATACAACGGGCATACCAGTGAAATTACATTTAACTCACTGCCACTGGTGATATGATTAGATACTCTTACCAAGTCTAACATGACTACAGAAGGAGACCAGTTGCACACTTGCAAAACTGGGATAAGGACATCTGTTTTTGCCAAAATACACATTACCGAGTCCGAAATGAAACGTTTGCAAAAATTCCACAGATGGCACAAAAAATACAATGGACAGGTCGTGAAAATTATCATAACTCACTGGTGGCATTACGAGATTCTCATCCTAGTCTAATATGATTAAGGAAGAATCTCATTATACATTCAGAAAACTGGGTCAGGATTTTGGCAACTGTTGGCGACCATTGGCGACCTTTCAGCGCTAAAGTAGGTGCACTTGACACTCAAACCCAATGAGATTGTGAAAATAGGTATTTCAATAAAATAATCTATTTTGTAAGAAAAGTCAAGCAGGCCACACCTTTCCCTATCTGCTTCTGCATTATACAAGCTTCAAAGTACATAAGTTTGAAGTCTACTTGTTTCTCCGGCAGCTGTCGAAGAAGCAAGTGACTAATCTCAGAAGCCAACTTTTCACCAGCGTCTACATGTGATTTGTACCGTCTCAGTTCCATAAAATCATCTGAGGGGAGGGTATCCCAGAAGCGTACTCCTCCAAATTCACGCTCCCATAACTGATATCGTTCATATAGCACTGCGAACTGATTATACAGCGAGGCAAACTCTGGTGAGCGTTTCTGGCGGAGCATCTGGTGTAAGTGAAATTGTACATCTAGGGAAGTTGACGAGGTCTTCGAATACTATTAGGCCGGACTAAAATATTAAGGCCTGAAAGAAACAAACCTGTGAGCTATTGATTCGTGGCTGTTCGAATGGCTTCAAGGTCCTGTTCTTGGTTTCCTTACTAGGTAGATTAGTGTCAATATCCGTTGGGGATATAGCTTGTGAATTTGGTCTGATAGTTACTCTGAGTGTCCTGCTTATAGGATTTTGCAGAGGACATACGTTTCTGAATAAGCTTGATTTTTAGTGCTTCGGTGACTACGATACCAATTTTTGCCTTGCTGATTGTGTTTGGCTGCATTTCTAGATGGTCCTTAGTCAATGATGAATGTCTGACACAAATGAAAAGGGGACCTTCGGTAGTATGCTTGATGTTTGGTGAGCTTCGCGGGGGGCTGAGAGCATCCAAAGTCAGTCGACATGCTGGAGGCAATCCTCACACCTGAAGCTAATTTCTATTATGGATTGTTCTTAATCTGAGAAGAAAGATCGGAATATTTCGAAATCTGATAAGCACAGGAGTGAGAGGTATTCCGTCGCTGACCAAGTAAGACGTCGGGGTTGCATGTGTACACCGGACAATGATGACCAAATCAGGTGAAGTGGACTGGGTTACAACTCAACATATACCCACGTACCAAGAAACAAGACATTCATTACATCAAGATCGAAGGAAAAAACCCAATTGTCATCCATCTCCAACATCCGCCATGTTGAGCACCACCAAGATGTCCAAAATAAAGGCAATAGCCCCCGAGTCTCTGTCGTCGCAGGAAATGATTACATGTGAGCTGGAATTGTAGGTCCTCATCAGTGGACTGACCGCACCCAACTATTCAGATATTTCAGATCTCATAAACGCAAGACCAGAACAAAAAAGCCCAACGTCCAGGACCTCATTGGTGAGAAGCTGGCAAAGAGCAAAACGCTGCATGAGCAGCGAGTGATTGTGCAAGCAAAGCTTGACTTGCTTCATAAATTCAAACAATGTGAATCGTCATCACCTTGCAGCTGGCATATAACTCACCTAAATCTTAGCTCACCGGCAATGTTTGTGTCACGGCCATGACATTGGACTCGAGATATTAATTCTTACCACTAGATGCTGGCCCTTCAAATGCAACAGTAAACCCTCAGGAAGAAAGAGGACAAAACGCTTCAAATAGTGATGGTCAGTTTCGGTCTTCTCGTATGAGCTTGTTATTCACAGTAAACAGAATCGGACCTCACCGACATTGACGAAGAAGATCAAACTGTTACCACTGGCAAGCATAATATCAAAGACTCTTCAAAGCATGCCATTAGGAATGGTAGAAGAGGTATAGAGAAACAGGGGCAACTATCAGAGGCACCGACCAAGGCACATATTGACATTGAGAGAGCTGAGTATGGTGAGCGCCAAAGACGATACAAAGATATTCAAATTTCTGATGTTCTCTTAAGCTTTTATCACCGAAACCGACCAGAAAGCTGGTAAGTAATTCCTATGTTATTGCTATGGTCCTTTTTCAAGATGCTCTAGCGTTGATTGGTTCATCTACTGAGCCGAGGATCGGCGATCCAAAGGAAATTCAAGCCACTGGTCAGTAAGATGCATTCTACAACATAATAATTAGTGACCTCATGACACAGAAATGAAAGCTGCATACGTCGATAAAGGATCCTCTCAAACTCAGGACACACAAAATCTTGTCGATAGCGAGAAGCCTGTGGGCATGGGTGAGTAATCAGCTTGATGGAAAAGAACTAATTGTCATATGCATGCAATTCATCCCATACGCTTCCCGGCCCGGCCCGGAGCGGCCGGACTTCGGAATAATAACCTTGTGACCATCATTGTATTTATTTATTGTTCCGAGCTTTCATCGAGGTCTTCTGACTGTATCTGGGATGTATATAAGCTAGAATACTTTGTACGTTGTAGTCAAGCTTGAAATCAAGTGTACCATCCTATCCTAGTCTTTAATATCTTCTTTACCCTTTGCTTCCGGACTCCCGGATCATCAGGAACCCCACTAGGCTGCTCATCTTGACATTATATCCTTGCCATTATATTCCCGGGGACACCAACAGTGTGTGAAGGGTGTTGCTAATAGCTTCACCGACGTCCCACTCCCAGTGTGTACTACAGGCCAATACTCAGTTCCGGACCTCGGAGTTATCCCGGGCCATTCCCGGGCCAGATCCGGCCTCAGAACCTCTATAGCTATTGACCTGTAGGCACGGTCTTGTCACTAATGCTTAGTCGTTAAGAGATATGCACACTGTGACTGCCCAGGAAAACGAGGTGCAAGTAGACAAGTCCACTGAGAACAGGGATGGGGATGGGGATGGAGCCCTTGGAGCACTGGACTCGAAAGGTACGGGTTAGCGAAGCAATTGAAATGATATATGTATACCTACCAATTGACAGGGGAACGTACTGCCATTGCCGGGCCAAAAAAAAGGAAGCCAGCAGAAGGTACCACGGGACTCACTACTACGGGCGAGGGTCCTGCAAAGAAGTCGAGGAAATCTTCTCGCCCAGGCCCAGGAAAAAACTCAAAGGAAATGAAGAGTCGGACTGACAGCGGCACAGAGGAGCAAATGTCAGAGGTTGCCGAAGATGGTAAATTCAATGAAGATAATGATTTGGATGACGACGATACCATCATCAACCTCGTAGGCCCAAGGCATCCTGACGAAAAGATGGGTAAGCGACTGAATGATTTCTGGGTGTTTTGCTGCTCAAGATTGCTTAGCTGATTTCAACAAACGAAGAGCGAAGATGGATCAACTCCAAGGTAAGACTCACTTTATTACTCGATTTATTGTTAAGACCATTGCTTCTGTAGCCAAGGCCCGTAAAGAATTCCGACTTTTCCATGAATACCCCATTGGAGGAAAAATCAGCCCAAGGATTCGTCGGCTGAGCCAGGAAGTACCATGGTTCATCCCAGAGGGCGGAACTATGAGCAGAGAGTTGTCGGTAAAACTTCTTACAAGTGGGCAAGGTAATATATTGTGCCCATATCATGCAGTAAAGGACAAGGCAACCAGGGTGCATGACGAAGATGGGAAACATGGAACTCGGGACCCCAGCCTCACTGGTGTCCCTAAGAGACCCACGAAAGCGAAATCTCATGCAGGAAATCCACCAGATGGGTACATGCATTGCGGATGTGAGCTGGATTTAGTTTTACTAGAATTTTATTATTGGAAGACAGGGAGAATCTATTCGCCGACTCTGGAGATATGGGAGACGTGGAAAAATGAGCAGATGAACCCAAGAGTGCGAGCTTTTGTTTATGGGGACTGGGAGAAAAAAACGGGGTTGAAGTTGGAAAAGATGTGGACACGAAAGCCTAATAATAACGTTGGTGGCCGCAGGGCTCTAACGATAATCAGGTCTGAGGCCGAGGTGTTAGAGGACCAGATTAAAACCTTACAGGCACGTAGAGATGCGCTTGAACAGCCAGAGGAGGAGGAAAAGTCTTTATTGTAGTGCTTGGACTTGTTTGTTTGTAGCGCTTCAGCTCGAAACTGTCACATTGCTTGCAATTTTGCGATTTGTTTGGTAAGGTTTGGCTGAAGCATCTGCACTACTGTCACATGTCTGGTATCTGGTAATTGCCAGAATAACCTGCGCTGACCTGCAAACTTCAGCGGGATCTCCCAAGTCCCATAGATGAGGTGGTGAGTATAACGTATTTACACTGTAAGTGATGGTAGGTACTTGAAATAATTATAAAGATTTATAAAAAGTTTCCATCCGTCGCACTAGGTTCTTATTGGTAAATGGTTAGACTGTTCAAAATAATCACTTACTTTCTGCAAGAAGTTCCGTACGGTGATGGTTTGTTGGGTAAGGGATGGAAAAGCGTACAAATAAGCTGTGAAGCCACTGGGCAATTTGGTTGTGGGAAATCCAGCGGCGCATTTGGTAGAGGTCATCATCAGTGACGTGGCAGAGAGCATTTTTGGATTGAAGCTCGGGCGAGGTTATTGCGAATGCAATAAGCATGGGAAGATGTTTGTGTGTATATGGGGCAAACTGTCGATCACTTGAGATAAACTGTTTGGGTTCGAAATCGTTGCTGGAAGGACTGGGAAAGGCAGCACTTATGAGTGCTGTATGTGCCCGATACATTGGAGGGAAGCTGGATGGCAGGAACGCGCAGTGAGCATATCTTTCTTGAGCTCTAATTATGGCAAACTACAATAAATCAGATACAAGAAGTGTGAAAGAGGGCAAAAGCTCACCGCAAGGTACACTAGTTTGAAGCAGCTATCCTTGTCAGCCGCTGAAAAAGTGCCTAAACTATTCTTGCTGACGTAGTGCTCTGCAATGAGGCAGTAAAGGCAAGCCAGACGTCGAAGATGAGTAATAGTCCTAGTGTAGACAGTGATTTCGAGAGCAGTCATTGCACTGGTTCCAGAGGGAGCCTGGGCAAGCTGAGCAGTCGCTTTGAAATAATTTTGGAAAGTCCTCAAGTCAACAACCAATTCAGAAGCATACCTGATGGGCGTCGGTCCGATTTCTCATTGCATCACATTCTTGGATTTCGCCGCCTCCTTGTAAACATGGCTAGTGTCGTTCCAACTTCCATTACTCAGCATCATTGTCTTGATTCAGCAGCAGAGCGACTGAGTGGTTGTGCTGAACTGGTTGCCATGATCTTGAAGAACATGAACGAAAATTTATCCGACGGTTCGCGTGCCAATGACTGGAAGGATGTACGAGGGTTGATGTCTTTGTCAAAGATATGGTGGCTCACTGGGCATGAAATTCTCTTTCAAACTCGAGTTGTTGGGAGCAAACGACAAATACACAAGCTCTCTGATTTCACGAGGGCATCCAATGGCATGTATCGAAAGATGTGGAAGGTCTTGATATACAACGTAAGTGAATCGAACTGGAGAAGGCTGGGAGAAAAGAGTGCTTGGTGGACCGATCCGTGGATGCTGGCGGCGCTCAAAAATCTAGATCTTTCGGGAATTGAAGAAGTTAGGGTCTGTGGAGGGTCCTGCGAGAGCAACGGCTCAGATGTTCACAGAAGCCTGGATCCTTTGTACACGATGTTTCGAAGGATGCCCCTACTGCACAGGGTAGACTGTACAAATTCGAACTTCCACACCGATCATGCCCATCAGCTCATCAGCATGGCACAGTTCGTAGTGCCTGTGGCAGAGGAGGGGGAGAGAGAGGTGTCATTTCGAGGATGGAGAATTTCGCACTTTCAAAAGCCAGATCTGACGATAGACCCAATCTTCCCATTGAAGCTGAGGCCTTCAAAATTGAATTGTACAGGTGCTCTTTTCAATCAGCTTGGAGCCTCCTTCGCTATTGATTGTCATATGGTCAAGGAGGTTGTACTTACAGTTGGGGGAATTTTTGATCTGGAGAGCATTGAAACTGGTATTGAATACTTTGACGGACTAGAAAAAATGGAAAGTAAGTTTCTAATCAAAAATAATGGATATATAGTTGACTCACATTGAACCCAAGTACGTATGCTGATAGACAACATATATCCAATGATCGATCCCCTCGCCAACCTCAAGGAGCTCACAATCACAGTATTTACGAAGACATGGGCAAGCTTGACAGGGGCTGGGTATCTGCTTGCACTGCTCATATATCCAATGGAGTGGGATAGCCTTGCTATCCTTCGTCTGAAGATGACGCCCATGCAAAACTGCTATGTCACAAAAGAGCTTCAGAATAGTGTTCAGTGGGAGCAGCTCGGTGAATTCTTGATGGACCGGCCAAGGTTCCCATGTTTGTCCACTGTTGAAATTGATATTGTGCGAGATGTTCAAGACGTGCTTCCTTGGAGTAATGAGGGAGGGGAAGATAACGAAGATGTATTAGGATTAGTGGACATTGCGGCAAGGGAAAGGGTGACAAGACAGGTAATTTTAGATGCGTTGCAAGTTGTAAAGATGGCAAGGGGATTGGACATTTCTGTAAACTTCGAAAGGGAAAAAATATTTGGGATATAAGAAATGTAGTCATGGCGCACAATAAAAGTTTCCACATACCAGTGATAGTCTTGTGCATTGACTGGAGGAAACATTGACATCACAAGAGTGGTTGCATTGCTTAAGGGTTATGACACCTGCTGTTGGACACAATCAATGGTTGTGAGTTCGAGTCTTGTAGAGTGGAAATTTTCTTTACTATTTTGGTAGTACACATGTGAACCTGATATTGTACATTCTGGACCCCTCTTTGTTGTAATATTGAATAAGGATCTTCCCTGTAGGGAATGTTTTTGCACAATATGAATTGTATCTATGGTTTTTGTCAACTGTATTCCCATGGTTTCTCAAAACCATATCTCAGCCTTTCCTTGGGATATGGTTCCTGTCAACTGTATTTCACTGGGTGATAAATGGTTGCTCAAAACCATTTCCCAACCTTGGTCTGCATTGGACTGGGTAAGAATGGAGTTGCTCAGTGTTAGACTAATACTTCGTATACTTAGCTTTGGTCTGTGCGACTTTCTCTTTCCGGCCACCGTTTTCGTTTCACTCCTATTTATCTCTCGATCACCATATATACTCGATATATTATTTCATACTCCCTCAGTTGCTTCCCTTATCAACTGAGGTGAGATTGCTTATTTTTCTTCTTTCTAGTCTTACTAAAGTACCTTAGAACTTACTCAACAGGTACTTAGATATATATACTCAGTTGCTTCCCTTATCAACTGAGAACTTACTCAACAGATTATGAGACTGGAGCTCTACCAAGCTTAAGAGACGAAAACTAATATATTGATTACAGTCAATCCTTATCTTCGAAGCTATGTCCTCCACGGCTAGCTCGCTGTCGATCCCGCGCTTCCCCGAATCATCTCAATTGTCCGGCGAGAATACATGGCAAGTCTTTAAAGACCAAGTCCTCGCGCATATTGAAGTTCGGGAACTTGAAGGATATCTTGACGGTACTAGTGTTCGGCCTCCTGTTGGTGGTTATGTATCCACATCTACACTATACCCTCCTGCATCCACATCTACACCTGCGTATAGTCCGACCCCTTTCCCGCACGAATGGCGTCAACGTGACAGGATGACCGCCAGCATAATTTATCTCAACATTGTCGATCCCGTTGGGCTAGGCGTCGAACGTGAAAAAACCTGCATATCATATCTGGGCTGAGTTGAAGAAGAAATATGAGAGACGGGATGAAATGCGCGTACATCAGGCCGACACTAAACTCCGGTCTGCTCGGTTTGACCCCAATAATACGACCATTGAGGAGCATGAAAAGACGATGAAGAACCATCTAAAGGAGCTTCGAAACTTAGGCGGTTCTTGTCTCGACTCGCAATTCCGACTTATTGTAATCACATCCATGCCTAAGTCGTGGAGAGATCTCCTAATCAACGTCAAGGGAACCTCGAGCGATGATGCATTTATCCACCTGCGTCAAGTGTATGACAATAAGAAGGAGGATGAGGAGGATATCCGACAGCGTAGTCAAGTTTGTGCTCTCATAGCTCAGGAGATGGCCTCTTTCCACTCGGCAAATATTGCGTCTGCTCCCAAGAAGGACCACCCTGTGTGTACGAATCCTAATTGCCCTCCTCGCCGACGTCGCACTCATACAATTGAAAAATGTTGGGCACCCGGTGGCGGCAATGAAGGAGGAGGACCTAAGAAAGCCGAGACCTCAGTCATCCAGACTGCGAATTACGCTAGCGACGGTGGAAATCATACCATCATGGAACTCTTTGATTTGTGTACGTCACCCTCAACACCCATTTCGTCTACCTAACTTCCTAATGCCCATACCTGCAGAAACTGTATCTCAGTATCAACAGGGTATGGTGCAAATAAAGAGGTTACGCACAATGTAGACGTATTAGATTCTTCGATTTCCGACCAGTTCTCAAACATTGCCGGATGTACTGCTTGTTCGGCTCACAATGAAAATACCTTACTATATGCTGCCTCGAAACCGCGAGTACCTCGAACTTTCCTAGACTCAGCTGCGAGTGATCATTTCTGGGTGCGAAGGGATGATTTCATTAAGTATGAGAATCTATATGGAAAGGCAGGGAAGTCAGTGATTGCCGGAAAGGCAGGGGAGTTCGAGATTCATGGGAAAGGTATTGTGGAATTCGAGACCACAGTGAACGGAATAGGAAGAAGATGCCGATTGAATGACGTGTATCATACTCCATCTTTCCATCACAACCTAATCTCGTTGCGAACGTTGGATGCCAAAGGAATAAAAGGAGAATGGGGAAAAGGGTCACTCACCGTACGAACCGCGAATGGAAGCATTATCATGCAGGGCGAAGGAAAGGGCACAATGTATGAAGTACAAACTCACTTCACACCCTCATTTGCAAACTTCGCTAGGTCTCTTAATAAACCTGTCGACATTCATACATGGCATCGCAGACTAGGCCATCCAGCTATTGATCGCATACTCTTGATGCAGAGGCACAATCTGGTCGACGGCTTGCAAATCACCTCTAAGAAAGTAGCTGGTAAATGTGAACCATGCATCTTAGGGAAATCGACTCACCGACCATTTGATGAGAAACTCACACACGAAACTAAAGTTCTCGAACGTATTCATCTCGATCTTTTTGGTCCAACTCGAACCCAGAGCATTGGCGGCGCAATGTGGATGTTACTTGCAACGGATGGGCGTTCATCTGTCAAAGCTCCGACTTTTCTAACAAATAAGCGGAAAGAGACGGTTTTAGCAGCAATCCATGACTGGCGTACGATGGCAGAGCGACAAACAGGTCTTAAAGTGTTGATATTCCGGATAGATGGTGGTGGAGAGTTCGATAATGGGTGGTTCCGGGATTACTGCCGAGAGCATGGTATTGCAATCGAGATGATTCCACCTAGATCCTCCTCAGCCAATGGAGTAGCCGAAAGGGCGAATAGGACTGTACTAGATGGGGTCAGGACTTTTCTAGTTGACGCCGGATTTCCCCCTTCAATGTGGGCTGAAGCAGCACTCACCTTTTGCTATGTAAACGCGTTCATTCCCTCTTCTCGTTTCCCAGATGAGGTACCAATTGAAATATACACGAAGAAGCGTCACGACGTGTCCCATCTCCGACCTTTTGGTTGCAAATGCTGGGCTACACTGGATTCAATCCAGACGGATGGGAAACTACAGTGATGCGCAAATCAAATCCACACCCCCCGATTTGGAAGGCCTTATGTCACCAGCCCAGAACCGTAAATCAGCATAAATCTGTTGTTCCTCTGCTCAGAAATATTGAATTTTGAGGGTTCAAACAGCTTATATTGCCACAAGTAAGTCTTTATAGTAGAATCAACATGCTTTACAGGATATAGCATACAAAACTGTTCACAAAAACAGTTTAATCACAAAATTTCCAAATCAGGGGGTGTGGATTTGATTTGCGCATCACTGTAGGTGTTAGAGCTGTCGAGGGGCGATTTGTTGGGTATATCGGTAGAAGAGGGTATAGGATCTGGCTGCCTCAGACCAGAACTTTCCACGAATCCCGCAGCGTCGTATTCGAGGAAGGGGATCCTCGCAGATCTACCCCCGCGGTACCAGATGAAGTTGATGGTGAAGTATTTGTTGATGTCGACGTCGGTTCGGCTTCAGATGCCGTGCCTGATCTCCCGGCTAATGATAATCAAATTGACCATTCGGACGCATCCATTCCCTCAGCATCTACCACACCTTCTACTCCTAATTACGAAGGACTACCTGAACTTTTCGCGAATCGACAACTTCCCCAACCCTTACCTATACCAAATCCAGAACCAGAGACTGGTCCGAGACGGAGTACTCGTATACGAGAACCATCTGCTCGCCAAATTCAATTGGAGGAATCAGCTGAAAGGGAGCGATCTGCTTTCGAACGCAACCTCGTGTGGGCTCGTGATTCTGGTGGTATAGACGAACTTGACGAACTTGACGAAAATCCTCTAGCGATGGTGGTAAATAGTCCATTCGCTTTCGCCGCCGAGTCCAGTGATAAATGGGTCCCGAATACATATAAACAAGCAATGCGCCGTCCCGAACTTTGGAGGGCTCCAATGCAAGCTGAATACGACACCCTGATCGAAAAGAATTGCTGGACGTTAGTAGATCTGCCGCCGAACGCGAATGTTACAGGTGGGAGATGGGTCTATGTAATCAAATGGTCAAAAGATGGCGAAGTTGCGAAACGAAAAGCTCGATACATTGCACAGGGTTTCACTCAGATCGAAGGTGTCGATTACGATAAAACCTATGGTGTGGTGGCACGCATGGAATCCGTTCACATAGTTCTTGCGATTATTGCAGTCCTCGGTCTTTTTATGTTCCAAGTCGACTTCAAAGCAGCTTTCTTGAACTCTCCTATCAACCACGACGTGTATATGAAGCAGCCCAAAGGATTTATTAAGGAAGGTGAAGAGCACAAGGTGTGTAAACTCAACAAGTCGATTTATGGCACGATGCAGGGTAGCCACGACTGGCAGGATACATTAGGAAAAGGATATGAGGAGGACGGATACATTGCTTCAAGAGCCGATCCCTGCGTACGATATCGTCGCACCGGCGATGAATACACCCTTTCCACTACATATGGCGACGACGTGAATGGTGCCTCTTCATCCGAGAGTGGTAGGAAGAAAGCTATTGCTGACTTAGGAAAGAGATGGGAGTCAAGCGAAGTTACTTCGGGTGTTCTCTTGGGAATGACTATTTTCCAAGACCCAATCTCCAAGGCTATCACAATCTCCCAAAAATCATACTTCGAGCGTATGCTAGAACACTTTGGATTGGAAAACATTCGTATCCGTCGCACACCACTAGATCCCAAAGCGAAAATCACTGAATCTCCAAATCCAATCCCCAAACTCGACAGGAAGTTCATGTCGGACAAGCCATACCGTGCATTCGTTGGATCTGTGCTCTGGGTAGCTTGCTCAACAAGACCTGATATCGCGTTCGCTTCGAATTTCCTCGCTCGCTTCCAGCTTAACCCGGGTATTACTCATTGGAATGCTTGTGAATGGCTTGCGGGCTACATTTGCGGAACACTTGATTATTCTATCACCTATTGCACACCTAAGCCTGGGGATGATCGCCTGGGTCTTGGCCTTGCACCCCTGGGTTACTCAGACAGTGATTGGGCTTCATGCCTTGTTACTTGTCGATCTACTGCTGGTTACATCTTTTTCATGGGTGGGGCTCCTGTTTCCTGGGCATCAAAGAGGCAAGGCTCTGTGGCACTATCTACAGTGGAAGCAGAATATATTGGTCTCTCGAAAGTGTGCCAACAAGCGTGCTGGCTTCGTTCATTTATCCAAGAAATTGATCTCTCACTCAACGGCCCTACTTTTATCAACGGCGACAACTTTGGTTCTGTGTCTCTGTCAGAGGAACCAAGGAATCATTCGCTCGTCAAACACATTGATATGCGTGAACATTATATCAGGGAGAAGGTTAAAGATGGTAGTGTGAAGGTAGTTCGATTGCTTATTTTTCTTCTTTCTAGTCTTACTAAAGTACCTTAGAACTTACTCAACAGGTACTTAGATATATATACTCAGTTGCTTCCCTTATCAACTGAGAACTTACTCAACACTCAGTACTATGTTTCAACCTTTCCTTGGGATATGGTTTGTGCCAACTGTATTTCATTGGGTGAGTAACAAGATATGGTCAATGCCAACTGTATAATAATACACATGATTGGTACATAACGTAAAATCCGCATGCGAGAAATTTTTATTGTACAACACACAGCCGGCTGTACTCACTGTTGCAGCCGGCTGTACCCTTGTATACAGCCGACAGAGTAACGCCTATCTGCTTATAGCTGCCACTCTCGTAACTTCGAAGGCCTTTGCTTCCACCTCTGTTGAACAAATTGAATCTGCACATGCCCCAAGTCAACAACAGGACATTCCTGATCCTTCTTCCTTTGCAGGTAGCGTTTGGGGGATGCCTGATCCAGCAGTGTCTTCAGCCAAGGCGAAAGCCAAAATTCAGAGGATGCAAGAAAAGATGGCCTCAGAATTTGTTCGTGCCTCCCGTATCAAGATCAAAAGTCGGGCCACGCTCATCATATGTCCCCTTTCAACTGTTGCTAACTGGGAAGACCAATTCAAAGATCACTGGAAGGGCGAAGTATTTGTCATTGGTGGCGCAGGCGGCTGTACTCCTGCAATGTCATCTTCCCAATGTTCGTCAACACCAGGATCTTCTTCAGCGCAGCCAATGGCTCTTCTCGGCGATGTAAAGATGAACAAGAAATTAGGTCGTACACGAGAAGTACCTACACCGTACCCAGGCTGATTTTATTCTAGTAGCATACGAAGGTCTGGGCAAGCTTTCGTGTGTATGTAACACAAGTCTACCCTAAGCTCCCGATCATATAGTATCTTTTAATAGACTATCAGCGCCATCAACGTAGAAGTACTAGTTTTCGCAGTTCAACGCGAGGAAGACTCAGGAGTGGGACTGAACCCAAAGTCATTTGAAAAGTACTAGGAAGTACTTTGACGTTCAAGCTCGTATCAGATGATTGGTTGAGTGGAATCTTACCGGAAACTTACACGGAATGGCATCGTCGCGTCTTCTAGTCAAGGTCCTCGTTGCGGGTGCAGGTGAAGAGCATGTTAAAGCATGATGAGAAGAAGCATGCATATATACATATAATGGATGGATGGGACGGTTGGATTCAACAAGAGCAAGTAGCAAGTAGTCAGATTCTTTGAGGACACGTAGGCACGGAAAGCTTATGGATGGTGAGGCTGTTAGGAGCTGTTGTGGGACAGGTAAAGCGCATGGGTTGGTGTCGGAGTCAACATTGAACAGGGTCACATGATTGCGCTAAGGAATCTGCCATCGGAACGGACGGAGACAACTTCAAATGGAAATTTTGCACGGGAACTTGAGACTATCCATGTTAACGTTCATTGACCATTGCAAGCAAAGTGAAAAGGTGAAGAAGATCACTGTTAGTGTTTGATGAGGTTTGATGAGAGGTCCGATATAAAGGTGCCTAAAATTGCATCTTGCCTTTAAAGTTATGGCAACCACGAGCAACCCACCCCCCGTATCTTTACTGGTAAAGCTCAGAGTCAAGCTAGGTGTATATTTTGTGAGCTGTTGTAATGGCTTTTTTCTTTCTTTTCTCTCTTTTCTTCTTTTTCTCTGTAACCGCGAAACGAATAAAGAGTTCGTTGATATACATATAGCCTACGTGATGGGGTGAACTTGACAACAACAGGGCTCCGTCTCGTTGTCTTTTTCTCTTTCCCGAAGATTCGATATCCAAGAACGATAATTACCCACTTTTGTGTTCTTCATACTCCCTACTCTCTTCTTCTAAGACTTGATATTCACATCCCTTCATCGTTCATTTAAAGATATTACCAAAAAGCGTCAACTGACTGCTAATCCATTTTCCATGCTGAGGCTGGACTCGAACCAGTCCGCTGCTGAGAAGCGATATGCGGAAGGGACGAGCCGCTGAAATTCCAAAACTTGAAACTATTCGAGTCCTCCGAGATATTATACTAGTTTTGAGCCAATTGTACACGTTTCATTTTTCTAGTCCGTTGAATCTGGAACTTTAAGCACCTCTAGACAGAGACTGCATACACCATACACGAGCATGTATTCGTATCTTCTGAATCGATCGCCATACAATAATACATACATACCCCCTGACACACACCTAGTCCATTGCTGTCGATAGCGAGATATTACGATTTTTGCCTACTTTTATTTTTTCTGCTCAGCTGCAAACAACTCGTCAATGGCCGATGCGCTACTTCTCAGGACCTCCCACTATATAGATATCAGAATGAGAACGGTGAGATTGGCATTAAAAGAACAGAACCTGGTCTAGTGCCAAGGAGATACCCTTCTTCCCCGGTTTCATTGATTGTTCTGTGTCACCGTAGAATTCGCGAATGTCGACGAAGGTACTCCCTTTGAAACTGTAAAGTATGAGTCTCCCATATTTGAATAGTTCGAACAAAGAGAGAACGAACGAGCGAACAGTGGCTCTTTTCTTTTTTCCTAGGTCGATATATTTATCACCTTCAGGACTCTCTTTGATTAATGAGCCATTATTTGAAGTTGTGGACTTTGATTGAACACGGTAAGTTGAGCTTGGTCCATCAGAGATATTGAGACGCACCACAGGCTTTGATTTCATATTCTTCTTGGGTTTTGGTTCTTCTTCTTCCTCTTCTTCCTCTTCCTCATCCTCACTTTCAGAGTCTTGTGGCTTCTTGACTCCTTAGTTCAATGTGGATTATAAGTCGTAAGATTACAGTACCATGACAAACTTTGGCTTCTTGCCACCGCGTTTCAACGATTTACTTGACGCTACAGCAGCAGATTGGGCAGAGATTTCAGAGTCGTCGCTCGCCTGATTGGCTTTTCGTTTCACCATGACTGAATTGAGGTACAAAACTGTACAAAACCAAGTCAAGAAGGTTGGTGAGGCAGAAAGACTTACCCTTGGTTTGTCAGCAAATTGCACATTGCATCGGGCGTGATTAAGATTTTGCTTTGCTTTACATATTCTATCTTCGTCCACAAATCGGCCAGAATTTTCGTGGTTTTCGCAACTGAATCGTCGTGAACAATAAAGATTCTACACAAATATAAGAGGACGGTTCCACCTGTAAGGATGGTTTTGTGCCGTGAGAGGACGCGTATTCTAACCGGACTCTGTCTTTCTAGCCTCCTCAATTTGCAGATCTAATAACGAGATTGATAAACACACCGGACGATGCTCTGACTCAGACACTGGAGGAGATTGATGCCTGGAAGTGACAACGCTCCGATCTGAATGCCTGGATAAAGGTGCTCAATAAGTTCGACACTGTTCTAGAAGACGTCATCCGCGAATATGATATCGACAAACTACAAGTCCGAGAATTCAGTACAGAATCCAAGAAGATGGTCTCTGAAATTCTGGAATTCGAGAGACTTTTGCTCGAGAACTCCACCAATCGAAAGATGTTCGACTCTTATGATGTGCGTAACCCATTTGTGACCAAGAAATACCTTTCTCAAGCGTCACAAAAAACAGCGCGAACAGCTTTCTCTTCGCTTCGGACCTGGACGTTCTGATACTAACTCTGAAGCTGCTTTTAAGACCTTCACAGCAGTACTCAGCGCAGCCAGCTGTCTCACAAGCACTCAATATATCTACGCCACGTTTATTGTCCTTGGCCAAACGATGGCCCCACCTCCGTGAATACGGAATCGATCTCGTCGATTTGGCTAACGCGCAAGGAAGCTTGGAAATTGACGCTCTCCCGAACGAGGCCCGTGAAGTCGACTTCAGCTTCTACCGGAAAGATGCCGGATCCTCTCAAATAAAACCAGAGGCTGATCCTAATGATCTCACACAAACTCTCTTCCACAACTCCGATCGCCGTAGGCGCTGTCGCAGTCCATTTGGACGAGCAAACTTTACGATCAAAGACTGCCATGGATGTCCTGGCTGACGCCATCCGTACACATGAAATTCCGGATTCGGAGAAGTTCGATTTGCTCTGCCGTATACGAGCGGCCACAACACTAGCGAAAGGGCGCGAGGTCGAAAGAGAAAAGCTTGTTCATGTCCGCTTGATTTCTATCGCCATCTTTGGACATACGCACCCGGAAAGCCAAGCGTTGTCCACTCTCTTTTTGTTCCAGCCGGATCTCATCCCACATGTTGCCGAGTTATTGCAGGTCGGCCGCGGAATTTCTGTTCACATCCAAACCGCTTCCATCGCTGCTCTGGACGCAATGGCGCGGTATCGGTCAAAGGTCCATGAGGTTCTCACTTCGGTCAACGCTGGAGTCAACCACGGAATCCTGATGGGACTTTTACTCAAAACCATAAGTGATATTTCAAGTCCCGACTGCAAGATCCCTCATAGTTTTGTTGAAGCGTTGCTGTCTTTTGTGACATTTATTGCCTCTCATGCATCAGGAGGCAACATGATTGTCAGAGCTGGCCTCATTCCTTTGTTGATCCAGATCCTCGAGAATCGACTACCGACGCGCTTACAAGTTGTGTCAAAGACGATGCAACTTATCGACAATATACTGTATAGTTTTGCGAACGCCTTCACTGTGTTTTGTTCCTCGCATGGTATGGAAGCTTTGGTTGACAGAATCGAGGTAGATTCCCTTTTCACATTTTATGTAATATTCACTGAAAATAATCTTTCGCAGTTTGAGGTGGACCTTGATATTCGTGAACATGGTGATCAGCAGAAATCACGTCAGATTTTCGGATCGCATGGTGCGTTCTGTGAGATTATAGCTTATTTTCGCGCTTAATCTTTTCTTCAGGGGAGCTGCCTGTTGTACGAGCTGCTGTCCTTAAACACATCTTGCGTTCCATGCACCGTATGATGCAATCATCCGAGACATTAGAAGGCTTGCGGGGCCTTATCGATATGTCTATTCTGAAATCGATCAAGAAAATCATCGAATTCGAATACAGAGGTCTCTTCGGACCAAGTGTCCTTCCTATCGGTACGTTGTTGCTTTGAACCTTCGGCTCGTCTGCTCAATTGAACTTCAGCGATCAACATAATGGCTACGTTCGTTCACAACGAACCAGGTTCTTTAACCGTCATCTAGGAAGCCGGATTGCCCGAAATGTTCTACAAGTCAATCGAGCTCGGACTAGAACCGGCTATCGAGGTGTGTGTATTTCTGATTTGGTCATGTCTGCTTTTGTTCAAAATGTTCTATCATGAGTAGGTGCTTCAAGCCATACCAAATGCTCTCGGAGCACTTTGTTTGAACGAAGTCTCTACTTGCTGCCCATCCAAGCATTATTCCAGCCATTTTCTCAATATTCACTTCTGGTCGTCACCTCAAGATTCTTCTGGAAAAGGAAAATGCAGTGCTTATTGGTACAGCGGTCGACGAGCTCATTCGGCACCATCCATTCCTCAAGGCTCCTGTCTTCCAGGCGCTCAAGAGTACTATGGCAAAGATAGAAGAACTTGGACATGCCTATGTTCCGCCCGATGACATTCGCAACTGGTATCAGCTCACGGTCGCCCGACCTTCGTCTACTTCCGAAGATGTAGACAAGATGGAAGGGGTCGAATCTTCGGAAGGAAAGGAGTCATCCCCTCCGCCACCTCCGCCTTATACAGCTGCGTTGCTTGAGCCCCACAGCGAGGAGGCCATGAGGTTACATGAAAATAACATAATATCGTTTATTGACATTCTTGGCAGAGTAAGCATTAAAAGGATCAGTCATGGTACGAGTACTGACTCATTCTCAATCAGTTCTTGGAAGGTCTTTTTCAACACACCCCACATTGTCGTGACTTCATATCTCAAACCAACGGCCTAGTTTGTTTGGGCAGGTTGTCCGCGCTACCATGTCTCCCCTATGATTTTGCTAACAGCGTTGCCTCTGATTCTATGGTTCAAACAATGCGCACCTTGACCGTGAGTGAGACACTTCAGCAGATGTCGCAGCTTGTAAAAGAATCCCTCCAAGCGACACAAGAATTCTGGTCTGTTGATACCGAGGACTCCAAATTGTTGTCGCTTTTGGATGTTACCGGTGAGTTTATTTATTACCATCTTCAATTCTGTCAGATATCGATGTATACACACAGATGAGGAATATGTCAATAAGAACTTTTATTTCCGTAACTTGATCACACTTCACGTCCGGGTTACATTACTTTCGGATGTTTTCTCCACTGCTGGCTATGCTCATGGCCGGGGTGCCATCAGTCTTCTTCAGAATTTGATGATTAGTACAACGCCACAAGTAATTGCAGACCTAGGTTCATTACACCGGGCTGGAATTTGGGAAAATATTGTGCTGAAGGCAGCCCTCGCTGCGAAAGGGATAGAGGTGTATCAAACCCCGAGTGCCTCTCCACTGGACCAATCGCCAAATCATTGAACTATTGACTTACCAGTACAAGGACCTTCCGTACCCGCTTCGGCGCCCAACGGTGCTGTTGAGAATGGCGCGTCAACTTCAACATCTACTCCTACGAAAGAAACACATACCAGACACGCCGGACCAAAGGAGTTCAACGCCACAGCCTTAAAACATATCACACACGGCATACCCACTGCTCTATCACCGTTTTTTCAAGGTAAGCTTGTGCACAGAATCTGACTGACAAATTGTTTATCTTTTATTCGCTATTCTCTGCAATGGTCAAAACACTCCATTCTCACAGAACTCCAGAGCAATCGCAAAAGAAGCAGATGATCGAGTCTTCCGCAACAGTTGCGGATGTGTTACTGAAGCATTTATCGGCTCAGAGTGACAGTCAGTCAACTTTTGATCAACCTCGTCGTGCTGAATCTCAATACATCTAGTTGAAGACAAATCCACCCTGTACATCTACTATGGTATCATGTTAGGCCTAGCTACTGTCCTCTTAATCGACGGTATGATCTCGTCCATCTACTTTGGCTCTGCTGACCTTTGATTTTTAGAGCGTACCACCAATCATACCATCTACACTGTACAGCTGTTAGCGTTCTACCGCGTAGGCGGCATGAATGCAGTGCTAAACGTTAGCCGGAGTTTCATATCCTCAATTCGTTCCATTGTCCCCATTCACACCTGACCGAGGCGCTTTTTACGCCTGGAAAATATGAAGGGAAATGTGAGAAACAATTGCCAGATTTCCCTAAGGAAATGGAACTCTTCCTCACGACAGAAACCTAAGATTTCCCAGGTCAAGAAATTTACCATTTATTTGGGGTAAATTCACGCCTTTCCCTTCATAATACAATATTTCGAGCTCGGTCAATACTATATTTCCTGTAAGATTAATTAGCTTTTGAACACGAGACATAGGTAATCTTTCCCGCCTGATATAGGAAATCTTTCCCGCCTGATATAGGAAATCTTTCCCGCCTGATATAGGAAATCTTTCCCGCCTGATATAGGTAATCTTTCCCGCCTGATATAGGTAATCTTTCCCCCCTGATATAGGTAGGTCGACTCGAAAGAGGTAGAAGAGTGAAAAAGCGGATGACGTAACAAAGGTTTCGGCCCGAAACGCTCTTCCAGGATTTGCATCTATTTGCGTAAACTTTTGCTTGCCTCGTTCTTCCACGTCAATTCTAGATGGACTTTCTGGGCAGATTCCCAAGTTTAACGCAACCGCCGAATGCTCTGATCGTTTCCTTCCTTCCGTTTGTCCAAGTTCAAGATCACTCCCATGGACATTCGAGGGCGTCGTCGCGAAGAACTTGGACGGTCTATTTCTCGTTCAAGGTCGTGATTTTCGGAGATTTGTCGCATGTGTGCCGCGATCGAGCATCTGCGTAAGATATGTAACTCATTCACATTTTCGTAGCATCGTTTCTGACTAATGTTCACGAATCTCTCTTCAGTCTCGTCAGGATCCATACTCTGCAGAGTCTCTTCATCGATAATGTACAACAACGATCAAGGCTCCATAGTTCACGGCTCGGGCGTCTTTGTAAATGGAAGCATGATATACACATTCAACAAATCATCCCTGTATCTCGATTTTCTCCCTGAAGCTTCAATAGGAGTCGATAGGTTAGTTCAATGAACAATTTGAACTACTTTTTCAATACCTTTTTGCAATTTGTTAAAGAAAATGATTCAATATCGTCGTCAACCAATGTCAACCCTGTCACCATAGAGCATCAAGATCATCGATGCAGTTAATGAACGGTAATTTACGCAAATTACACACTGAACGTGACAGCCTTAGTACGCTCTACGTTCTTCGAACTAGACAACTCCATTGCTCGATGCTGATTGAAATAGCTCTACTTAATACTTCACCACCAATGAAGGCTCGTGTCACTACATACAACAAAATAAAGGTAACAACATGGGGAAGAGAAGGAATAGTACAATGAAGCGCCAGATTTTGCGCGAGGATATCAGGAAAATAGAGCATACAGTGACGCGCAAATCAAATCCACACCCCCTGATTTGGAAATTTTGTGATTAAACTGTTTTTGTGAACAGTTTTGTATGCTATATCCTGTAAAGCATGTTGATTCTACTATAAAGACTTACTTGTGGCAATATAAGCTGTTTGAACCCTCAAAATTCAATATTTCTGAGCAGAGGAACAACAGATTTATGCTGATTTACGGTTCTGGGCTGGTGACATAAGGCCTTCCAAATCGGGGGGTGTGGATTTGATTTGCGCATCACTGTATATTAAACTTCAGCAAGTTGTAAAATTCGAAGGTTGCAACCGAGAATGAAATTGTGGTATGTTATGACCTGCTCAAAGAGCTATGCCATTCGAAATTCGACCAATGACGGCGTCAGCTACAAAGCCTCCGACAAGAATTTGCCCAATCAAAGGTGTTTGCAGGAAAAAGTCTCTGCAATCAGCGGGTCGATCAATGTCGGTACGCAGAAGTTTCGACAATAACAGTCCCGCAGCTAACAGGACCCCAGCGAAGAATGGGTAACTGTGCCCATTCAAGTATGCTCCGTAGGTAAGCAGTCCGAAAAATGCTATGGCAGTGGAAAAGCACACAGGGATTGTGTATTGACCGCAGAGCAAGGCAGAAGAGCGAATCCCAATCTTCACATCATCATTTTTATCCTACAACAAATTGAACGGTTGGTTTAGCCCTACATGGATCACCGGAATAATGATCTCACCATGTGTTGGTAAATTGTCTCGTATGTCCAGACCCAGAAGCAGCCTCCGAAGTAAATGGGAACAAGCATTTCGTACGGCATCTCCTTGGTGCGGCTCAACGTACTCCAACCCATAATTCTTCTGGTTTTTTTCATTCATCCCGACACGCATAGCGATCACTGGTGCGTAAGGCTCGTTACTCAAAGTACCTCTCACAGTCTCCAGATACTCATGATTCGAAACAAAGTATTATGGATCCTTCGAGTTTACGCCGTGGTCGATCATGGTTTAGTATTTGCTATCATGTTATCTCTACTTGGTCTAGCAATCGTTGGTTTCGATATCGTGCGTACTCGTACTCCCCCATGTCCGAGCCCAATCATTGAACCTTCCCGTTTCAAAATTTTCTGCTTCACCATGTAGCTTCAAGGCGTTCAATCCTCCTGTACTCACAACACGCTATCTTCAGAAACCCTGTGAGTACATCGTTCCTACTGTTCTAATTATTGTGGTCTTCTCATCTTATATATAGCTGTGAGCATGCTTCATTGAAAAATTTTTCTCATTCCGTCCATCATTCTGTCATCCTGACCCGTTTATTGTCTACTTCTATACCCAGCTGGAGTCATGACCTATATTTCCTTGGCTGTGTTCGATATCTTGGCGACATGTAAGTGCATGCATGGTAGTGTTATCAAATCTTTCAGAGAGCTGACATTCGCTCGCTTCAGTATTGGTGACAAACCGAATGATACAAGCCATACGCGGATGTGGTGGGTTTCGCAAGCTGGCCAGACAAAATCTCTCTGAATATGTTCTGAGAGATCAGGTAAGCCAATTCAGTTTGTCCTTTCAAAGTTTGTCATGCTGATTCTTGAGCGCAATGCAACTAGGCGTTTTATATTTCGGGTACGGGTTTCCCACTGTCATCCACGGGACTCACTCAGACATTGGTATGAGCAGGGTCGTCACAATACCTCAAATCATTGCAGTTGTGCTTTATTTCGTAGGTGTCCCCCTTGTGAGCCAGGCAATACTAATTTTGCATCTCACAGGCTCCACAGGTACGGAAAAAATCGTTCTTTACTACCTTCGAACCAAGGCACGGCTCATCGTTCTGAGGATTTCAGGGACTATACAGCCCTATCCTGAACAATTTTCTTCTCGTGTGAGCTCCTGTTTCCCTTCCCATACTTGAGTTCACATCGTTGCCATGCTCGCAAACCTTCACTTGCGAAAAAACATCTTTTTTCTATGTGTTTAGGTTGTCTTCCATCATGATCGCGCGTTTTCTGCTAGGTTTGCGTGAGATGAACGAGTCTAGAAGAGAATCTATTCCCGACGAGGCCAGCTTGGATCAGGCCACTACGTTGTCCACATATGACCTTTTTAACGGTACTAACAGGTCGTCAGGTAATTGGATGAACGGATCGACTACAACTGTGCCAGTGGGCGGACGGCGAATGAATCAGAACGGCAGAACACAGTGGTGGGCCGGAGGGACTAGTTTGGTAGCGGATTTTGATGCGGAAATTGACATGAGATAAGGACACCTTATTTGTTTTCAACGAACATAAATATCCTACATATGTAGTGTAAAAGAATTGCAAAAAGAAATATCGTTCAGATGGTGTAGACATGTTCTTTGTACAAATGAAGTTCTCTCAACACGACACCATAATGCTTCTATTTCCTTGAGCGGAGTAAACATACAGTGGTGGCGATGTAAAACAGTACTGGTAGAACGGTACCCCAATGTCGATATTCAATTCTTCTCCTGACTCCTATTTTTTGTGAGATACCTTTTGGGCAGCCACTCAGGCGTAGACCAAGATTTATTCTGGATGGCAGCTGTGATCATATTCGCGATGGCTTCGGCGCTTTGAAGAAACAACGGGTGAGCTAGCTGACAGAAAAATGCACGATAAACTCACCAGGAGAAAGCCCTTGGCATTCCGTGCCCGCTATACCCTGCGGCGATATATTGGCCAGCAAAGATACCCGAAGTAGCGCCTGACTGTAAATGCTCAACGACCGGACCAACCTGGGAACAGAAGATTAATCATCGCACAATTAATATCGAGTGAGTACATACGAACGGGTCAGCCATTGACGTATATCCCATGATACCTGTCTGAAATTACAGCAAGTCAGTCCACGCAATTCCAAAGAGTAAGATAGCAACCCTCACCCATTCCATTTCCGCGTCTTCACCTTTATTGAACATATGCGGAAACGTCTCGGGAAGAAACGCACGTAGCTCTTCACCAAGGGCGGTATTTACCACCGAATCATCTGTCTCGTATTGCTCAAAAGCGGGACCTCCAATGTGTCGCCCACCTCCAAGAATAACCACAGGATTCTCTTTCTCGTCCTCTGGGCCATGATCGGAAATAGACCCATTCACTGGTCGCGGAAACCAATAGTGGTCTAAGCCACCCCATGATGCTTTCCAAGAATCGTTCACAGGCGTAGCAGCCCGCATGACAACGATCTGTCCCCTCGTTGGAATGATCCCACTCGGACCGCCAAACTGGGGAAGCAGATGGCTAGCATAGCCGTTTGTGGCATGTAAGACATGCGAGCACTTGACGGAACCGCGAGGGGTGTTGACGCTCCAGATACGTGAGGAAGATAGTGGTGTGACGGAAGTAACGGGGGTATGTGTGTGGAGGGAAAGAGAGAAATGCGGAGTAGAAGAGTTTGCAAGAAGATATAACTGAGTAACGAATTTAAGTGGCCAAAAGTTGAAAGCTGGAAATTTGACGGCAGAGTAAGAGGCACCATAGATCTTTAGAGCATGAAAATCAGTTGTATTGAAATGAGAGCAGAATATGTACTCTGTCGACATCCTCTTCGGGTAACCATTCAACATCTCCTACATTCAACCCTGCTCTACTGGCAGCAAGATACTCTTCCTTGAGCGATGCGTATTCCTCCTCCGAAGAAATGAGCATCAAATGCCCACCGGCAACGAGGTCGACGATATCGGCTAATTGATGCTCTTGGATGATTGAAACCATGGCCATGGCGGTACGATTCTCGATCTGAAGCGACTTTAACGCTTCAATGGTCCCATATTTTTCTTCGTATTCTCGGTAGTTAAAGAACGAATACGGTGTGAGATGTCCCCCATTACGCCCTGTTCTCTACATTAGTATCTCTATGAAGAAAGTTATCACACTGACCAGTCGCTCCAGAGCCTATCCAGAAAGAAAGAAATAAGTCGCTCCTCGTCCTGAAAAGGCTTCGCAATGCTAACAAAATTCCCTTGCTTCCAACACAACAGCTTTTACCTCCAGAGATAATCCTTCCAAACCAAGCTTTTCGATTGCTTTTGCTAGGTGATAAGTAGCAGATATACCGGTCATCCCAGCACCAATGATACAGACATCAGCATCTTCAGTTAAAGGACCTATGCTGCCTTCATCCCCGAGTAAATTTGCACCAGGAGTGTCGATCCAAAAAGATTTACTTGCATTGGCAACCGGAAAACTGGCAATCGGTTGAAAAGATAGAGCTTCTTGTGAGTTGACTACAGAACTGCGAACTGAATTTTGGAGAAGTGAAAGAATTAGCACCGCCCACAACATCGCTGATGGGTACAAACAGTGGCAGATAACACGCTGAGCGTGAGAGTGTATTCAACGCAATGATCGGCATTCACTAGCTCATTCACTCTCATCTCTATGGATATCGGAGCTCAATACCGGCGATATATCAGCTACCTCAATGAAGGAAGAGTTCACGATCTCAGTGATTTTGTTCATGAAGAATTAATCTACAACGATGAGCCAATGACTCGAGCCGACTACCAAAATTACATCGCAGACGATTTCGCCCGCATTCCTGATCTCCACTTCGATATTCACCAACTCATAGTCAGCGATAACCATGTCGCCAGCAGGCTTCGATTCAACTGTACTCCGGAGGCAGACTTTCGTGGCCATGCACCGAATGGGCAAAATATTTCTTTCGTAGAGCATGTTTTCTATCAATTCAAGAACGGTAAAATTCGGCAAGTTTGGTCGCTGTTGGATGATCGAGCCATTCACGCTCAGATGGAAAAGGAAAAGACCAATTAAGGTTAATGAAGGTTCGAAATGACTGTTTATTATACAATGAAGTCCAGCCTCAAGTCCCGCGTTTTCAGTTTGCTCAGCCTAGAAACTTGGATATGTAGTGGGTCTTGAGTACAAGCAATTTTTAGAAAAGGCCTGGGTGATTATGCCTCTCCCATTATCCATCTCTTGTAATGCTGACAGCATCGATAGATACGAATACACGCAGTCACAAATTATAACTATTATGGAGTCAAAAACGGAGGAGGAAGATCCACTGTAGGTGATCTACTCGTGTATATGGGTGGAAGGGTATCTTTCGAATTTTCTCGTCGAGGAGAGGGATTCAAGATATCAGAGTCTGATCGAAAAATTGGAGCTGGCGAAGACATCCTTGGGGACGACATGTTTCCACTCCCTGTTAGCCAGGCGGGTATCTGTACCCTAGAAAAATCGGAATCGTATCCATATTGTTCGTCCTCCACGCGTCCCAGAATTGGCGTCTGGGCATCTGACTGGGATCGTTGAATGCTCACCGTCGAAAACCGAAGCATGTCAACCATTCCTTGCGCATGAAGCACATAGTAATCGGCACTGTCTTCATCCTCATTGTAACGTTCTTCTTGTGCTAAGGCCCCGTTCTGATTATGGAGTAGGCTAGTTCGAGAAGGGGATAAAGACCGGATCTGGCTCCTGCGCTGCCGTGAAAAACGGGAAGAGTGTGATACAGGGCGATGTGTATTCCTTCGCGTTCCTAACAACAACATGGAACTAGTTTCTGGTGTTGGTGGCGTCTTGGGCGTTCGAATCGGGGGAAGTAGTTGGAACGCGACATCGGGCTCTGAGACATAACTGTTTGTGGTCGGGGTAGTAGCGTTATGTGCACCACGGCCAGGTGTGATGATTCTCCATCCAGGAATTACCTTTGAATTTCTGATCAACAACATCATGCTATTGCCATGGTTTTAGAGGAGCTCACCTTTAGTAAGGGCTTACCACTCACATGTGACGACCCAGCTTTTCCCGGCCGAGAAATATAAAGGGAAATTTCAGGAGCAATAGCCGAATTCCCCTAAGTAATTAATTATCTTTCCCCGGCGCAATTGATTAGATTTCACGCCTGATATTTTGTATGATTCCCGTTTGATCTATATCCTATATATCTCAAGAGAATGATCATATTTCCCCTAAGATAAAGGATGTCTTTCCCATAAGATAAATGATATCTTTCCCCTAAGATCAAGGATATCTTTCCCATAAGATAAAGAATATCTTTCCCCTAAGATAAAGAATATCTTTCCCCTAAGATAAAGGATGTCTTTCCCATAAGATAAAGAATATCTTTCCCTTAAGATAAAGGATATCTTTCCCATAAGATAACTTTCACATTGCGCGCCTGCGATTTTTTCTATTTCCCGTTTCGCGAAACCAATTAACTTTAAGCGCCCAGCTCTGGGCGGCTAGTACCTACATGTATATATTCGAAGTACCACTAGAGAGAGAGTACTCTAACTAATTCACGTCTCACTCATGCAGATACAGAAGTTCTACAAGTATTGCTCGGGTATCTTATCTAGATCATAGAGAGGGAATAGCTTTTTAGACACATGCAACTTCTCTCGCTGGAACTCCAACAAAGACTCGAGGTAGCCATCTGCGAAAAAAGATACAGGCCATCCTTTCGGCGGTTTCCGGCTAGATATTTTGCACCTAGGGTCATTTCGAACTCTACGCTTGGTAGTCCTTCCGCTCTGAACAAAATGCATCTTTTCGACTCGAGGAACTTTATCAATGAGTGTGACGATTGTCGTTATGATGGAGTGGCGAAATGGCAAAGACATGGAGAGCTTCACAGCCTCCTCCAATTCCCGGTCATCGATAATTACCTTGTCCACACCGTCTTCATCCTCTGACATCCCCCCACTCCCCATTTTCGTGACTACGCGCAGGGCAAATGAGAAGAACTTTACACCATCTTGGTCGTCTCTTTTTCTGCACTCATTCACCATAACTACGCAGATCTCACAACGTACTCGCAATTTCTACAACATCGGGACTTATAAGCACAACGAATGAGAAAATTTATGCAAGAACCATACCGAATGCCGAGAGCTAATCTCTCCATTGTTTTTGATTCGAGATAGATGTGAATCGACCAATCGGTCTTGTATCTGTTGAGAGTTCTCTTTTGCTCCTAAGTTGTTTATGGCCATGGGCCTCCCCTTGATCACATCGAGATAAACACGATAGATTCGTTCGCCGAATAGTGCAAGCCAGTCAATTGGATCCCCAAACCTCTTATCCTTGCAACTTTTGACTATTTCCTCTGCATTCTTAGCCATGATATAAGTCAATTGCTGATTCCATGGCTGGTCTAGAAGATGTTGGGTAGTCAGTCCGCGCTTGTCTATGAGGGTATTGCGTATTTTTGGGCCATGAGCTTGAGGATTTTGTGTGAATTTTTCCAACCGGGCGTCTGAAACGCTAGGGCGAATGAAAAGCTGGTAGTTTTTGCGACCACCCAATGTTTCCCTCATGATACGCCTTGCTAATTTCTGGAATAGGTAATCAGGGACATTGGTTATAGATTGCAATCATCGTCGTTGCTTACATTCACCTGGTTCCTCTGTGCCGATCGTGACCAGTTGCTGCGCACGCCTTTCTGCGAATAGACCTTGACGACACGGCTCACATCACTTTCGACAGGATTGCCATCAGCATCCACATCTGAAGCGGACTCTTCGTCGGATGAGGAGCAGTTTGACGAGACATCTGAATCGCTCGTGCTTATCCGACGCTTTTTCTTCTTCCGCGAGGATTTTCGCTGGGACCCATTTCAGACTTGGACGATATACATGAAATACCTATTCACCTGCTCGGAATTATTATTGTCTGTATCGCTAGATCCGTGGTCAGATTCCACGATCTATTAACAGCAGTGAGCCTAGACGTTATCATTCCTCATTCCTACTGGGTTCACTCACAAATGGCGAGAATCTGTCCTTTTGCCATGGAGCTCTATAAGGTGAACGAGATGTACTCGAATGTGGAGATTGTTTACTGTTCGACTCATTTGAATTAACATTGGCTGATGCAGTAGAACGACTTGACTGGGAGCTGCTGGCCTTGGAAGATTGTGGCTGTCCCACAGGATCTGCCAGCTTGAAAGATGGAAACAGTTTCTTTGCATGATGCAATTCAGCATTGACATTGGCGCGGGATAATGTGCGATTTTTGCGGCTGGATAAGAAATGGCGACCTGCTGATTGTGTATCGAGCTCGTCCTGTTGAAACGTTAATTCATTGACTCAAATATGAAAAGGCGTGTTCACTTTGTATCTGTCACGTTCAGCTCGGAGTTTCTCATTTTGAGAAAGTAGAGTCCCATTGTCCGAGGATTCCTAATTCATGTTGATCAGGATGAATGACAGAAGTCAAGACTACAGAATATATGAACCTTAAGGGAATCTCTTTCCCGTTTGAGGTCCTCTACCAGTTGCTCCAGTGCTGTGACACGTCCTTGTTTTTGGGAATGGGAAAGTGCTTCTTGTTCATACTGCTCGCGTAATTTTGCTAAGTCATCTTGGAGCTTTGATGAATTTCCGTCTGCGAGGACCCGAGAGTTGAGCTCATCCCTCTCACGAGTGACGGTTGCGATTTCGCTTTGTAGGGTCACTAAACGCGTTTGGGTAGATGAGTTTGCGAGCTTTTCTTCTGCAAGCTGAGCTTGCGATTGTGCGAGTGAACCTCGTAAAGTTTGCAGTGCTTGTGCTCCGACAGATTGTCCGGTCTCTTTCTAGTCATGCAATTTCAGATCATATTTTAACGAGAGATGCAGGTTTTTACCTCAGTTTCATAGAATTGTTTGATTGAAACGATTTCTTGCACTTTCTCAGTTAGTTTTGTCTGTATAAAGTTAATCTGCCTGGTTCTTCAATTAATGAGCGAGTCACTGAATCTCATACCTGGAGCTGATAGTAATCCGTTTCGAGGGCATCGAAGCGGGCCTGAAGCAAAGATAAGTATTGTTTTTGTTAGAAGAAGGTCCATCTGAGTACCTTTGTTACGTGGTTCGTCTGGTAGCCGAGAAGACGTTCACGGTCTTGAGCGGCCGAGGACTAACAGACAAATGAGCCGATCTCAAGGTTCCAAAGAAAGCGAACATACTTTGAGTGCGGCATTATCTGCTAATATCTTCTCTATTTCGCTTTCGTCGGGACGCTGAATATGATCAACGAGTGAACAGTGAACAGTGGACTTTGCGATAAAAATGCCAGTTATCTTACAGACACCAGATTTTTGATCCTTTGCTCGAGACCACGGATCTGAGCCGCACTGGCCTAGAGAAATCTCAGCAAATATCAGAAAATATTGATACCGTATTCCGCCTACTTCAATTTCCCTGTGGAGGTTGCCAAGGGTAGCTCGGTCTGCTTCGATCTGGGGCTGACAGATTGAGAGTGTCAATCTTTCCCATCTGTCGCGCATACATGGAAAGAACTTACTCTTTCTGCCGCCGCAATTTCCTCTAGTTTCCGCTTGTCTGCCTCAAGTGTTTGAATTTTGGAGTTGAGTGCTTGTGTATGCGCTCCGTTGTTTTCTTCCCGGAGCTTCTTCAGTGCAGCACGATCTGCATCAATCTGGGGCTGACAGTATCATGAGTTCAAACCTCGTAAGACAGACTTGAAACTCCACCTTGTCAGCTGCGACGGTTGCTTCAAGCCGTCGTTTCTCTGTCTCCAACCCTTGGATGGCAGATTCCAATGCCTGTGCATGTGAATCCTTCGAAGAGATGATTGCCTCTAAATCCTTGATTTTACCCTTGAGTTCACGAGCCCGTGTCTGCCCAGCCTGACACAGAGGTCTTGCGAAATGAGTTTTTGGGAGGGAGCGTACACTGAACTTACCTTCGTTTCGTCCCTGAGCTTCCCAAGAGCAACACGATCAGCTTCAACTTGTGGCTGGCAAGGGAAACATGAAACACTATGTTTTTCATCGAGAAATGCAAATATGCTTACTTTGTCAGCTGCGACGGTTGCTTCAAGCTGTCGTTTCTCTGTTTCCAACCCTTGGATGGTAGAGTCCAATGCCTGCGCATGTGAATCCTTCGAAGAGATAATTGCCTCTAAATCCTTGATTCTACCCTCGAGTTCACGAGCCCGTGTCTGCCCAGCCTGACACAGAGGTCTTGCGAAATGAGTTTTTGGGAGGGAGCGTACATTGAACTTACCTTCGTTTCATCCCTGAGTTTCCTAAGGGCAACACGATCAGCTTCAACATGTGGCTGGGAGGGTGACATGAACAATTGGTTTGTCATTGATAATGCAGATATGGTTTACCTTGTCAGCTGCAACAGTTGCTTCAAGCCGTCGTTTCTCTGTTTCCAACCCTTGGATGGTAGAGTCCAATGCCTGCGCATGTGAATCCTTCGAAGAGATAATTGCCTCTAAATCCTTGATTCTACCCTCGAGTTCACGAGCCCGTGTCTGCCCAGCCTGACACAGAGGTCTTGCGAAATGAGTTTTTGGGAGGGAGCGTACACTGAACTTACCTTCGTTTCGTCCCTGAGCTTCCCAAGAGCAACACGATCAGCTTCAACTTGTGGCTGGCAGGGAAACATGAAACACTATGTTTTTCATCGAGAAATGAAAATATGCTTACTTTGTCCGCAGCAGCAGTTGCTTCAAGCTGTCGTTTCTCTGTCTCCAGCCCTTGGATGGTAGAGTTCAATGTTTCCGTGTGCGAGTCTTTCGAAGAAATGCTTGCTTCTAGATCGTTGATTTTGCCCTCGAGTTCACGAGCTCGTGTCTTCCCAACCTAACACGGAGAGCTTGAATGAATGTGATACGAGTAGTGAACATTGAACCTACTTTTATTTCGTCTCTGAGTATCCCCAGGACAGCACGGTCAGCTTCAATTTGTGGCTAGAAGGACATAGTGTCAATTGCTGTGTCATTCACTGTGAAACACACCTTATCCGCCACCGCAGTTGCTTCAAGTTGGCTCTTCTCTGTCTTTAATTTATCGATATTTGTGTTGAGCAGTTCTATGAGCGAGTCCTTGGTTGCTAAATTGTTTTGCAACTCATTGACCCTTTGTTCAAGCTCAGGTAATTGTGCCGTCCCAGCCTAGTGCACAAAACGTGAGCATTCGTAAAGTCATATCGCTATCGAGATCCGGACTCACTTCAGTGCTTTCCTTCAGTTTCTTCAAAGCTGCGCGGTCAGCTTCGATCTGAGGCTGACGGTTCGAGCATTCATCTGTCAGTTCAAAATGTCTCTCACGTTTGCATTACAAGAACAAACCTTTTCTAAAGCTGCGTTTTGCTCCAACTTCCTTTTTTCCATCTCCAGACTCTGAATCATATCATTGAGCATATGTGCATGCAAGTCCTTGTCGGCAATTCTCTCTTCAAATTCCTTGAAAATTCATTACAATTTTCAGTTTCTATTTGAAAAAATAAATGTACCTTTTGAGCCGCCTCCACGGTGGCTTTGAGGTTGGCTTTTTCTGCCTCTAAAGCTTGAATGGCAGATTCGAGGTTGCGTGAGTGCGAATCCTTGGAATCGATACTAGCGTCTAGGTCATGAACTTTTTGTTTCAGGTTGAGAATGTCCACAGTTTGCGCCTGCATGTAAAGGTCAAAGTGAATGGTCGAGAAGATGTAGAGAGCATTCACTTACACTGTGTTGGTCTCCGAATTTCTTTAACATCATACAGTTAGATCCAACTTTATGTGACACAAGACCTGGGAGAGTTTTACCTTTTCTGCCGTTGCCACAGCTTCCTTGAGCCGAGCCTTGCCTGTTTCCAGCACTTGGATGGCAGTTTCAAGTTCTTGCGAGTGCGTGTCTTTGGTAACAATGCTGGCTTCCAGATCTTTGATTTGTTGGGTGAATCGGGAAATTTGTCCCTAATAAAGAACTTCAACTAACCGAGGACCAAACAAAGTGTTCGCTCACCTTGCTTTCGGCCTGCAGTCTTGTGAATGCTTTGCGATCTAATTCAGCCCTGAGCTAACAAAACTGTATCTCAGCAACGAATTCACGCCTCCATCTTTACATCTTTTGAGCATGGCTTACCGTTTTCTCCTTGATCTCGCTCTCTGCAGTGCTCAATTTAGCTGTTAGGATCTCGATCTCGGGATCCTTTGCAACAAAATCCTGAGGGACAGCTTTTCTGTGATCTTCGAACTCCTTTTTCAGTCGCGCAATTTCCTCATCTCGTTTTTGGGTTGCATTGGATGCTTCTGCCTTCGCAGATGAATGAATTCCTTTCAATTCCTCCAGTTCTTCTTTCAACCTATCTGAGTTTTGCTAAGGACGTAGATGAGTCTTATCAGCATGTTCATAGGAATAGTAGATCTACATACTCTGGAATCTGCAAGACTACGCTGAAGCTGTTTGTTTAGTGTCGTTAGACTCTCGATCGTTCTGCCTTTATCGATGACATCTCCCTAAAGGAAAGTTACATTTATGCCAAACGAGCATATGAACCAGGAAACTCACCCTCAGTTTACGTCTCTCGACTTCTGTAGAATCGACTGCTTGAGAGTTATGTGAACAGTTGGTGCTGTCAGTTCTTACAGCTTTTCCGGTTTTCTGTAGTGTTTTCTATAGTTACGTGGGTAAGTACGCATGAGCCACAGTGAATGAGAGTCGTACTTCGGCTTCTAGTTCGTGTTGCAGTTGTTGTATCCGTTCATCTCTTTCAGCTAGTTGCTCTTCTACATGCGCAGGTATGACTTCTCGTTCAACTACGCGTTCTACCACACGGACTTTGAACTTTGGGATAGCTCAGGTCCAGGTCTTCACACCATGAGAAAAGAAGTACTCACATCTGTCACCTTTTGCGGCTTCTCGTGAATGTCCTCCGCCTGGCTGGATGACTGATCGTCGTCGTCAGAGGATAAACTGAGCTTCCTTCGACGGTTTGAGGATATAGCTGAAGGGGTTTCGAGGTCGTCGTTATCGGGAATGACATTCATGGGCCGCCTGGAGATTAATCCTCTGCGGGTACGAGGGATCGCTGTCGGCACTTCAGTATCATTGGCAGCTGGCGGCGATTCAGATTCGTTGGTTGCAGGAACATCATCCATGGGATGATCCATACTAGTGTTGGTGGCGAACGTGGCACTTGAGCAGGCCTCACCGCAATTCACTGCAGTTTGGAAAGGACAAAGGAAATATTACATTCAAAGTAACGCTCATAGTCGGTAGTCAAAGAACGAGCGCTTAAGTACTACTGTTAATATTTGGTCATACGAAATATTGAAAGACTCTTATTTGATATTTTCTAGTGCGAGGTACAAAGTTTGTAGTCCACTACATTGATCGATGCTCTACCATGGCCAACGAAGTTTAAAGGAAGGAGGAGCGACGATGCCCTCCTCTTCAGCGACGAATTGCACACCTTGCTGAATGGTGCAGGAAAAGAGCGGCCTCAAATGAACTTCGGCGCGGCATAGAGGACAGCAGGTCACCAGGTGAGTTTCAGGATTGTGCGCCTTCATTCGAAGATCAGTGAGTCTGAGTTGACTGAGGCAACGCGCGCAGAACGAATGACCACATGGCAATCTGAGCCACAGGTACATTAGGAAATTACTAGACAATTACGACGAATACTCACACGTATGAGTTCCAGGCCAACTCATAACAGACTGGGCACTGATACTCCTTTTTCCTGGCAGTCGCGTCTGCTTCGTGTTGCATTTTCAAGTCCTATGGAATAACCTATCGTCAGTGGAACCTGTGGCTATGGATCATTGCGACTTACAGCCTTTTCTTCGCGGACTGACGCAACTTCCCGACGAAGCAATCTGACTTCTTCGGCCTGTGCATTCAGTATTTCAGACGTATAGTCAAGGTACGCTTGTACTTCTCCATGAAACTTGTCATCGGAATCGTCATCAGGTATGACATCCAGGGGAGCAGGAATAGCGGCGAAGGTACTGGAAGCGGACGCAGAGTCTACGGCAGTGGCATTGGGGATGTAGTCTGTTGAAAGAGATGTAAGGTTCATGATGTTGTTTCCCGAGGCTCGAAGAGTCCTGCTTCGAGTAATCATGGGGTGTTGGTGAACATAGAGTGCACGCGTAGCCTGGACGGTTGAACGACGCATAGTTTTGTGAGTGGCACGCCCTCGCGGATTTCGCCCCATCTGAGAAATTGAACGTCAAAATCGAGTGCGATCGCTCTGATATATACGAACTGGCCGTACCTTAACCTTAATATTATACTAATCGGGGGAAAACGCGTTGAATGACCACGAGGGTTTCTCATTGATATCGTTTGTTCCTTTCTTGGGGTGGCTGAAAGTAATCTGTGCCAGAAATCCCCACGTCCTTCGTTCCGAACTCGCATCCACTTATGCCTTCCAGCCAAACCCAAACTCACAGCGCATCTACTCCACACGATCACCCGACAGTCTCTGCTACTTCCCGATCTCTGGGTGATTCCCTCATAGACCCCATATACATCAGCGATTCGGAGGACGAAGGTTCTCCTTCTCCGAATGTCACATATATTAGTAGCGAATCTGAAGATGAAGATGATCACCTTTCGCAGGTATTTGGCAACAGTTTGTTTTTTGGAGTGGCATTGGTAAACTTGTATCGAAATCCAGGATGCGATCACCAATGAAGTTAAGCGCGACGAAGCTGATCTTCGTAAGGACATCCTGCAATATCATTTGTGCCCGATTTGTCTAGAGACAGCGTTTCAGCCCTACATGTGCGTGAATACGCCACACGTTATTTGAGGGAACTTACTTATGCATGATCTTCCAGCCTCGAATGCGGGCACACCTTCTGTGTTCATTGTCTCAACAAATTGAAGAAGATATGCAATGAGAAGCACTCGTCGTTTCTGTGCCCAACCTGTCGTGCGAAGGTGATGCACAAACCCGTCTTATGTTTCAACTTACAGGGTGCAGCAGAAGCTGTGACTGCTCATCAACAAGTTTTTCGTCCCGCTCCGAGAAAATTACTTCAGTGGTCTATTGAGGAAGCTTAGTTAAGTTGTCTAGAATAGTAATCAGTCACTCACACTGTTAGGATAATTGGACTTTCATTGTTCCTTCCCTCGAGAACGGCCGATAAGCTCAGCATCTAAAGTAGACTATTGTTGAGCGAGTAGTCTGATTGAAAGCAACGACCAGAAAATTCCCTAGGAATCTCCGTGCATTAGAAAGGTTCGTTTTTGGGCTGGGCGGGCAAGTTCGACTCGCCGCTGATAAAGACGAAGGTCTAGTGCGAGAAAATTTCAGATTGACACATTGGATCTTCCTAGATAAGGGAGAACCGAACATGTGTTCCAATATGATATGTCCCTGAGGCCAAAATATTGAGAGAAGTTTGGGGGCGCTGGAACTCAGCTGCGGGCGGGTTGTGAGTAGAGGGGTTTCCGCGAGCTGTGGCGCCCTTGTTGATATTGATAACGAGAGGTAGTAAATCCTTGGTGTCAGGCCTAAGGTTCAGAAGTCGTCCTTATATCCATATTACCAAATTGGTAAGAAAGATTGGCGTGCGAGTATGTGAAAAGCTGGGAACCTGCGACAGACATATTTAGTCCTACAGATGCACCATGAAAAGCTAATGGGTCGGGTTACTTGAATGATATAAATGTATAACGACCAACCGGAAGGCTTGCGTCCCAAATACGTTGATGAGACCACATTTGTGCCAAGATATTATTGTACGCAGCCGCTCTGTTATATAAAAACCACTCAAATCCGTGCAGGGTGATCAGGACGCGACAAGCTTTCCTATGAGTGATTTCTGAACGGAGATCTTGAGTATTGGTTGCATTGAATAGACGCAAGGATGCCAGAAACGCACTTTCTCCTGAATACATTCCTATTTCCTCTTCAGTAGTTGTACGCCGTATCCAGTATCGCGCAGCTTGGGCTTTGTCGATATTGGCAATTGAATTACAATTACTTGAAGTAGCGTACATTGTGGAAGAGCATCCTTCCACTGAGGATGGAGAAACGAATAAATCCTGGGCAAGAGAAATCAGGACGAGACTGTTAAGCAATATTCGCGGATACACACCAATTTCAAGCCATATACTGGACGCTCCTTCGATCCAAAGCTGACCGGTGAAAGTAGAAGAAATAGATCAGGAGAGAAGCTATTGTACATGGAATGCGAGGGATCAGCGAGGGGTTGAACAATAGCGATCATATGACTTTGCTTAATTGCTGATCAAGTGCTCACGGTAACATTCTAAAATCGGACCGAAGCAGAAAAAAAAATCACATTGATTTCACGGAATTATGCAAAACCCTTTTTAAGTTATCATTCTAGTACAGTGGATAGCGTATAGACATAATGAGCAAGCGATGTAGCATTATTCTACTTGATAGAATCAAGATGGTGCGATACATCATTGACGCTCTGGCCAAGCAAGGGAATGCAAGGGAGGTGACGAAATATCTGAGTTTATCGCAATTCTTTCGACTACGGACTGAATCAATATAGATGGAATGGGTTTTCGACAGACCGGGAACCAGCAAACGGGACAATAAAATATCCTGCCAGTGACAATAGATTGTTGTCGTCTGTCACTGATACACCTTGAGCAAGCGGTGTGTCCACACGCTAGACTGAAACACGGTAAAGCCTAGTAAGCAAAAAGAGGAAGGTAAAGCTCTGTTTCAGTACGCACACATGTGGATTCCACGCAAGATCATTGCAAAAGGAACAACAGAGCTCCAGCTTTCGGATGCTGCGTTTTAAATCATTTATCTTCCTCAGATCCTGAAAGGAAGCATAAATGTGAGTAAAACGTATTTCAGAATAGGAATGTAAAATAAAAGACTCACGATACATTGCTGTACCAACACTTCTATACATTTCTCGGCGAATTCCAATGAGTTTTTCTGTTCATTGAAGAGACGCCGGGAGCGCGTGTCGAACAACTCCAGATCCGTGACGAATCTCTGATCAGAGTTCGTCAAAAGCTCTACGGGAATACCGGGCTTTGACGGAAGTTCGCCCATGGAAGTTCGAACTTCGGAAGAAAGATCGCTGCTGGTGGTATTAACAGTGGAAGGAGGGTTGTGGGCCTCGAGTGAGGGGGAGTCTTGGAGGAGCGAGAGATTGGCATTCAAGACACGAGAAGAGCTGGATGCCTCTAATGAAGACGTGTCTGGGAGGAGGGAGAGAGAGAAATTGGCGTTCGAGACGAGAGAGGAACTAGAAGCCTCGTGGAGAGTGCGGCACTGAGTGACATGACTATACAAAGGTGCAGTAATCAAATTTTCCGAGAAAGGCGAAGAGGGGCAGTGAGGGGGATTGCTGTCGGTGTCCAGTGCGGAGGTAGAAGCCTCTGGGTAAGAGGAACTTCCATTCATACGAGTAAACGCAGGTGCAGGATGTACCTGAGCCATACTACGAGTAAGCATGCGATGTTGACGGACAGACACCTCCGGAATCCTATGAGGATGATGACGGGTAGCAACTGATCGTCGAGCGGCGCGCTGAGGACCCATGTTCAAGAGGGGGGGAAAGCGAATTTCGAATGAAAATGCTGGGCCTCGCGGTAATGCATTTATAGGTTCATCATCTTTTCCATTGTGGTTCAAACAATCGTTTCGATGAAAGAAATGTACGGAGAATCCAACACATGAGCAAAGGGAGTGGCAACAGTCGTAGTGAAAGGGGCAATATATACGAGGTTTCCCGTCAATAACAAAGCTGCCGTTTTTTTGAGACTCCGAATGCCGATTCTGAGCCGATTCTGAGTCGACTTGATCTTCTCTATCACTAGATCTAGCTTCACCTCAATGGGTAGCATGCGCAAATCTTCACGATCCAAAATCGCCGGTCATCGAATGGTGCAATATCCCAGACTGTCATCTCGCACTCACCCTATGATCCTCCGTAGAGCTTCTGCTCAATCAAGCTCTGCGTACACCACAACCGCCACCCCCCATGCCACTCCCATGTCAGACCCTGCACCAATCACAGCCGATGCGCCCTTCATGTCAAACCCCGCACCAACTACCTTCCACGAAGCTGCCCCTATGTCAGATGTCATCAGTGCTTCTCTTCCGACAAATCGACCCGACCTCGTATTCGCCAAAGAGGCCTGCGATTACATGAAACGCTCAACGGAAATTCTACAAACGCAAACCGAGAATCTTATCCTCCTGAACCAGAAGCTGGCGTCCTTAAACGAAGACAAAGAGGTACAGTTCGTTCAGTTATCGGTTCTGAGGATCATGCTGAGACGGATGATTGTCAGTCACTTGAAAATGAAACAGAGCAAGAGATGATTAGCCGTGTAACAGAATATCGATGTCCTCTTTGCTCTGATTTAGCTTGGGACCCGTATGTGTGAGTATCTTTCGAACTACTTCGCGTTTCTTATTCAATAAAAGACACAGTCTTCTTTGTGGTCACTCCTTCTGTTCTCAGTGTCTCAGCCAACATAAAGCTACGCATGTTCAGAAACGATCCGAAAATCCGGATACAATCGAGGTCATCGTTCGCTGCCCAACCTGCCATGCCCTCATTCTTCGTAGGCCTCAATTCTCTCACACTATACGGCAAGGTGTCGAAGACGTTGCAAAACATTTTCGACGAGTCGTTCCTTCGTCGCGACAACTCGAGTGGCCTTACTAATTGAGGATTGAGCTGTGGCGCATGTGGCGACAATAGGGCCGAGGCAATCGAGTCGAACAGTGCTGTATAACTTCTTACATTAGTCTCGTAGACATAGACATTCTCATATGGTAAAGACAGTCACATCAATATATATCTGATTTTTAATATTGAGGCAGTACGAAACTTTCTATGTATGTGATACGTTCAATCATGAAGTACAAATTTCAATTACCAGCTACCAATAGACGAAGAAACATTGACACCAGAATGAGAGCAAATCGGAAACGCCTGTGCGCACCATTGGACATCAGGACAAAATATCGTTAAAAGGTGAATGTCTGACAGGTGCTGGGGAAATATATGACCGTCGTCCAATCTAGAAATTTGGTTGTCAATGCTCCTAAACTGGGTCCAATACGTGCTGTATAAGATAGAGGTGTTCCATTTTATGCAGATAGTCTTGACTGCAGGCGTTCGAATAACGTCCAGTAACCAGTTTGACGGGCGTATATGAAAGGTTAAACCGAGATACCGTAAGGCAGGCATAATAATCGGAGCTCCTGTAAGGGTTTCTGCATAGAGTAAGAGACTGAGAATTCTATTCGGGGGCAGCAAACCTTACCGTATTCTGTCCAGGCAGTGCGGTTGTCAAAGGGTAGACAGAGCTCGAGCCTAGTGAGGTGCTCCGAAATTGAGGGAAAGAGGATCTGCGCAGCACTAGCAGCACCTACAACCAGTGTTGCAAGCTCGCTAAGGTCGAAAGGGCATTTATGTCTATCCAACCATTCGTACTCTTGAGCATAAGCGGCTTTGCCGGTATATTTAGGATCGTGGCGATGAGATAAAGGGACGAGCTGCAAGAACACCACTTTTGGCCTTTCTTCTTCAACGCGAGTCATCGCATGAATCGCAGCATGGGCACCATCAGCGCGTTGTTGGTGGGAGGAATGGTCATTGACCTCCCTAGCAGGAGGCGGAAGTGTCAATGTTCGAAGCAATTTACAATGAGCAAGAGACTGAAGCATTCCGCAAAAGTCTTGGTAGGACATTCGAAGGGAATTTTGAATTATGAACGTTGTAATGGTACCAGAAAACGCAATGATAGCTTCATTGATTTGTTCCTTCGTCGCGACGAAGTCCGTTCCTCGGACTACAAGGGTCCTCAGGTGGACTGGGTAAGACGTGAACGCGGTGGTGAACGGGCTCCAAGTGTCACCAATGAGATTGCGGACATATCGCAAACGACGAGAATCGTGTTGTAGGAGTGCGAGCTGCACCTCATCGTCGGCATCGACCGTTCTGAGCCGTGCAGACATCGCTGGCTCCCTCCAGTAATGGCAAACTTGCGAACAAGCATCGAGGTCTAAACCTTCTACGTATGACAGATACTCGCCGAACAGCTCGGGGCAGAAATGGATGGGTATACGGTGTTGGAAGACAGTCGTCGAAGACATCCTGGGCGCAATGTTGGAGGTTGTTGGGAGGAATGAAAGATTTATCCAAGACAAAGAAAAATATAACGTGGTGCGTGTGTCAGAATAACAGCCGGTGGATGAGTGGGCACGAGGCAAAACAAATCACATTTCGAGAGCATACTTGTACTAGTATTGAGCTGCTGGGGACGATACCAGCAAGATGTATCATAAAAAGACTCAGATACAACATTGTATCCACCATTGAAGCAGCAGACGTTAGTCGGATATCCATATGGAAATTGGCCGAAGAGACAGGGCATAGTGTTGGAAAACTAACTTCTCAGATACTCACTACGTCTTGAAGTCACAAATCCTTAGAACTTGGATAGAGTAAGTGTGGTTCCGACTAAAAGAATTAGAATAAGTAAGATTTAGTACAACGAGAAAGTGTACCGATTTCACAGCTCAACGCCGGAGATCCTGCCCACGAAGATATATTGGGGACTCACCAAGCATGGCAGCGAGTGGTTGTTGAACAGATAAGCCATGCGTGCATAACGCAATGGAAGATTAAAGGAGGGGTGTGCGAGACTCTTCTTGAAAACCAGTGTCAACCGGACACTGTGTTCGCATACTATAGAAGAGAAGAGGTTTTGAAGCAATTGGGCCCGAAGCAACCAAAAGGAACGACGTGATACCTTGCTAGCCAACACAACACACTTTTTCTTTAGGTTTTCGTTCCGTCGGTTGGTTTTTTGGTCCAAAAGCCATCTTGTAAGACGCTACAAGTAAGCAGCTAGATGTGTCGACCATTATTGATATTTGAGCTGTTGAGAGAAGCAAAAATTTCCGCAAGGTACATCTGTGGACAGCGCGAGTGTTCTGCTAGTAGGATGTTTGCCTCATGCCGAAGTCGGTCCACTCTGAGATGTTTTTCGATGGTAGTAATCAAGCACAGTAGTAAGTATGAGGGAGTCGATGCCTTCACAGTTGAAGAAGGAGAAACGGCGAAACAAAAGGACGCAAGTACTAGTTCAAACTTCGAAGGAAAGGATGATTAACGTATAGGCGCCCAGTTTTTAATTCTCGTGAGTGCATGACGAGCGCCCGGAACCTCCGGAGCGTGTTGATATCCTCGGATATACGTACATATATCGTGCAAGGACCCCAATATTCAAGGGAAAACAGTCCTAGTATTCGAGGAAACTTTGAAATATGTCTGCACAGCAGAAATCGCATGACAGGCTTTCCGAGGACGACGACGCATAATCCTCTACAAATTCATTGTGCAAAACGTCGTCAAATATTCGAAGAACCGCATGCAAGCCGGCGAGAAGAATAGTAGAGATAATAGTACTATATATTGAGAGTAACTGTTCATATACTTCTGCTAGTGATTTAGTACATGTCAAGTAATCTAACGCACAACGTTCCGCAATCTCGAATAGACTAAAACTCTATGATAAATGGTCATAAATTGGTCGAGTGGCACGAAGGTCATCGATCTCCATATCTTCCGGACGAGGGGTTGAAAGACCGAGTAGCTCGCCGACCGTGCGCTGTAAAGCGTCCGACTTCAATGGCATGAACCTGATAGTCCCGCGACAGATAGGACATGCGTGATGATGAATGGAATCAATGTTGGCTTGGACACCCTCACGGGGAAGGCGACTCAGGCAATCTTCACAAATTAGTGTATACCCGCAGAACTTGAGACTGAAGAATAACAGTTCAGTGAATAGTAAGCATAGTATGTGTTTACACGTACGGTCGTGAAAATAACATGTCGCAAACGACACATTCATTTACAAATGATGAGTCGACAAGTTTCCGGAATGCGACCAATACATCCTGTACGGAACACTTCTGCCAGCTAACACTTAGAAGCTCGAGGTCCGTGATATCGGACATGACTACCTCCGGAGCATACCCTACGTTCGAACATAGTGCTTCGCAAGTTGGGGAGTGGAAACGATCAAGAAATCGACTTTTAGATTTCCGTTTCGCAGGACGGCCGATATGTCGAGCAGTGTATCCAGTGTGAGCTCTTGGCTTACGTGGGGTTTTCGGCATGGTACGATGGCAAGAAGTGGTTGAGAGTGTATTCGGAAGTGGTGACAAACTGGTCGAAGTTTTAGTGAGATGTGGCGTGCAAAAAGACGTCTGGGGATCGAACCTCCCTTTCATTTGACATTTGAGGTGACGAGAAGTAGCCCAAAGGCCCGCGCAAGTACTAGTACTTACTAGTACTGGAATGTCTTTGTTCATACCTAAATGAGAACATAAAGCAAGATTAGACGCCTTCTGGCGCTTATGTAGCTCGAATATAAAGAGCTAGGTCAAAGCTGGTCATTCAATTTAAACTTCCTTCCATGGGTCCACATCGTAATACACGGACGAGGTCGAAAGCTAATCACCTTACCACCCAGTGTCAAAGAATGCTAATTGGAGAGCGGCATGCGATCATGGGAGATCATCCCGCCACTCCAGTTTCCAATTCCGCTCTCTCGAGTACCACTTCCTCAACAAACACAAACCTCAATGGTAGCGCATCTGGTGCTTCGACTACCGTGTTCCGTGCCAAACCTCCCATCGATATTGACACCATCCGCGAATTCCCTATGGTACCTTCCGGCCGAGAGGAGTACCTTAAAAGACAAGGCGGGACTGATGAGCTTGTGAAGGGATTGGACAACCTGCATGCAACATCGGAGAGTATTTTCAGGGCACAGAAAGAGGAGATTCTGCTAAGAAGGCATCAGATCAACACGCTGAAGGAACAATGCCGGGTGAGCGAGTGGCGCGTCTGACATAACTTAACACTCATATTTTCGTATATTCCCAGAAATATCAAGAAACACTCTGCTTGAACAAATTGAATCAGGAACGAGAGCATACCTGTCCCGGTTGTGGAAATCTCGCATGGGAACCTCGAGTGTGCGTTTTATTTTGCTTCCTCATGGCGCTCACCGACGTTTTACATTCAGTTTAGTCTGCGGACACACAGTATGTTTTCAATGCGTTCGCAATGAGCGACTATCAGCTATGAGCTCAGGCCGAACGAAGCGGTGCCCGAAATGCAGAGCTTTTATTTGCAGACCTCCCATTCCATCGATAACCATTCGCCATTCAGTTACTAGCATTGCTACTAAACTGGGGAAAGTACCACCTTCGCCTCTCTCCCAATGAAGGATTGCTTTATACTTCAAATGGATCACCTTAAACCCTCCATCCCAACCACCACGCCGAATATACATGCAGTTTAGGAAATGTGAGCGCGAGGAGAGGTTAGAATATGTAACGGGTAGATCACTTCCACAACGACATAGAGTACTTGTAGTAGTAGGCTTTCTGTCTCTCAACTCATTTGCACATATCTTAATGTTTTTGTCCGTCACAAACGAGAATGACAGAAAAATGAAAAGTTAGCCTGCAGGTTCGAACCTTCGTTCAACACCTTCGTCATAGTACTAGTACTAGTCTGTCGGCACTTCTTTACTCACCACAACTCGAACGTGTTCAGACTGACGACTCTGACTAATCTAGGTGAACGCTGCTCATTTGAATCTCCAACTTTCGCGGCATGACGAGGACGAATGTAATTAGGGAGAGAATAGGGTATAGAGAGGGATACATGAGGAAAGAAGTGAGAGAATGCAAGAAATCGGAGACAGGAATCATTTGAAGGCCATCATTTACGTTTGGGGACTCTACTAACTCGACATACGCTTTCTCGATTCCGTGCCATCTCCAATACTGATATGCTATCGTCCACTGAATAAAATACACAAACATCAGTCAATGCGGTATGACAACTGTATGACACCTACAAGTATTTAACGAATCGATAGAGACGGTTGAGTCGTTTCCAGTACTAGTGTTATCATTCACAAAGAAATTACGAGTAAAGCGCCGACGCTATAATTCATGTGAGTGCAAACAGGTAAGTTGCGATCGTAGTCAAAAGCACCCACTCTAGATCTGTTTGTGCGCCTGGTGCCCAGATTGTACATACGATGTTCCTCCAAGTTGACCAGGTAAGGTTCTTCCCCTAGATATGTGGCAGTATCCCGACAATCTTTTAGCCATGCTGCTCCAACGACCTTTGGCCTCCTTTCTTCGTCCAAAGCACTAGAAGGCGAAAAGGATATCGATGTGAACGAACCAGACATGAATACTTACAAGTACTTCCGTACCGTGCTCTGACGGCCTGATGTGTATACAACATGAGTGCATTGTGGCCCAATGCTCTTTACGATCTAATGGCAAAAGTTAGGGAATGTCATTTTGAGAGAAACATCATTGAATATACATACATGTGCACCTAGATCCTTTGCAATATCATAGAAGAGTGACGATGTGTTTTCCCCATGAGACATCCAAACATCCACGTAAACGGTGCAGGTCTTCAAGATGTTCGAACCGAGACCATGCACGTCTGTATTTGATTGTCTTTCTACCTGTGAAGGATCCTGGGTAACGTTGTCGGTGTTCGAAACTGCATGAATAGGACTATTCGAATCAAGGGCCTTGCTTGTCCTCGCTCCAGCAGAAAATCGGTTTGGAGCGCTGTCCGCAGATTCGACATCGCGACTACAAAGGAATATTGCTGGCCTGATCCGTTTAGGCGAAGGCTGATTATCTAGTATCCCGGGTGAAGGCAATCTTCTGTTTCGGGAGGTCATCTCCTTGAAATCTTCCGACAGGACCTCCCACATTAAGATGGATGATCTAGACGAAGACTGAATATTTCATTGTTTGTCTCGAAGTGGACTAGGCGCCTACTTGGCGCCTCAGGTGCACGGGCATATAAGTTTCTTCCTTCCCAACGAAGCCTTGTTCTCCTTGCGTTCTCCATTCGGAGAGACAAATCGAGTAATACTGAAAGAAATAGAAGTTAGCTTGTGGCGATAGCTCGTAGAGCATATCACGAATACTTAGGCAATCGCAACTTTCCAGAAACTTGGAGATCAAGGAAGACCTGTTTGAGGAGTCGGATAACCGGACCGACATTTAGCAACGTGACCGTGAGGCGCGACGCGCCTAGAGCGCACAATCACATCATCGATTTTTCTCATAGCGCGCTCCTATATATACAGCTCCTATATATACTAGTTCTCAAGAGTACTAGTACGATCGAACCTTATGAATGTCCCCAGAAAAACATACTCTTCACTCTGGATCACGAAGCTCTGAATCCAGTTCTTATGTTATGTACTATCACTACGTCTACCGAAAGCATGACGCGAGTCGATCTCACTTCACCTGTATCATCGACCCAGGTCTCCTCATCGCGGAGGGAGATCACCACAAACTCCAGCGCACAGCTATGATATGTATGCATGCTCATACAGGAAGGACGTCTTCCAACACTGTATCAGAATCCTGTATTTGTCCCGGCTCGAGTGCGCGATTTGACTGAAACTCTCAAATCACCTGAAGTTTGCTACTTATTCCTTTCATTCGTCTTCATAATGCTGATACTTACATCACTCGCCGTACCCAATTTCTCATTCAATACCTGGACCCTTCCACTAATCTTCGTATACTCTCTACTTGCGTCATACCTCCTTCAAACTCGCCAACAGACAAGGACATTTGATACAAGATTGTCATTACGACGAAATGTTCTATTTCCTCTTGAGGCTATTTGATGTGCGACATTGAGATTCGATGACCAAAACAAGGGTTCGCCGATTAAGAACGGTACGATAGACACGCTTTCGTTACTGGTTTATCCACAGAGTCGCACATTCATAGTGGATCAAGATAAGGTTTTTTGAACATGCACAATGAGATCGCCGAACCCAGTGTACATCTTGTGAGGCGCTCCACGAAGCGGGAAATAACACCCCAGGAAGGCCGAAGGGAGGACGAGGTCTCGCCGGGAAATGATCATTTACAGCCTATCCAGTACAAAGGAGAAGGCTGAGAATAGCGTGGCAGAAAGAGTATACGGTGACGCACCTGAAATTCCTGAACAGTGACCCAGATCCTGTTCACGCCGAATGCGGTCAGAAATGTTGCAAGGATTTGGACTGGAAAATTCGCAATGTTTTTAGGAATGCTCGTCCAGAAAGATTTAACCTCTCCTGCCGCAGCCTTACTTTCATCGCTGTTGGACTCGACATGAACCGGGAGAGCTTTGACTGCGAATCGTTCAACAGAAAGATAATTGATCTGTTCGACTGGCCAGTTCGGTGCCTTGCTCGTCAAGAGCAGCAAGCCTGAGGTCACCTTGGTGCCTTCCTCCGCTTCTACTTTCTTTGACTTTTCAGTGTCGACAGTGTGTACATGTGCATTGGCAGATGAATTGGTACGATCCCAATCAGCATGTTAACTTGTATCTGTAGAGGTAAGAGGGGCTGAGAGGGTGATTCCGGTCACCGCATTGGAAACTTCAAACCACTGTAATTTTCAATTGATGTAGTCAAGCAGTTTCCCGATTCACTCCGCTAGCAGCATGTGTGTTTGCACCTCACCATTAGAATGCACTACCTTCTTCGCACCCCGAAATCGAACACTCTTTGACCAGCTTATTTCACCTCGGATGGCACCAAGTTGTTCGTTCTTGAACTTGTCACAGCTAGTTCAGTATCAACACAGCAGATGCTAGAGTATAAATCCATGATCATTGAATTATACTGGTACTACGAGTCTCGATTTACAATAATCTAGACTTGATAACCATTTTTCACCAGATAAGGAAGAAACCTAGAACACATTAGAAATGAGTCTTCATCCGATGTCATGAATGTAAGGGTCTAACCTCGTAGGGCAGAATTCATCGTCAGTATCTGAATGCAGGGCATGCGTCATGGTCGTTGTCTGCGTAAAGACCCTTTTGAGAGGTTTTTTGCCGCATTGTTTGAAGAGATCGGGATATAGGGAAGGAGCGTCGTCGACATATCGAAACAAAATGCGAAATGCTGGGTGTCGAGAGACTGGGTCCATAACAATTCTGAAATGGCTGTGATCCTCTTTGTCGCAGACAGTTTCTTCATCAGACATGTCTGTAGAAGCAAGGGAGTCTAAGGACCGAAGGATGTAGGACCAGAAAAAGACACCATCTTCATTCCCCGATGATTTGCAGTTGGCCAACATCATACTGGCAATTCGCAGGCGACGTTGAAGTTTCTAGATAGAATTGGTCAAAGTCCCCGGTGCTTGAACAAACCTCTTACCTTGTATGTTGCCGTCTTCAACATTTTCTTACGTCTACTCTCGATATAGGAGGTGCTCTTTCTTTGGAAGTGAGAGGCATCACTGATAATTCGATCGATTCTAGTTCTGAAGAGTTTCCGCCAATCAACCTTTGCGCTGATACCTGGATGAGCAGATATCGCCACTTCAGCTAAGAGTTCGACAACTGCCTGATTCCAGTGGGAGCGACGGGTGAGACTCGTGAAATCTAGCTGAACTGCACCCATGTGTGGACCATGGCCATTTGGATCTGACTGGAATTGAGCGAGTTGTGTTGTCGACACAGGTTCCTTCAACGATGCCTCATACGTGTATTTCAGCTGCATTGCACTATGGAGTATTGTTCTTGCCTTTCGCTACATTTAGGTGAGTGAGTGAGCAAAGAGAATGAGTGGAATCCTGCATACGTTGATTGCAATACTTGTGAGTTCCGAAGAATCCATGAAGAAAACAGAGAATATTTGGATCGCCCAATGCACTAAAATATGTCGTTGAGTTGAGTATATAAAGGGGGTTTCGGTGTAAAGGTGGAATTTTGTGTCCCGTTTTGTATTCTCTTGCAGAAAAGGCCAAAGGGAATGAAACATGAATGAACGAAATAATAGATCGCGCTTGAGGAATCGGAAGAAGGGGACGTAGTAGCAAATCCGAATGAATCGGCACGTTCCGGTGTAAAGGTGGAATTTTGTGTCCCGTTTTGCATTCTCTTGCAGAAAAGGCCAAAGGAAATGAAACATGAATGAACGAAATGATAGATCGAACTTGAGGAATTGGAAGAAGGGGACGTAGTACTTGTAAATCCGAATGGACCGGCACGTGTACATTAAACTTCATCGCGTGTCAGTTCTAGATCCTTTTCGCTTCATTAAGAAGTATACATATATATATAACCCTTTCACATCAATTGTGTTCTTTACCATCGCTTAAGCTATATTGTCTTGTCTCGGTTTTCGAGGTTATTAGCTTCCTAGTATAAATACACATGGGACGTCATCCAGTTCCCAGAAATCTACTTTGCACGCCGCACCCTTTACAGTCACACAATGTCGATTCCCTCTCTTCAGAACGCGCTCGTCGCAGATAGTGATTGTACTATCTCGGGAGAACATCCCGTTATCCAGTCTATCACGATACTCGATGCCAGATGCCTCTGTGCTCCAACACTACTCCCCGAGTCCAGCGTTACTCAAGTCGCTTATGTACATGTTCGCATTCCCGCGTCTGATAACCAGAACTCCATCCAGGGTTATCTCGCCACTTTGAATGCGAACTTCGACCCACTCCCCATCGATGTGTCAGCCTTCGAATCCTTCTCTCTGGCACAGCTAGACCATCGATTGAAAGGAAAGGTCGTCTCCATATTGGCAAAAGCTTTTCTCGATCTTCAATCCGTTGCCTCCGAGGACGCCATCTCGAAGCCAATCAATCGTAAACAAGGTCATGTACAAAAGTATATGGTGGCACTTGTTGGTGTTGGGAGTGCTCTACTTGGTGCAGTTGCCATGTTTCTCGTGCTCGCCTTTTTCTAGTAGCCCATGGGTAAAATCGTCGTTAGTTCCTAATATCGCAAAACTCAATGTTTCATGTGCTAGGAAGGCCAAGAACGACGGAGGTTGAGAGGCGCGGTGGCTGCAAATACTGCTGAAGGACTTGGGGATTTTGCGATACTAGCTCGAGGCACACGCGAGTAGAAAAGTGATAATATTGTAGTATCTAGATCAATATTGGCAAGCGATCCTACAAAGAATAATAAGTCGGGAACCACATGAAGGGACCTCAGCACCAACATATTATGTACTTCCTCATTCCACTGTCTTTCGCTGGTCTTTCGACGACGGTAACACGGTTGCAATACTCAAACGCATAGGTAGGTCCGAACTGCAGTTGAGAATCAAGCTCTGGGAAGACGTTCACGTCATTCTTTTAATTGAAAGACAAGTCAGGGCAGGCAAAATGCCACGAACGGTCTGGTGAGAGCTAGCGTGAACACGTCCGTTATTTCAAACGTCTGTACACAAATGCAGTAAGTGGAGATTATTACTAGGAAGAAGCTTTCATACCGCTGAATTGACCTCATACACACTCTCGATATTGTGCCAGTATTCCGTCGTTGTTGAATTTGTGTTCAATTCGAGCACTTACGAAGTCAATGTTCACGCTGGTGAGTTACAAGAGGTGTTCAGAACTTGAAGAATGACGCAAATCAAACCAAGGTTCAGTCTCACGAAGAACACCTCTCTCCCCTCGCGTCTTCCGACTACATCATGACGAATCCGGACGTATAAATGCTGGAAGAATTCGGCCTTTACCATCACCGTCAACTTGATGCTCCAGGACGAAGAAAGCCTAGCCTTACTCGATACCCTACAATCATCGGTGAGCTTCATGCAAGAGGGATTCAATCGTACAGAGATTAGTTTTCAATGAATTTATTATCAGGAATTTGAACTGAGTAAGCCGCGTAGGGGGCTTTTGCGGATCGCGCGACGGATTTGTTGAACCATAACAGAAGATGATTCCTAAGGACAACGTGCAAGAGCTGATGAATATTGTGCACCTGAGCTCATAAGGAAGTCGTACTAGCCTGTATTGGTTGGATCCAGGAGCATCGAGATCTGAAGAAGCTTTCAGTGTAGCGATTTCGTTGTATGGCCTTGAACCCAAACAGATGTTAATAGCGTGAATGACCAAGGTAAACTCCGATCTCGCTCCCACCCAGCAATCCTCAATATGATGTAGCTTTCCTCTGAGCTATCCGTCGCCCTCAATACGAGACGAGTTTTGCTGCAGAGGAGGTGCTTTGGAGCTGGGTGGTGCATGAGTCGGGTTCTTGGCGTATAAGCGGAACAAAGGTCCGAATATTTCAGTTGCTCAATCAAGCGCCAAATGTTAACATGTTCATCTCTTCCATAACAGACTCAACTCGAAACATTGCTCACATCAACATCTGCCAACAGATATCTTTCCGCGGTCGTACACCAGGACGGCGCAGGTACTACTAGTACTGCTATTGGGTTATCAAAGGGTCTTCCATGTATATGTAAGACCACGAACCTCGGAACCTTCGCCTCATTCCCCTTTGTTATTCTCGAATTTGGAATTAATGGCTACACAAAGACAATTCTCACAGCAGTCGGCCAGCATATATATATAAAGCTGCAGCACGGTATCTACAGACCCATTTCGCATCTAATATGGCACCATCTCGCTGCTTCGAGTCTCCGCGAAAACGTCAATCGAGAGGCTCCAGCTCTAGCTCACCATATAAGCGCATCCTTTCCTCGCGCGACCCCAGCTTCGCACTCACTAAACACCGAATGCTTACGCGAGGTCAGGCTCGATATAACATCGAGCATGAGGCGCCGCTTGGTCCTCCGTTAGCCATGACTCTCTTGCCTCCCGCGGCCTCTCCGTCTGCTCACATTCTTGGCGTCGTCAATCACCGTGATAGGCACGTCTCTCCCTCATGCACACCCGTCTCTCCCTCGCGCAAACACGTCTCTCCCTCGCGCAATATCTTTGCACTCTCTAAGCACTCAATGCTTACACGAACTCGGGCTCGATGCGCTGCTGAGCTTGATTCGCCTCTGGCTCCACCTACTGCTCTCCTGTCTCCCATAGCCACTTCGACTGCTCACATTCTGAGTGTCATTCATGATCATCATAGGGACATGGATTCTTTCGCGGCCGCCATCAAGAGTATGGTTTTGGAAAGTCACAAAGAACTTGATCAGTGGACCAGAGAGGAAATCAGTAATCGAGACATTCAGATAGAAGAAGAACGTCGGTTGGCGGAGAACAACAAAACTGAATTCACGAGAATGTATGAACTCAAGCTGCAATCTGAAGCAAAGGAGCTTGTTTCGAGGAAAGTTTTGGAGAATTGTGAGACGCAATTACTTGTGAGTGTTCAGAACATGACTTCCAGTGTATTTCTTAATGAAATTTGCGTAGGTACTTCGGCGCCGAATCCAGAAATCAAGATCAACTAGAGAAGGAGAACATCGCTGCCCCATCTGTATCGACCTTGCTTGGAACCCTCATGTGTATGTTGATCATGCTCTCTCATTGTCGTATATTGTATTTACCAAATCCTCAGTCTGTCCTGTGGCCATATGTTCTGCGCAAGGTGCATCACTCGAGTCAGGTTCACTTCACTCCAAACTTTAGCACTATGTCTATGTCCCATTTGTAGAGCCCCTATTCTACAGAAGCCTGTCCCGTCGCTGACTATCCGCCATGGTGTTGAAAGCATCGCGGATGCCCAAGGAATGACTCATCCTCCTTTGTACTGCCTTCAATGGCCAGTCCGGACATCTTGGCATGCACGCTCCTAATGGTAGTTCGGAACTGCAAATCTAGATCTTCCGAAAGTCGACTTCGTGTTCTTTGAACTTGTATATCTCTTTTTTGTTCTCTAGCGTACTCAATACCAGTTCTCAATTAATGTTCAGTTATGTAAACCCATGATGGCTCCCCAGTGGCTCCCTACGTTTACGCTCACCCTTGTTGGTGCTTAAGAATAGGACTATTTGTCTTGAAAACGAACACAAATTTGAAAGACCATATATATATAGGAAGGATATCGATACGACAAGCTTTGCAAGTAATTGGAGTACAATCTGGGTACAATTGAACTACTACGTGATAGCCTCATCTTCGTCAATTATTCAGCAACTAATTTGTCTAGCATTCTTGTCATGTCTGCAATAATAGTGAGCCATTCGTGAACGGGTGCTTCGTTATCATCAGCAACATGGTATCCCAAACCAACTTTCCACCATTTGAGACAAGCAAGTAGGCCAACCCATGCGTTTCTGCCATGCTTGTTGAGCGACGACAAATCATCCCCAAACTCTTCAAAGGACATGGGTAACCCATTCTTATCCAGCGATCGCCAATCAGGTTGTAGACTAGCCCACCAAGCCCATACCTCCTGCACAAACTTCGGTGTGAAAAAGCCTCTTTTGTCGACTTTTGGCAAAGGTCGAGGTCGATTTTTCATCCAAGCCAACAGCACAGATGGCCGGTTCTCAGGTGAAAACCCAGCCAATTTGTGAGGGTTGAGCCAATTGTTCTTACGCTCGTAGTCCATCCATTTTTGCAGTAAATCAAGATATTGAGGGCCAAGCGCTACATTCAGGTAGTGGAAAGCTTCAAAGAACCATCCCGAAGTTGGTGCGTCCATTGGATAAGAAAGAACAGAAGCTGAAGGTGGAGTTGAATCCGAAGAGTAGGGGTTGTTCTCTGAATGGATAACGATTGGCAGAGCGTTTTCTCCTTGATTAGTCGGGCCGAGATCGGGATGCTCTAGAGAAGCACTTTTGGATACGATATCCTGGCAGGAGGTCGACAGAGTACGGAACGGGGAGATAGTCATCACTTACTTCGTTAAGCTGTCCAGCATTTGCCACTGCCCTCCGCTTTTCGAGGTCAGCCACTTCGTCTCGTAAAGAGATGAGCTTGGAGAATACTCGTTAGAGCATAAAAAGCAGTAAAGCAATGTGATACGCACCTCATTTGAAGACTCTTGCAGAACCGGCTCATTGCCCACACCCGAATCTCGAAGTTCGAGGACCACCGCCTCTAATTCCATGACCTCCAGTCGGGCTTCCCGGTATTGGCGATAATATAGATGAACGTCCTCCTTCAGTGAAACAACATCGTCCATTTCTTGATTCTGAAATCTCAACCGTAAACATGCTGGAAGGTGAAGGATAAACAACACGTACAAGGATTTTCTCGAGATCATCTTCTAGTTCATTGACCCTAGATTCAAGCTGAGCATTTCTCAGACGTAAAACTTCGATTTCATCTTCATAGCTTCCGTTTTGCATGATACGACGAACTTTCTAAGATGATGGAAAGCAATCAGGAAAGGCACTGACTTGAGACATATAGACAACGTTACCGTGTAAGGGGCATAATTCTCATCGAATTCATCTTGATGAGTGTCGCTCCAGGGAACACTGCGTTTGAGTTGTGTGGGCATGAGAGAGCTATTGATATTGAGTCCTGGAAAGTTCAAGCGCGAGTTTATAGTGGAACCTCGACCAATGGTCATAGCTCAACGGTCTTCTACGCTTGATGAGCTCGATAAGGAAATCCAATATGGCAGGATAGAGTACTAGTTGGGACCATCATCAATCATCATCATAGCGGTAGTAAGTACTAGTAGTACATGAACGAAGGTAACCAGTCTGAGTATTGTCGATTCGGCTGAGAGCTTATGTAATTTCTTGCACAAGCAAAGGGAACGAGTACTAGTACTAGTCAGAGGAATGCGACGCCCCGTTGGCACTGCACGGCACTGGCAGGAGGCTCCAGCGGCTCTAAGTCCTCAATACGTACGCGTCATTCCATGCCATCTCTTCTTCACCGAACCGTTCGCAAATCGAGCAGACATTTCGTTGATCACGACTGCAGTCTTCGTCATGTTTATTCTATGCCAATTCAACATGTTCGACAACCAATAATTATATTACACCCTATCAAGGTTGGAGTGAGATGAGCGGGTAGAAGAGCTGAATCCTGTACTTACCAAATTGAGACAGATTACTTGAGAGGAATTTAACTCCCATCTTGCTATATGACCTGACAACCAATCAGTTTTGACGATTTCTAATTCACTTGAGAAACTGGAAGAAACTGTTTTAGCCTGGAATCCCTGGTCCCAGAATCTTCGAAACGCATCAGGTGCTGTCTGGTCAAAAGCGATTGACAGACTTCTTCGTACTGCAAATCTAAGTTCGCCATCCTGCTTGAATATGAACTTGATTTGTCCCGCTACCCACTCAAACTGTTTGTTTCCACCAGGGTAGAAGCAGATGAAGGAGTTACCCTTTCCCGGTGCTGACGGAATTCCATAATATTTTCCATGACCTGCGTGCACCCGACTGTAGCATTCAAGGCTTCTTGTACTGAGCAATGAAATCAATTCTGGGGGAGTTGCCACTCGGAATTGTGAGGGTTCAGAATCCTCTGACATATCCTCTTCGCATTCCTCCCAGTGAGCATAGGTTCTATTGTCTTTGTTCAAACCAAAGGCCTTGTCAAGGAGCTGGCGTAGAACTTTCAACAGAGGAGGGCAGTTAGGACGTAATAGCCAACGGCGGAATGCAGAGCCTTTGCAGAAAGAGTGGAGTAAGGTGCTTTCGAATTCACCTATAGAAACATGATGAGAGGAGATATGAGGATGCAAGGTATCAACTGTCGCACCAATTTTATGGTTAATTGTGATGTTCCTCAATCGAGATATCAAACGCTCTCCAGGGAAACACCAAAAGTTATGTACCGGTCCGAAGAGATCCATGTAATCATAGATATGGAAACTAACATGATGACTAGGAAGGATCCATCCAGGGAAATTATGTTTCAGGCCAAGTATATGACACCGAAGATATTCGCGGAAATTCAACCGATCTTGAAGCCGTGATTTGTGCTTGGTCATTGCTATTAAAGCACAAGTGAGGTATAATGAAGTATCCAGAACTGAGCCCATGTCCTTAGCATCAGATGCTGCAAGAGGAGAGAGAACCTGCCACATGCTCAGCAATGCCAGTGGCAGGAAGATAGCAAATAGTCTTCGCCAGTTATCTGCCTTTGGTGTTCCAGCTCTTGGAAGCCCTATATACTCTGAAGGCTTAGAAATCCAGGAAGGAACAGTCACCTCTTGTATGACCTGCCTAACACGCTCAAGAACAGCAGGCGAGTCAACTGGTGTCCAGGAGAAAGCATCTAATGGCTGTGTCATGCGCTGCCGAAAATATACAGTCAGATGGGAAAGAGGAAAGGAAACATATACACAGCTTACCCAGTCAATCAGTTGATAGATTAGAATCCGTTTGACATCTCGTCTAGGTAGTTGCAAGGGGACTCGATTGAGGTCTGCGCAAACATATAGCAATGCATCAACACCTTCAACGTTCAGACCCTTGGCTAGTTTCTCTTTCCCCACACTGCTATTGTCGCACGGCGCCCACAGCAGTTGATGGATATGACCAACACCTGTCGCAGAGTGCCAATTCATTCTCCTTGCTGTATCCTGCATCATTCTTTTCCGCTCAGTATCGGTCAGTGTATGACAAGCGACATTGCCATGAAATGCAAGAGATAGGACAGGAGACGCCCAAGGTGCTCGAGGAGGAGCAAACATAGTGGGTGTGAAGTGTGGCCAGACAAAAGCGTGATCTTCGTGAATGTCATGCAACCGCTACGATGAGTTTGTTAGAAGATTATGTCAATTTTAATGAGACCCATCCTATAGCTACCCATTCAATGAGTGTCTCTATCATGTCATCTTTCGTAATGTCACTCTTTGTTATCATCTCCTTTCTCACAATTCCACCCGAGATTTGGACGGGGAACACCATAAGGTCATTACAGACATACAGTAAAGCCCCCCACTTCTTGCTCTTCAGCCTCGATCGTAGTTGCGCTTGCAGCAAGTCTGTAGAAGGCCGCAATGAGGATAGAAGATGATGTATATCGATCAATTCCCGCTTATAAGTATCGATCTCGACCAAAAGGTTCAACATTCGTTGGTGGCGAAAATGCTGCAAATCATTTGAAAGGTGCTCCCACTCCAGCACTGCAGTAACAAGATCTTCTTCAGCAGTGTCAGTTGGTGTGATAGGGGCGGAATTCACAAGAGATAGTGGAGGAGGGGGCGTAAATTGGTAATAATGTGCTATCGAGGACACGGGCGTTGTATCTTTGTTCTTGGGCTCCCTTGTGCTGCAAGGGTTGTCTAAGCGTAGCGCATCGCAAAAGAAGTTTCCAAATATATTTTTTAGAGCATGCATGGGATCGATGGACACCTGTTTCGAGGGACTATAATAAGGCAATCGCCAGAATTCCGAGAAGCGCACCCCATACAGATGCTCTACTCTTTCACGCTCAGCACGGCTCTCCGCATCCCGCCATTTTTCTGCACCTTCACGAAGGTACTCGTCATCAATTGCCTCCCAGTCCTCATAATTCACCGAATTAAGGTAGGCTTTGTGCCACGTTTGACAGGTCGCACAGTATGTATGTGAGCCTATGTCAATCAAGCCAGCAAAGGGATGTGATGCTTTAGCATCCATGGAGATATTGGCCAGAACTACACGATGCGTGCGCTCGTATGGTGTTTCTTGGTTGTCTGATGAAGCACATTGAATACCCCTAGTGTACGCAACTAGCATCTCATCTATGACCGGTCGTAGATAGTGGTTGTACGCCCCTGCTCTAGCATCAGGTTCTCGGGGACCCTGTATGACTCCGGGAACATAGACATAAGCCTGATCTTCCCGTATTTCTAGGGGAAGGTTGAGACAGCTCATTGACATAATTCCTGTCGAGTTGTGTTTGCCACCATGCAAATTCCCCTCAATGTTGAAGAAGTCCGCGTGGAGCTTGAAGAACCACCGGCCTTCCTTCTCTCTTTCACGTACGAAGAATTTCCCATCCGGTCCCCTTAGCTCAAAATAGAACCGTCCATCGCAGGCACTTCCTTTGTCTTCCGGAGGTTGCTCATCTGAAATCTGCGCGCAAAATGCGTCACCGTATTGAGCAATTCCTGGAAGAGCAATGAAGCGACCAAACCAATTCAGGAAAGAATAGACCTCGAAAGTCTTTATGGGATTCCCACTGTCTAGCAGCAAAGATTCGCTGCAGGGTTCTGCAAGAGCCATTGGGCGATGTGTGCATTTCGAAGGATACGTTGGTCTGGGAGAGTTATCGGAAAATACGGGTGGATGTGTATAGCTGCATTGTGGACAAACTGCGTATATGGTGGTCTCGACGTCAAGATTGAATTTTCGCTCCAGCTGCCGGATGTCTTCGGGTATGTCAGAAAGCGTTTTACTCTGGAGGTCTGTAGTCCCCTCTGGTTGTAACAGTCCATAACTCATCGCAAAAATTTTAATTCCTTTGAGAAAAAAACTAGAGACCGTACGCCCGACACCTTCTAAAAGTCGCAGCGTTAACACGAGTGTATAAGCAACGAGTGTTGCTGTTGTATAATTTGAAGAGATATCAAGTACAGCTACATCTGTGAGACTGATCAGGAAGTTGACTTATTCAAAATATGGCCACGACGTACTATTGTCAAGTCTCAAAGGGCTATTGTCGGGATATGATTCGCGCCAGACTGAAACACATTTCCTAACGTCTTCAAGAACCGCATTCGCCTCTGCAACTTCTGAACGGACTGCGTCGCGTGTAGCTGCTTTTCTTAAGTCCGATGACGTGGCCCGTACTGCACGCTCCGCCCTTCCGAGTACATTCTGGATTACATTTAGTTCTGAGGATGGCGACAATCCGTGAAGAGCCGAAAGATGATTTTGCATGTCCTTCTGAAGGGATCGTATGCGTAACGAAGCGTCGATAACCGAACGATGCCTTAGTCTAGGATCATTGAAAACGTCCGCGAGTGTCGCGTCATTTTGAGAAGCAGGACTGCCAATCTATAACCAAGTATTAAGAGTTTGTCATAAGATGCGAGCATTGATCTCTTACATGTACAGTTTCCTGAATAGTTTCAACAATGGCTTCCAGAGCTGATGGGTCAAGCGGGGTGAACTCTAGGGAGTCTCTATCCAAGATAATCTGAGCCATAACGGACAAGCCAAAGTTCGAGGTGTCGATCGTAAAATGGTTCAGAGAGTTTTGAGTTGCCGAATTGAGACCGGATGTTGGCACTGAAATCGAGGAATTCTCGTCTGCGCTAGGAACTGGAAGATCGATCACTGAGTCATTTTGCCGATTGACGCTGCCATTAGCTGTTCCGGATCCAGAGTCCGGACAGGCTGCGGGAGTTGAAGCGACCTGAATCGTGGAGCTTGTGCTTGTGCCAAAATCGAAGGAACCATTGTTGGATGAGTTTTGCTGAAGAAAATTCTGGAATGCAAGTCGCTGGCCATTACGAGATTGTACACGGTTTGCTGAAGGCGTCAGAAATAGAGAAGGTTCGGAATCTATAGAATGCGAGGTATCAGGCCGGGTGACAGAAGAAGAGGCAGGAGGATAAGCGAGGGTATCTGTATCGGTATCCGCAGGACTAGTAGTACTAGTATTAATGAGAGGCATTGGTCGACGTTTTTCTATGCCGAATATGTCTTCGAATGCTTTCCTTTTCCGTGCCATGGCCCCTGATAAAAGTTGATAAAAGTTGGTTTTGATTTGCACGTTCAAGCTCAAGCTGGCTGATCGTAGTAATTAATACTATGGCTACATGTAGCCGCCCTAAGCTTTTTGGGCGGCTACGAGCTGGGCGCTTAGAGTTAATTGGTTTCGCGAAACGGGAAATAGAAAAAATCGCAGGCGCGCAATGTGAAAGTTATCTTATGGGAAAGATATCCTTTATCTTAAGGGAAAGATATTCTTTATCTTATGGGAAAGATATTCTTTATCTTATGGGAAAGATATTCTTTATCTTATGGGAAAGATATTCTTTATCTTAAGGGAAAGATATCCTTGATCTTAGGGGAAAGATATCATTTATCTTATGGGAAAGACATCCTTTATCTTAGGGGAAATATGATCATTCTCTTAAGATATATAGGATATAGATCAAACGGGAATCATACAAAATATCAGGCGTGAAATCTAATCAATTGCGCCGGGGAAAGATAATTAATTGCTTAGGGGAATTCGGCTATTGCTCCTGAAATTTCCCTTTATATTTCTCGGCCGGGAAAAGCTGGGTCGTCACATGTGACTATCGACAGCCGTATCGATGTCGTCTGTGATAAGCTCTCGACCGTCCTCGGCTACCAATGTCGAGACGGATAACAATGTTTCAGAACGTGAAGGGGTCATAGATGTTGGTAATGTGGGTAAGAATAGCGGTTGCGGGGGATGAAAAGGTGTTGGGTCCTGTTGTTGTTCATGGTCTCCCTTACCGCTATTCCAATTAGTCGCACTTGCCGACCCAGTATGCCTCTCTGATCTCGATAATCCAAACCCTGCATATGGTTGATACTTAGTATTACCGGTCTCATCTCTTTTATTTGTTGGATGCGCAAAGCTTTGAGAAATATCTCTGCTCTCGACAAATGGCTCAATCGTTAGTTCGTGATTGTGCAATTGCTGTATACTGTGATAGGTCATCGGAGGCGTGGACGGTCGCGTCAGAGCCCCAGAAGGGTCGAATTGAGATTGAACCATGTAACCCTTTTGAAGACGTGCCCAGAGTGTTTTGTTACGCTTGTTCAGGAGCTGTCCAAAATCTGATCATCACTTGAAGTATTATGGACTCAAAATTGTACGCACTAGTAGTAATACTAATAAGGCTAATAGAGATGCCCACGATGGCACCAGTGCTAATTCCAACGCTACGAGAGTCACAATCACCTGGACATAATATGAAATCTGTAACTCACTTAGTATCATTTGATGTAGGAGTGACAACCTCCTCTCCTTTCCACACCTGCGCTTGGTAAATCCCAAAACAATTCTGTGTGTTTGAATCTCTGGTTCGCCTTGTGATATCAGTAGCATTGCTAACTCCATGATTGATGATGGGCACTGTGTGTTCCCCGGGCCCCAAATTATCTGCATAGTAAAGAATAGCCGTGCTTGTGATTCTGTTGGCGGAGAAGGCGCGGGGAGATGATCCGTCCAAAGCGACAGAATATGATGAAGTAAAGTTGGGTCCTATAGGGCCGGATAATGAGATGGCTTGACCTAGCAAGTCGAATTGATTGTTTTGGCAAATAGGAGAGCTTCTAAGGTAATGCTAACCCTGAGAAAGAGAAACGCTGCGTCAATACTGTATACTTAGTGCTTAACACTGAGCAGCAACAGCTCACGCACTTCAAATGTGAAGTTCATCGAAGCTCCAATAGAAGATGTAGTCCTTTGAAAAGAGATCAACGTCTCATTAGTCGACGCGAAGCACATAGCATAAGGAACATTCTTTTACTCACCGTCCATTCGAACTCTCGGAATTTCTTCGCCAGGCGGCCGTAGGTGCCCAGGAGAATTCAGACATGTTGTCGTTGTACGTTATGGATGGCGGACTGTTATCAAATGAAGAAGGATCGCTGGACGACGATGCATTTCCCATTCCCGAGGTCCAAGAGATCTGCAAGATAATCAGACCAATTTCATAACCGGGCAATGGCGCGAGTGTATAAAGGACCCCTGTTTATGGTAGGGGACGTTGGTTCCAGATTCGGTCAAAAATCGACCTGATTTGGCATGTATGTTGGTAAAATTTTTCGGTCAAGAATGAATGATTCGGGCTGGAGCCTTGGCACAAATTTCGGTCAAAATTAGTCAGGTTTTGACCACTTGTGCAGTGTGAATGTATGAATTCTGGCCTATTCTGGCATACTGTGATAGATCCAGAGTCCTTGGTTCAAAATTTAGAACTGAGCTCAGAAAACCATTTCCACTGCATTTCGTGAATTTCGAGACATCACTAAGCGTGGGCGCCAAAGAATGTCTGGATCTAAAATTCGGTCAAATTTGGGGTCCGTCGTGAGGTCAGTTGCAAAATTCGGTCAAAATTGGAGGATTTCATGAAAAAAACTTTCGGTCAAAATCAAGCTCATTTGGAAGGCCAAGGAACCAACCTCCCCTACCATAAACAAGGATATATAGATAGATATCGAGTTCAACGTGCATGTGGCGAAAACTTGCTTGATTTACCCCTAGGGACAGAGGTGAATGATTACTACTCGGTATTGAACGTTGAACTTGACAGGATCGTCTAGGTCAGGATGAGCTCTCCGTTTCTTGGTGTATACCTTGACTATTGCGAGTTCTTCCCATATCCTGGAGACCAGGTAATCCAAACTGATATAAAGCAGAAATGTTAGAAGGTTCGGAGTTTACTTCGTAGATATAAATTGTGCTCGCTTTGAACCCATTTCGCAACTAATCACTCTAGACTGGGGTGCGAGCGATTTTGTCTACTTGTTCGAGGCTAACGGAGTCAATTTTATGGTATCCATCTGAGCCATACGAGCAGAGGTTTGGTGATCAAGAAAGGCGGGTGACGAACAGATACAAGGGTCGTATTTTCGGTTTCCTGTAAGCGGCAGAAATCAAATCGGGATCTCTGCCGAAGTCCCAGGAGAACACACCTATAAGGACATCGATCAATTCATCTGTGGTAATCTAAGGTGTGATTTAGAGAAAATATGGGAGACTGAAGCTCGAACGCTCACATCTTCCCGAATCATGACGTCGCAATTGTGAACAACACGTAGATCGCATCGAGTTATTGTGTAAGATATTTCGTGACGTGATCCACCAGTTGTCCTTGAATACTACATCGGGTTTACTCTTGTTCAATCGGATACTTACCACGAAATTATCAGGTTCGCTCTCAATGAGATAAGTCAATCTCGTACTCGCAAAGTCCCATTCTCCATTCGCGCAGGCCAGCAATGCCTCGTTGATGCTTTTCATGCCCTCAGTAGCGTCAGGACTCTGCTCGACAAACGAAAAATGTGTTTTAGCTTTTTGTATATATCGGCCCTGGAGATAGATTCGCGCCAACGCAGATCGTAGTGCCGATGTTGGCTCTGATTGATTGCATAAGGACTCCAATGGTTTCGTGGATGCACCAAAATCCTTGAGTGGTAACGCGAGAAACAAATCAGTAGTGCATAATAAGTGGAACGAGGGGCACGCACTCTCATTTCGCATAACTGGGACGCAATGATCAAAGAAACCCTCGCTCCACGTTTTTTCCACATCGAATTTATCGTTGGGTCTGATTTCGGAGCCTTTCTTGCCTTGAGCTTACACTTTCTCAATAACGCATTGTGCGCGTCAAGGTAGCCCATATGATCCCAGCCCAACTTTTCAAATAACCATGATTCGCCTCTGGAGCTTTGACGGCGTTCAAGACAGAAAAAAGGTTGCTACATTCAACAGAGGTTTGGTTGAAGAGGCGTAGTCGTGAGAGGCATGCTAGACGAAGATACCATAACTAATTCAATCATTGAATTGGGGAGCACAGAAACGATTAGTATAACTCACGCCTAACACCAAAGCCAAATCTTCTGGGTCGGTAGTGACTAGTCGATCGCGCGCCATCCTAGCTAATGCTCTCTAGCTGTTGGTTAGCTGAGCAAAATTAGAGATACGAACTTGTCTCGGAACAATGTTACTCACCACGAGCGTATGAAAGTTGTTGTTTTGCCATTCTCCAGAAATGTCTCGCATTGGACGTCTCTCCGGTGGATGTATGTAATTGTTCAGCAACGTAGTTAATGGATCAGTCTGTGAGAGTTATGGATTACAGAGAATGCAACGATGAAAGAGAAAGTTTACATTTAGTATGGGCAGAAACATAGTAGGCAGCACAAGTCCAGGGAGATGTATCTCTGGTGCGTCTTGTTCTTCGCTTTCAGTAGGCGATGGAGGTCCATTTTTGATCAGATTCTGTTGACTGAATGATTGAGTGGGAGTAGCCACAGAAAGTTCTTGCTTTCGTTTAGCGTGAGCTTCTGGTTCCTCGTCTGAAGCATCGGATCTGATTCGGAATCAATGAGAAATGGATCAGGGACTTCAGGCTCGATATAGACATTTGGCGTAGTAGATAGTATAGACTCTGAATGGTCATTGTCATTGTCCGAGAGTTCTGATCTTGCGCTACTGTTGTTTTCCATGATGAAAGGGAGGTGAAGTGAAATTACGGCGCTAAAATTAATTAAATAATATTAATACAGATTTTTCCCATTCGATTCTCTCAGGATTCTAATTTCTTTTGCCATCTGCCATCTGCTGCTATCTGCTGCTATCTGCTATCTATGCGCTTTGATATCTTTCTCTAATTAATATTTCCTTCATCATGCGTAGATTTGTCAATGTCAAACATGAGCTTCCTCCGAATCCGGTGTTCAGAGAGATTGGGCGTTCGGACGGTGACCGGGACACCTGGCCCAAAAACACGACACGAATTGTCGATTCAGATGGGCAGGTCAACTACATGCAATATGTGCCTTCTGATGAGGGAATAGCCATAAATTGGCGTGTGCAAGTCGGTCAAGCACTGGCTAATGCCTTCAATTGGCCCAGTAAGTTCCCTATCTCAAGTCTTCCAGTTGTAGAATATTCATTTGTGACTCGCAGAGGGCTTTAACTATGTGCTAGAAGACTGGCCTGCCAATTATCGAATGTTCATACACCACAAGGGACCTGTCTCAAACCCCCGGAAAGACGTTTATCTATTTGGTATGTTTTACTCGAACAGGAAGGTTAGAATGGGTGTTAACGTATCTTAGGATCGACAAACTCCCCAAAATTCCGCTCCGTACCAGAACTTATACCGCATGCTATATGGCTCTCCAATGATATGAAGGGAAAGTGTCAATGCAAATACTGCTCAAAAACCAAACAACGAGAGATTACCTCTAACATGGGAGAACGAGGAATCATCGAAAAAATGTCCCCCGGGCCTTCGAGCTCACCTTCCCAAGCTTCGTTACCGGAACGTAGACCACGGCTGGAGGGAAGCGCACTTCGAAACCAAGCCGTGTATGCTGCCGTTCATAAAGCCAAATTGAGAAAGCCTTCGACCTTCGTCGTTCCCAAACATCACGCACCCGTTGAAAAGGTCACTGGTCTGGAAGCTGCACTTCATGATAACACTGCTTTCCTACTCAGGCGGTGGTACAGGATTGATGAGCTTGTTTGGGTTGAGCTAAAGTCGCCGATCGCCGGACCCAAAGGAAACGGCGATGTGATTAATGCTTGGCCAGCTATAGTAGAAGACTCGTGGACACGTTTCAACTCTTCTGAAAAATCTGAAGATAGTATTACTCCATCAAAGAATGGCTCATACCCCGATTACGATCCCGAAACCCCCCCTCAGACAGTCACCCATTATAACAAGTACAAATTGAGATTGCTAGCCACATCGTGTTCTATGATGGCGCGAGACCACCAAGTTCTGCCTTATCAAGCCTACCTGCCGCCGACGGAACTCATTTACGCTCTCCAAGACGTCCCGCTTTCCAAAATCAGGCTCGATACAGAATACACAACGAACTTTACTCCGGTCATTACTGAAAATCCCGAAGAGACTGTCTCTCCACCTCCTTCGTTCGAGGATAGTATAGGCCCGTATGCACTTGCTATTCAGATTGGCTCCCAAATTGCAGGATTCTGGGGTCTCACGGGCGATTCGGACTTCAAGTTTTCCTTCAAAAGTGACGCGCCCCCGCCGCCGTCTGGTCCTTCGATTTCTAGCTCTGCCGGGTATACACTCCAAGATGCCATCGTCGCCGCCAGTAATAGCAATGCTTATAACGCCGGCCCTCAGACATCTTATGAATCCTCTGATATATCTGGAAACCGGTATATGACAGTGGAGGAATTGAACCGAACGAAAGCCACGACGCTTGGTGCACCTAAAGCCGTAGGTCATACCTTTACGCAGAAGAATTTCCATGGCTTGTGGTGGGGTGCCGAAAGAATTTGGACCGGAGATCTCTTACGATTGAAGATAGGCCGAAATGCAATTGCAAGAGACGGAGCACCTCACATTTTAGCCCCATCACCCGCCGGTCCCAGTGCGCTTTTACATAGTGCGCAGAATGGTGACAATCTGGATCCAAAGGAACTTGGTGCACGCTCACGGGGTGTCTTCATGCGGCTAGATGCGTTGTTCACGGTAGAGGTTGGGGAGGGACGAAAGCGTAACGAGTGTAGAGCTGCCGGGATGTTATATGAACTTGCAGATATTGACTGGGTTAATCCTTCAGAAGACACAGCGAAAGAAACCTCCTCGACGCCATTAGGAACTGGTAGTACTATCTTCGCTGAAGCTTCCAATGGGATGTCAAACGCGCTTCCCCAGCACTCTTCATTAAAGCCTATAGCCCTCCCCAATCCAAACCCTGCCATTCCTATAGCCGAAACTGGCCCACAGATGCTTTCAGAAATTCTTCCTCGCTCTTCCGTACCTGAAGTAAATGGTGTACACAAACCACCGATCCCGGTTTCTCACTACAATCTCCCTCAGCCTCCCACTGGGTTCAAATTCCGTCCTATCCTCGATCCGGGGTACGAGGCTGTATTTAGTCTTACCCTGTTAAGTGGACGATACTACCCTGGCATCCTCGGACATCCTCTTCTTATGGAAGCCATTCATCAAGCACTCACACCGGAAGGAAAGATTGATCCTCAGACTAGCCATCTGTGGGCACTGGAAGGTCTGGAGCCTGGATTCTCCAACTCCATGGATCCTATAAGATATAAGAAGGACAGGCTCAGGATGGTTGTCGATGCAGAGGTCAATGCAAGGGCGCAGCTAACAGAACACTTTAGTTCTGATTCAGAGCAGGCTGATGGAGATGTATCGATGGAGATTGGTAATGCAGAACAGAGCATGGAGGTTGATCCAGTACCAAATGACCAAATGCAGGTGGATTCATAATTGCAGAGTGTGCAACTTACTTTTTTTGCTTTGGGCTATGTATATATGATTCCATTCCACTCATCGAAACCGATTGAGTCTACCGTGATGTTAATTCTACAGCATTCTTGAACGCCCCCAGTAACGCGCTCATCTGAATATTCTCACTGCATCAGGAACTGTAATCATATATAGACAACATAGGATGGATTCATTTTGACAGGATCATGTTATTGGTGGATACCTTTCAATAACTTGAGACCCTATGTACATTGTACATACACAGACTCAAACTGGAGGTAGGTTGATAGGTTGAACGCGTTGACGCGCGCGTCACGAGAAATATTTTTCCCAATGCGGCGTTTTCTTTCTCACAGGCATCAACGATCAACGCCGCGTTGCTCAGAAATTTCTGCATCTCTACATAGATGCCGGCCATGTCGTCCATTGAGCTCATCAACCCTCAAGCAGAAAGCGTTGGACGGGCTCCTGCTCTTCAGGTGAACCTTCTTTTCCGTGAAAACTGTCCACAGCCTCACAATGAAGTCAGGTCAATACCAATACCAATAGAGCGATGGCCTTGCCAATGTCGTCATCCTACCGCTGCCAGGCCTGTATTCCCAACTTTCGCATTGAACATCGGATTCTACTAGCTATTCACATCGAATCCGCTCTGGACGGACGTTCAGTAGGAAATCCGTTGCGCTATCAACCTCAACCCTCTTCCTTCTCTCAGTGATCCCTCCCTGCCTGCAAATATCCGTTACTCTCTACTCTTATTATCCGCCAAGGAAGGGTATCTGTTATGGAGGCTGGAACCAAACCAAATCGACGATTACCGGAACAACATCGTAAAGGTGGTCTCCCTATCGGGTCTGTTGGAATTAAACGGCTAGACGGTTTCTTCGATTATCTTTTCAACGTTTGTTTTCCTAAAGATCATCCAGTCAATACCGGTGGTGTTCCGGAAGGATTGAAGCCCGTTGAGTTCAGCCAAACGGATGTTTCTGAGGTTGAGCCATTTCATGATCCCGATGCTCATGTGGCGAACCCTACTGGGTACATAGCCAAGAATTTAGCGCATTCTGGAAGTTCTTAGTGCGTGTTTTAGATGACTTCAAAGATACACCTACTCACTTTCCCGAGTAGCGGCTCTCAGTCAAGGGCCTATGGTTTCGTGTCTATGCATCCCGAGGGTGCCATATTGATGCTACCAGACGGTAGCACACATATTGATTTTGAGAATAAAAAGATTTTTCGCCCATACGCCACTCGTAACGCTCATCGTTGGTTCACCTACGTTGAAGACGCTCTGAAGACTTGTCCCTTTACATAATTACAGTCTTCTTCTTTCGGCGTCGCATCCTTTTGCAATGTATAAAAGCAGGAATTCAGCCTTGAGTTCAGTATCAATGGACACACACATATGCATTCGTGGTCGAAGCACCACTATGCCGAGTCACGATCTGGACCAAGGCTTCCTCCGGAAGATCCAACTGGCAGTGACCGACCAGTAAATCAGAGTATCTTCCTTCGAGGATTCAAGATCAACAAGCGGAAGACTTCCAAATGGTTCATTCTCTCAAGGATGGAACGTCTGGGATACAGCATCTCATGCGGATGGGCATAGTCGTCTCTCTGACCCTCAGAGAAAGGTGCAAGAGAATGTGAAGGTTGAACATGTTCTAAGTACTACCGCCGTGCGTTTTTGTTTCCCCATCAGTTGATGACTTACCAACAACAAACACAAATCTCATCTCGGCCTTATCATCCCTGTGACTCGATCAATACATCAGCAAATGCCGGAAAAACTGGCAACTGTTACCGGCTGTTTTAGACTTTTTCACTGGCTCACCCAAATCTTTTTCTTAATGGTGTTTGAGTACATACCTATACTATGTAATGAAGTAGCTGAATTAAGTGTTATATACCTGAAAATTATCTACAAGTATGTTCAGGAGCATCTAAACTCATTTGCCACCTTGGTGACTCGAACTCTGATTGAACTGGCAGAAATTTCGACTTGACTGGTTACTGGTGAACTTTTGGGCTTTTTGGGTTGCTGCAAGTCTCGGCAAGTCCAAAACAGTTCGGACCAGTAATTCCGGATATTACTGATGTAAGCGCATGCTATCGGGCTAGATCGGCCAATGATAGTCCGCGGAAGTTCCGCATCGTCTTTTTGTTTTATGGCCCCGTTCCCCATTGGCCTCGATGCGCAAAATTGATGCCTTATTGTTTAAGACCAAGCAAAAAAGGCCTAAGAAAGCAGAAGAAAGCCCGCTCATATCAGCTAATATCCTTCTTATTGTCTATGTGTCTTCCAAGGCACGACTATAGCCCAAAACGACAACGCTAAAACACAATTAGAGACATCGCTCTGCAAAAGAGAGTGGTATAAAACCCTCAGCTATTCTTGGAAACCCTCATCAGGTACCCATTTGACCTACCAGCCCCTTCCGAGTTTACCCACCACTCCGCTCACCTTCAAACACTTGAACTCGAGAAATGGACGCCTTCACTGCTCTTGCTTCTTATTTCGCCGCATCCCCTATCGAGACGACTTCGCTTCCTGCAGACGAGGAAAGCGGTAGCGGCGCGAACAGCTCATGCGTAATCGCATGAACAACGAGCTCACTATCATGCTTATGATTCGCATATTTTTGTGAGTAATGTCCCATTCACACCCTTGCTCACACATCAATACTTTCAGACACGAAACACCCTTTATATCAACAATGACGCTTTGTACATCAGTAATATCCGGAATTACTGGTCCGAACTGTTTTGGACTTGCCGAGACTTGCAGCAACCCAAAAAGCCCAAAAGTTCACCAGTAACCAGTCAAGTCGAAATTTCTGCCAGTTCAATCAGAGTTCGAGTCACCAAGGTGGCAAATGAGTTTAGATGCTCCTGAACATACTTGTAGATAATTTTCAGGTATATAACACTTAATTCAGCTACTTCATTACATAGTATAGGTATGTACTCAAACACCATTAAGAAAAAGATTTGGGTGAGCTAGTGAAAAAGTCTAAAACAGCCGGTAACAGTTGCCAGTTTTTCCGGCATTTGCTGATGTACGCTCTACTTATAGCGACTTTGGGCCTCCACATTTGTATATTTATCCACTTCGACATTCGTATTATCTGTCCTTTTTGGACAGACACCCTGTTGGGATTTCTGGAAGTACTCGGAAGAGCGTCCGTAGAAGGGAAACGGGGCTTGGAAGGAGAAGAAGAGAATACTTGAAGCTTGCACCAGTCGACGAGAATCCATTAATATCACAATCTAGTGTACTTAACAATTCTTTCGCTCAAAAGGAGCTAAGTTGTCTGATTGAACCTGATTGAACCTATTGAAGCAACTACAGATTTCAGAACAGCAGATTTCCACACACATAGCTTTACATTCCTTAATTTATATTTCTCTTTTACTGCTTTGCCATATTGAGTACTACTCGTCCCGCAATAGTACCATTCATCATCCCATCGTAGACATCTTTCAGGTCTGCCAACGGTCTGTTCACAAAATGCACATTCACCAGACCCCTAGCAGCGATATCGATCGCTTCTATAGCATCTTGTCTGTTGCCGACATAAGAACCGCAGATAGTAATGGACTTGAACACGGTGAAGAATATGGATGCAGACAAAGTTGCAGAACCGGGAAGCCCGTTGCACATGAGAACACCTCCTGGACGGAGATATTCGACGGCTTGCTCGTATCCTTCGGACTGAGGAAACCAAGTTTAGATGACTGAAGTAACAGGAAGATGATAAAACAACTCACAGAAGAAGCAGCAACAAGGGCCGAATGAGCACCCAATCCGTCAGTAGCATCTAGCACTTGCTTGACGGGCCACTAGCATTTGCAGTACCACCTGCAGTGACAGTCACTGCATGGTCACTGCAGTGCATCTGCATGCACCTGCATCACACTTATGGCATATAAATGCTGGCATTTATATGTATTTTGTCTAATCATGTTCTGTTATTTTGAGTTCATATTTGCCGCATGTTCAACTATTTCAGGATATGTCTATGCACATTGAGTTGATATATTGCTTGGTTTACAGAATTATGTAAATCCTATATGCTTAGTTATGTATGTCACATGCACTTCATTGTACTCACCCATCCATATTATTTGCAAAACCTGTGTGATCATGACAGTTAGGGTACTAGCTGTGAAAGCAATTTCTAGAAATCACTTCAATGCTGGGGAAGTGTAGTCAGTTTCTTAGACAAAAATCTAGGATGTACAGATGCATCTGCATGCTCCTACCCATCTGCAAAACCTGTATTTTTGGCTAAGGGTCTGAAAGTGGTCGAGAGCACTTCCCAGCAGTGAAAGCACCCAGAGCATGTTGCTTTTGGTGCTTTCAGTGCTGGGATCTGCTGGGATCTGCTCTCAGCCCTTACCCGAATATCCAGGTTTTGCAGATGCCTTTTGAATGCATTCACCTGGACTGTAACTGCACACATCCGCATTGTGACTGCATGCAACTGCACTGTAACTGCACACATTTGCACCTTACCTGCACTGTGCCTGCATCAGCCTGCACCTTACCTGCACTGTTACTGCATTCACCTGCATTGTTCCTGCACTTACTTGCAGTCTCACTGTGAGGAATAGGGCTCTGTACCTTTGCATTGAAATCATTGGGGACTGAAATCCTGCATTCAATCACAAGGCTCTGAGTGTCTCTATACACTACAAGTATTTTCAATACCTTTGGAAAATCATTGAGCCACCAATATTGTGAAGCTACTATCCCCCTATAATTCTCACAAATTAGGCACTATTGGCACTGAAATGTGGAGTTTATTCTGGTTTATTTGTGGATAGTTAAGATTATGAAGGGGAGGAAGTTACATTGATTTTGGCCAATAGTTCTGGAACATCATATAAAAGGCAAGGAGGCATGATGGAAATGTTCTTGCAATCTCATGGCATTGTCAGATTTAGGTTGAAGAACCTAACCAAGAGACACAGAGCCAAGAGGTGAGGGAGATTCAGATCGGGGGTACTTATGTTGCCACGCGAAAGGCCCTGACCAAGCCCAAGCCGAGCTGCACGGCATCCTATGACGGTTCGAGAGGCCATAAAGCTTGTTCAAAATCTTCGAATACCTGTGTTTGTGTCACTTATTGATGATATCCAACTACTTAGGTACAGTCTGGAAGGTATATGTGAGCTTGAAGGGCGTTTGAGACACTTCTGCAAATAGACCCTGCCTGGACTCTCAATTCATTTTGGGGGGGGGGGTCGTGAGAATCATGTACCCGATCTGAATCTCCCTCACCTCTTGCACAGAGCCATGTATAAACACTGGTCAAGGAGTTAAGAAAACAACTTAAACTGTAGGACATCTGCAAAACCTGTATTTTCGGCTAAGGGTCTGAAAGCAGTCGAGAGCACTTCCCAGCAGTGAAAGCACCCAGAGCATGTTGCTTTCAGTACTTTCAGCACTGGGATCTGCTGGGATCCGCTCTCAGCCCTTAGCCGAATATCCAGGTTTTGCAGATGGAGATACTTGATATACAAAAACTTTGATTTGAAAATTCTAGAGGATGGTATGTGTGTTGTTATACATTCATTTTTTGCTTTTTGGAGTTCTCCTTGGCCAAATTGTCATCATTTATCCACCACTTTTGAAATATCCACCCAAATTATTGATGGTGGAATTCGAAATTCTACCAGCTTTGTGAACACCAGCTGGTATCATAATGTAGTACAAGAGGATATTACTTACAAAGCTGAAATTCTAATGATACAAGATACAGAAAACCTGCATTGAGAATTAATGCCAAGAAGCCTGGCAGCGGACCCGACAGAATAATGAGATCACTATCCAATTTCAACCAAACATGCGATTGCAGGCCACTGCACCACCGTGCATGGCAGAAACTTGGCTCCTTTTTTGAGGGTTATTAAATACTAGGCTCCACTGCTGTGGACCACACCTTGCTTGGGTCATGTTCTCAACACCACTTCATTTTACTAGCTGACATCTATACCTATTATGTTACAAGTATGTTTCGTTCCAACTTCCACTGCCAAATACCCATTTCTGATCATGGAACTGAATTTCACACAAAGATGGCCAAATGTCATGTAAGCCATTGAACACCTGTTCAACATCTAAATCATAAGCATCAATGCGCAGTATGTAGATCAACCTGAGATTTTGCAGATGATGCAAACTCTGTCGCACCAAGTCCAATATCCTAGCCTATAACACCATGAATAAGAGTAAGTCTCCTTTGACACAAACACAAACATTGAACATAATGCTCTGTGTAAAGGTACATGGGCAGCTAAATGCTTTCATTGAAAGTACAACAACGGACGTGGCAGTAGAGCCAATGGATGGCATATAGGGATATTTTCATAATTTTTGTGTCGAGTTGGACAGCAACAAAACACCACAGGAGCATTGCGGTGAAGGTACAGTTGCCCCTCATATGCTCCATGTCAGCGTGGGAAATGGTGGTGGTGAAATGGTTGCAGCGTCAAATGCAGAGACAGAATATATTGTACCAGGATTGGACAGGCCACATTCCGTGGAACTGGACAGCAATACACAACAGGAGCAGTGCGATGAAGGTACAGTTGCTTTTCATATGGTCCATGTTGGGATGGGCAATGGTGGTGGTGAAATACATTACACAAACAAGAATGCGAGAATGACACAAGGTGAAGATACAAGGACATTGGCTCCTGCATCAATTTCAGAAACAGAATATATTAGACTGGGAGACCTGGACAGCCCACATGCAAAAGATGGCAAGAGTGCAGTACTTTTTTTGGCGGCTCTTCAGTGGAAGTACACAAAAGTTGAGACAGTAAGTGTGTGGTTGAATTTGGAGGAAGTTGCTGACGAAATGGAGAAGGTAATGTGGAACTACTTTACAACAAGCAGTGGGGTATTGTGAATTCAATGGAATTTGCAAGTGGAAGTGGGTGAAAAGCATCAATTGCAAGCAGAGATTGAGAAGATGAAGGACTGTGTGGGGCAAATGTATGAAAGATAAGTGGTGTTATTCATAATGTTCATCGATGCACCACGTGGGGTGGGTAGACATCAAGGGACTGGGAGTGTTTGTAAGTTATGGTTGAGAGAATCAAGGACAAAAGCTGACATATGGAAACAGACCATTCAGGAGGGGGTCCAGAAACACTTATAGGATGAGAATACAACAATAATGAGAGGCATAACACTATCTTTGGAACAAGAGTAGGCACAGGAGTTGGGAAAGATATGGAACCTGACATTACTTGGAGAAGAGATTTGTTCTTAGTGGCATTGAGAGGAAGGTTTGAACAGGTGCAAACAGTGAGTTAGTTGAGACATAAAGGTATGAGGTACTAAGAAGAACATACAACAGGCATGGTGGAATTTTGAGGCATCATACAAAGGACAGCTCTGTCTGCAGTGGCAGATTGTTGTTGAACTGAAGGAAGGTCAAAACATGTTAGAAGAGGTGAAGAGCATGGAGGTGTGTAGGAGTGTTGTGGTATAGATGTGTTGGATTAATGATGGTGTTCGTTGATGCCCCCAGAGGACCAACAAAGTATCAAGAAACACGGACACTGTGTGAGTAACATTTGAAAATGATTCATTTCAAACTGACAAGAGAATAGATCACCTGGTGGGAAGAGTGTTAACATTTGATGACTCACATACCATCTATGGAACATTGTTCTCATATTACAAACCACTATCTCACTATCGTGTTATCAGTCTCACCATCGTGTACTATTACTCTAGGACTACCAGTAGGATACATCGTATTGTACTTCCTTTCTCTCTCGCTACGTTTAGCTGTAACATGACATCGTCTACCTTGGACTTGTGTATAAACCTGTAGTATTTGTCTTGTCGAATAAGCAGTCCTCTCTACTCCTTCATCGTCTGATCTGTGTGATCAACTACAGTGCTGTGTGCACTCTATCTCTTACTGCCATTGCTGCTGAATATAACGTGATTATATTCTAACAAAGAGTTAATGGAGATTGGATGTAGGCAAAAGGCAGAGTTTGTAGGGGACAGTGGTGTATATATTATCAAAGAGTATTATCGAAGAGATAGAATATTCGGTATCTAAGTACATAAGTCATCAAAGGGAACGACATATTTGGTGTATGTACAGACGTGGGCAGTGGGTGAAAAGCGGGCCGAAACAAGCAAGTACAAAGCGGGGCAGACAGACACAAAATGTGCCTGCACATCAAAACTGTACAATTCCGGGGTGGAATAGACCTTGCAAGCAAGGTGATTATGGAATCAAATAAACGGGGCGTCTTAGGGGCGCCTTACGGGCACAGAACTTTTGCCGTAACCCGTGCGGCACCAGTCCCACGCAGTGCCGCACAGTTCCGCGCAATTCCGCGCAACTTTATGCAGTTCCGTGCAATCTGTGAATATACAATATTGTATACAAGATCCTCCCACATAGTTATATTGCTGCACAATTTGAGCTCCAGACAATGATATTGTACAATGGAGCTCTATATGTCCAATTTGATTCTCCTATCCTGAAATTTTATCTAATACTTAACTTTGTTCTGGTGTCTTACTAACAATGATTCAACAATTGAGAGCAAAGATATGATTGAGCAGATATTCTGAAGCTTATCTGCTTCATAATCTTCACATGTGAGTAATTACTAATTGGTATTTCTGAGATATTCTATGTAGTCATTGCCAATACTGCTATGTACCTGAATAGCAACAATTACATCAATAGTTTGAGGGGGATTGTCTGTTTAATGAGACTCTCATTGCTCTGATTGTTAGGTACAGAAGTTACATGTAGGATCTGCACAAGTTATATGCAGATCCGTGCAAGTTACATGCAGGATGCATGCAAGTCATATGCAGTTCCGTGCAACTTAAGTGCAGATCCGCACAAGTTAGGTGCAGATCCGCGCATGTCAACTGCAGATCCGCACAAGTTATATGCAGATCCGTGCAAGTCAGGTGCAGATCTGCACAAGTTATATGCAAATCCATGCAGATTGAGGGACAGAAATTTTGCAGTAACAGTTTTTGCAAAGTAACTGCCACACTTCACTGCAGTTCTGTCTACATCTAAATGTATCTCACTTGCCTGTCTGATTATTTTCAGCTTATTTTTTGTTCAATTGTTTTATGCTCTCTTCCTGTGTGTCAAGTTCAGATATTAGTCAGGTACACAAGTAAGAAACTGAGTCCCCTGATCAATATACATGTAATACCCCCACCATGGAATGACCTTCATGTCTATAACACCTGCATGAAAATGGGATACTATACACTGAATATACTTCATGATATTCTTGGAGGCTCATCCATTCACCATTGTTACCCTCATCTCCATAGTTTGTACACTTGCCAGAGATGTTGATTGAATCTGCAAAGTTAATCATAGAGATTGTCAAGAAGCTATTTAACTTGATCTAGTTTAATACAATTGCAAGGAACTACAAGCTTACTTCTCAACAGTGTTGTAGAGACCTTCTGAGTAGAGAAATCAAGACATGCTCCCACCAGACTAAAAGGTTGGTAGTCTCAATGAAGAGACCACTTTTACATCTCAATATCACACAGTATTGTCAAGGCCTGTAGTCATTGCCCATCATGTCTAATAACTGAGGATCAAGCATTTGTTGTCATTGAGAAATAATTGAAAGGTTGGAAGGATTACATACCTCAAGAATCTCATTCTCCCATTACTGAGACTAGGCAAAATGCTGCTCATCAAAAGTAGGTAAGAGTAAATTAGGTAAAAGTGCAATGCTTCCAGAGCTGGCATTGCATACAATTCATGATATTGACTAGGACTCAATGATTTGTTAGAATGGAATCCATATCAGTAAACTCTTCTAAAAGTATTTCTTGAAGTTATACTCTGTGGGGTCAGTGATCCGTGCAAGTTCCGCACAAGTTACACACATGTTTAGCGCAAAAGTCCGTGCATGGTTACGGCAAATGCTAATGGCCCGCGCCTTACAGGCGCCGACATTGAATGTTTTTTGAGAACAAAATAAAAGCAAAGTCACATAAACTACAGTAGCTATGGAGTAACGAGAAAAAATAATCGTGACAGAGTCACAGTCTCGTGATATCCCGTGCCGGTCACAAGAAAATCAATACAATTCAACTCAGTGTTACTTTTGTCTGAATAAGGAGAAACTCCTACCATATATAGTAGAAATTAATTTTGTATGGAATGCCGTATATAAGGACGATACTTCCGTAAACTACAGCCTCGTAATATCCACATATCCATTCAGGCCCTATGGGCCATTATACTGCCTGTTATTGTCATACAAAGCATTTATAGAATGGAATATTTTGTACAGTGGAGGATCATCTATTTACATATATATTTAAGTAACTGCAGTGCTACTGTGTGCTACTGCATGTCACTGCATATGTCACTGCAGGTCTACTGCACATGTCACTGCATATGGTACTGCAAATGTTCTGTGCCCATATGTAGGCAGGTGCGTTGATTTCCGGACACTACCACCTTTACCGAAAACATCACCACCTTCCAAGCTTCGACGATAACTCCTGTTCCCGGCCCAAACAGAATCATCCAACTAATATTTTCGTTGTTATCGATAACATAAAGCAAAACAATGATTTGCACAAATACATTGATTATGATATGGAGAATCGTGAGGGGAATAGTAAACGAGAATAGATACATGCAAATACCTACGATCTTATGAATGAATATTCAGTCAATGTTTGGGCATAGAGGATGATGCCACTGACATGAGAAACTCCAATCATCTGCACATGCAACACGCTGACAAACCCCGTTATTCCAAGCGTAATGTGTGCAGTTCGAGCCCCGACTGTTCTTCAGTGGGACAGTGTCGCGTTTTCGTTTCCTTTACAAGGGACCACAGATTCGCATTGAACGTAGCAAAGGAAACACTACAAGTAGGTGTGATAATGGAAGGCTGGTTAACGAACATAGTCTGATCTTGGTTTGAACACAATACAGGAGAAATATAGATGCCTATAATGATCAGTATACGCTTGTGTGATTGTGGGTTCAACGTCCATGCCGTTGTCCTTGTGGGTTACCCTGTGGTTATGGTCGTACAAAGACAGCTGTGATGGCGGACTGTCGAAGTCTATTTGCGAATGATTAGGTGAAGGTAGAATGAACTCATTGGGATCCGTGTCGAAATGGGACCGGAAATAGGGGTCCTTACATTAATGGGGCAAGATCCTTCCAATCAAGTTTATTTGGAGTTATAGGAGCTGAAGGTGGTTGACGGACTCTGTTCGTCGTCTCAACTGGGGAATTAGCTGTCGACTGCGAATCACACGAACGAAAAATGCTGGAATTGAGATTATTTTCTGCCGATGGAAGTTTCCAATTACCACCATCAAGGCTAGAAGCGGAGCTAGAGCAACTGTTTGATGGAGTACCATTTAACTGTAGATCAGCGCATTTCTACATTTGGCTGCTTTGCGGTATTTCTTGAGCTTTTGTGGGTGTTGTCCTTTGGGAAACGGACTGCACAGCACAGATGCATTTTCTTTCACATTGTATGAAAACACATCTAATTAACGCAGCTTAAACTCTCAAAGACAATGCATATGTGACCGATGCTTACAAGTTCTCTCAATCATAACGATTTTTTGTGTCATCCGGATCAGCTTGCATAAGTTTATTCAACATTTGCACCTCTTTGAGACCACCGTTGTGCGTACAAGAGACAAGGGTGAGTGTTGACTAGAGAAAAAAGCTAATGTGGCAAAAATGGATCCCTAGCATCACGCGTTCTTCATAACTACTTCATGCCTACTTCGTTTGCGTCGGGAATAAGCCTATCGACATTGGCAAACATGTCTTTTAAAAAAACTTGATATCTCCGACCGTGAAAATTATTCAGCCAGAATTACTGCACAGTATCCCTCAAATTCAGCTGCAGAGTCCAGCTTTGAAGCGAACAGTGCAGGGACGGACTTCTCCTCCTATTGGTTGTATCAGGTTAAAGGGATCTATGACATGGCAAGGAGACGTACTGTGACTTCTTCTGCCACCATCTATTGAACATCTTCTTCTTTGACATGTCGCTTCGACCGAGCAACATGCATTCTTCACCAATGTACAGGGTACCTCGACTCTTTACAAGACTATGAGCTCTTTCAGCGCCACTGACCGTCAATTTCGAGGCATAGTACACCCAGACACTCCCTCCGTTTCTGCCCTCTTGCGATTGAATTTTGCCAGACAAGAAGCGGACAATGATAATGGCCCCTGCGAATTTTACTCGGATGAAGGTATAGATAACCCTGGTCGTCACAGATATCTTCGAGTCCTAAAACCCGCGTCCAGGAATCAGTCGAAATCTGGTAGTGGATACATCACTCACTTGTATGACTCTGGGGACGAAGAAATACGTCGACGTTATCCATGGATGAGCGACTCATTGATCTCGCATACCAAGACGATAGACTGAAAATTAGTGCCACAACAGACCGAACATACAGATGACGAAGATCACGTCTCCGAACCGCCGTTGCAGGATTTGCTCGACAACAGGATTCTCAGTAAGTTCGTGTCCCTCCTCTGATGTAGTGAAATTCTGACGATGATTGATAGACGAAACCGTGATGGACGCCCATAGGATAGCTTCCAACAGCACAGAATAACATTGTGTTCACAAGCTCGCAGTGTTGTACATATGCCATCTCCAATCATCTTCACTCATGTTCTATGCCATTTTTGAGTATAAGGAAGTCTAGAACCTGAATGAACGCACTCCAAGGGCTGCATTGATCCCTCCCTGAAAGGCCAATGGTTAGAAGCACAGACAGACGCGACATATGGAGTAAGTTAACCTGCACAGAAACAGTGTGACTCCTAGTAGGAAACAACTTGATGATACAGGCGGTATTGAAGCCAGCTTATGCTAAACCGAATGCTGCTCGCAACACAGCTCCTCGCGCACCACTATCGAAAACCCGTCAGCAAGATTAGAGAGAGAAACTAGGCAGCACATACACAACAATAGCATCATAATCATATTCAATCAAAGGGTATTTTCGAGATGTCCATGACTAAAGGACCGATTCAGCTGATATACATTTGGAGAACAAAATGAACGTTACCGAGACTTCTTAAGCTTTGACAGGATTTGTAGAAACAACCTTCTGAGCAGACAAAGAAGAATGAAGGGAGCGTCAAGAGCGGGATATGACTCTGGAGCATGTTCCGCAGCTTTCCGTGCTTGAAGCTAAGAAGAGCAGCTTCAACACGAAATTGCCCCCTACGATCATGCCAAATCCGGACACGATCCGCAGGACGGACTGAACACAGTCCTTAGGTTTGGAAACAGGCCAGGAAAAAAGGCACATACAACCATTTTTGGTGAAGGTTCGTCCTGATGAAGAGCTAGGGCGGTCTTTGTTAGGTGAAGAACGACTAGAAACTGTAATCAATCATAGCTTGGCGATCAGGGTATATATGATTAACCTGTTGTTGGCTGATGAAGGTGGAGGCGAAGGATAGCCAATGGCTGCAGCCTACGTCCTCTTGGCCCGCTGGGCCTCAGCAGCCTTTGCTCGCGCTTGCGCCTCCCTCTTCTTTCTCTCTTTTTCCTTATCCTTTCTCTACGTCTATCTTCCTCTTTCCGCGCACGTTTGGCGGCCGCAGCAGCAGCAGCTTCCGTCTCTGCTTTTTCTCGGGGTTGTGCCTCTTTCGCCGCAAGATCCTCCTTTTCCTCTTCCTCCTCTGGTTCCTCTTCGAGGGGAGTGGATCTTGGTGCAGTCTGCCGGTTAGAAGGCGCGAGCTCAATATATGACGCAGCGACCACTCCTTCCGCGCCTTCAGCATTCCGACATTTCCACCACTCGTCACCATCTTTTTGTAGCACCAATAGCTGTTCGCCCTCGATCACAGATAATTCATCGTCTCCATCGGCAGTAAACGGATAAAGCGCTACAGCCATTTCTCCCTCCTCTTCTGGTTCTTCCTCTTCTGCTGCTCCTCTGCTTCACGGGGAAACGGTATAATTGCGGGGGACTCGGGAGCAAAATGTACGGAGGCTTTGACTGCTCTTGTTGGAAGCGAACCTAACCAAGGTGGCGGAGGAGATCTGCTGGGTGTCGGCGCAGGTGCTTCCTCCGAAGGTTGAAGAGCTAAGGCTTTCGAAGATTCTAGCTGCGCGACAATCGCTTCGCAGTTGCTCTTGGAGCCAACGTTGAAATGTAAGCTGACTCCGCCCTCAACATCAAAGTGGACATGTTTAGCCTTTTCAACATTTATATTACTGAAAGAGCTTGTGGGCCATTTCTGCACTGCGGCCTAAGTGGAGGGTGAGTAGACATAGAGGTGATAAGTTAGCTATATATGCACCTTGCTGGTTTCACTGGCGAAGAACACTGCTCCACTACCTATACCGAGTATTCCCTTCATCTTCTTTCCTTTCTTGTCGACCTCGGATACAGACCAAGTCTTGATATCATCGGCGTTTAGTTTGGATGATGCGACTCTATCTGCAGGATCGACATAGGTGGGTGGAGAAGTGGTGGGCTGGGACAGTGATCAAGATACAGCGGCTTTGGCGAGGGTGTTGAATACGCACTGAAGGTGGAACTATAATCCGTTGATCTGCCAGCTGCTCTTCCGTTGCCTCTTCTTCAGTGCCTTCTACATGTGTCTCTACGTAGTTCGCTCGTATATAGCCAGCTTTACTGCCCTCGTTGGTGCTTTCAACCAGCAACCACTCATTATCAGGCTTGAAAGCAAGCGAGATTTCGGCCTTGATAATCGAGAGTTCACCCGGAGCACTATTGTATAGAGCCGAATCCATAGAGAGATGAAAATTACTTTGATTATCAATATCAGATCCTTTACCTTTCGCCATGAGCAAACTTAACGCTGGGGCCTTCGAATTTGTGCCAGGAAAGATCTTTGCTCTTCCTCTTCAGAGCTTCCAGCAGAATCAAGCGCCTCTGCCCCCGCCAATCGAGCGTCCACTTCCTGCCAACGAGGGCCTTGAACTATCATGTACAGCGGAAGCGTCATCTTGGAGTACCAGGAATGGATTCGAGATAACAGAATAGTATGCCATATGCAGAGCTTTAAAAATCTAGAGGGATAGATAGGTTATGAAGTGGAGATGATAGTCGATTGTGATGATTTCTACGTGCCATATTGAGATCCACGACCGCTACCAAATGACTTGTGAGCTCCACAAACTCCATCGTATGTCGCTCAGAGATCGCGCACCTTTGAACATCAATAAATTCAAGCATGTTTGCAGCGAGACGTGTACAATATGAGCAGTCCAGCAGGGAGCTTGAATTGCAAGCCTACCCAACTGTGGTGTAGAAGATATAACTTATTGCTGTTTTCACAAAAGTTGGCGCCTCGGTCACACGCTTTACTTTTTGGCTTCAAAATGATACTGAACGAAAACATCGATATCTCACTCGTTCCTCGACCGATTACTGTAAAACTTAGTGCATTGACAAGCTGTAGTATACGCTCAGAGCGCCCCATGGTTATTTCTTCCAAAATATATAATTTTACAAATCTCAGCTATCAAATGGTGCCAAATGAAAACAAAGATATCTTGCTCAAATTTCCACCAATGACTGTAATTTTTAGTGCGTTGACAAGCTGTAAGGCATCCTTAGAGCGCCCCATAGTTGTAGTATGTGGTAGAGTGAAATCAATTCGAAGCTGTTTGTTACTGCTTGTCCTATCCTTTGCGCTGCCTTCTTGATGTTACACCCCATCTCACTGCAGTATGACTCGCGGAAAGCCTCTATCTGAAGACCTTCGCCACACAATCATCAACCTTCATCGCAATTGTGTGTCTCTTGATGAGATTGTTACAAAATCAGCATGCAAACGTCGGACACTGCAATGCATCCTGTCTCAACACCGGAAATGCATCCAAGGCACTCTACTTCTTACCACTGACCTTCGAGGGAGAAAACGGAAGATTAGCATCAAGGATATGAAGGTATGTTGTTCTTTAGCTTGTGTATAGAAGCAATACTAATGGAAGGACCAGCTTATTCACGGGTTACTTGCACACACACCGGACATGTACCTTGATGAATTGAAGCAACAGTTAGAGGAGCGACGAGGTACACAGGTTAGCATTACAACAATATGGAAGACACTTAGGCAGACTGGACACAAGCTCAAGAAGGTACAATATCTTGTCCTCGACTGACATTCTCGTCATTTATCCGTATATCACAGATTACTCGTGTTGCAATTGAACAAGATAAATTCAAACAAGCACAGTTCAAATCAACATATTCACGCTTATATCAGGCTGCGCAACTTGTCTTTGTGGATGAAAGCTCATTTGATAGACGGACACCATACAGATGAGTACGTGCTGGTGTTGCCTGACTTTTGGATGGAGAGACTCCGGAAAAAGACATTAGCAGTCTAGCGGCAACGGTATCATCAATCTCAGCACCTAAATTGCTGTGACATGCATTGTAAGCTGGTATGCCTCTGTGGTAAGGTTTTGGAGTGGGGCGAGGTGGTCAAAGGGGAGCATCGGGAGTGAGTGATTCATCACTGCTCAGTTGATCCTCTTCTATTTCCTGAGTTGATTTTTTGTTCTTGTGGCTTCCAGACTGCCTTCTTTTAGCATTCTTCTTATTGCCCATTGAGACAATGAAAAGAGAAACAGCGAGGAATGAGTCGCCTGATAGTTCAGGGTCATTTTCTGGCCATATGTGACATTCCTCAACTTCTACTGCCTGGGTCACACCATTCAAGATACAACTATGGGGCACTCTGAGGATACCTTACAGCTTGTCAACGCACTAAAAATTACAGTCATTGGTGGAGGATTGAGCAAGATATCTGTGTTTTCATTTGACACCATTTGATAGCTGAGATTTGTAAAATTATATATTTTGGAAGAAATCCATGGGGCGCTCTGAGCGTATACTGCAGCTTGTCAACGCACTAAGTTTTACAGTAATCGGTCGAGGAACGAGTGAGATATCGATGTTTTCATTCAGTATCATTTTGAAGCCAAAAAGTAAAGCGTGTGACCGAGGCGCCAACTTTTGTGAAAACAGCAATAAACAACACACGCCGGCCCGACACTTATGAACTTTTTCGCACGCTTATACGAACTCAAAGCCCCTATGCCACTTTTTCACTACTCTCTCAACTATTCCCTTGCAAGACAGCGGGACCTTGTGCTACATCCTCACGCTGGAACACCAATGCTGGAGGTGAAAAGAGACACACTTAGCCAGCCGCACTGGGTCAGGACTGGCTCAACATGAGCCTTCCCAGCTCTTCCCGGGGGAGCTGCGATAACGGCCAACAGGTCACTAGTAGCCATTCCATCAGAGCCGCCTACAAAGAAACATAAATCAATCCCGTCGAAGACAGGGCAGGGACATCGACTTTCCATGTTCTTTGTCTCGGAATTCCATCTGGTCTTCCGGCGGATGTATGGAAAGGTATTGACAACATTATTTCAACGGGAAGGTAATAAGTTATCACAGGATGTACAAATGTAGCTAAGGCAATGACTAACCTCGAGGGAGTACATGACAGAGGTTCTACATGCATGGTGGGTCCCTCGCGGAAGGAAAAAATACACGAGGAGGGGAATATAACACCCAAAAGAATATTACATGATAATCAGAAGGCGAGCAAAATCATACTCAAAACAAAAAATCCACAACGGACTTCTGCCGCCACCCCACTGTTGAATACAAAGGTTTCAGGAGCCTTATAGTTATTGAGATGTTCCAGTGGTAAGATCAAGACTGGAAGGGGAGGAGAATCTCGACCTTTTATTGCACCGGATGGTCGGCTTCGGAACATATTTATGGACATCAATTTTATGTTGATGCAAGCGAGCAGTGTCGTTATATGCTTGTTGACATCCATCAAATGGACACTTGTACGGCTTATTGCGGGTGCTTATGATAATGAATTTGTAAATAAAATTGTAAGATAGTAGAGGTTACGCTACTCACTGTTTGGAAGCAACATGTACGTTCATGCAGGTTTTCTACGATCAACAAAAATCAATAAGAGGGTGATATTTTGAAAATAAAATGTACCTGAGAAAACCTATCCCTACAAAATGGACAGATAAAAGGTCTGGGGAATTTGAGTGGTAAGTCAGTCATATAGTGCTCAGCGAAGCCAGAACATACTTGAATTTCATATGTTTATTTTCAACGTGGCGCTTCACTAATTGCTTTTTGGCTAGGTATTTGCAAGTTTCCCCGGGCCACAGGCAAAGATACTTATTGCTCCCCACATGTACCGCAAATTCTTCCCACTTTCGTGACAAATTGGAATTTCGAGGTGCTTTGTCCTTGGCTGTGGAGCCCGGAGAGCTCGGGCTTGTAGAACCTTGTGAGGCCGTCGTTGATGACGAAAGATCGGTGATGATTGGAGGAAGAGGGGTTCTGCGAAGGGTTTCAGCCTTCGGTTGGGACGTTATTGGGGCAGAGTAACAAGAAGTTGTACAATCTGAGGTACATGACGAATATGAATCGGCCTTGTCAAACAGCTCCTTGCGTGTGCGAATGACTCGAATGCTCCTGGATATCGAAGGTGAAAAGAGGACGGATAGAAAACATTAGTCTGCTTACCCTAGAGGAATCATAGAGTCATGAAAGATGTCGCTGTGATGGCTGTGTGAGTCGTCGATAACCGGGAGTTGTCAAATTTCTGTAACAATTCACTTACTCTTTGTCCATAGCCTCATCTTTGTACTCACTTCGAGTTCGCTCGAGAAAGCCACATTTGGAGATAGGAGTTGTGCAATGCGAGGTGGGTGCTTGCGAAGGGCAGCTCGACGACGGAGACCATGCTTTGCCAAAATTCCAAAACATGCAAGGGTCATCTAGTTTAGAGGAAGGCTTCAAGCTGAGCCAACTGAAAGTGGCGGTTGTGGCGGTGAAATTTCCGACAGAGGCTTCATGAATTTCATGGAAGCTGGGTAGACAGACTTTCTCGCGGAATCTAGGAATAATACTCAACCGACCGAATTTATCCCAATAGATATAGCAACCTCTGGGACACAGTCGTAACTTCTTCTCTGGAAAAAGCGGTTGGCACAAAACAATTCTTGTCAAACAAAACACTGAAGTACCTTTGTCTGAAAGCGAAACCATATCTGAACTCCGATTCAAGCCGGGATATGTCTTCCTGCATGCTAGGATTGAATGATTGGTGGCGGTGATCCCCAAAGGTGGTAAAATTCGAATTGGAGGGTGCTGCGAAGGATGTCAGTAAATACGAAGCCAATGGACGATACATGAGGTTTGGGATGGTGGACCCCATGAAATTGTAGTGCCAGGGGGCGCATAATACGCTTAATAGAGAACAAGACTCACCTAAAGTGAAAGTGATGCAGTGGTCGGGATATACGCAGGGTTGGATATTCCTTGAGGAGGCAAACGTATAGTGTGCTTCTGGAAAGGTGCGGTGGAAACAAAGGAGGCAGGGACAACTTCAGCAATTTCTTCCGTATTTATATACTCCGTTCACAAAAGGATAAGTGTTGGACGAGAAGGCAAGGCTAAGCGCTAATCAGAATTGTCTTTGTCACGTTACCAATTATCTATTGGATTTACCCTCGGAGTATGATGGTCATCCGAAAGAAAAGACGCAACAACCTCGCAACAACGTGACGTTTGGAAGATGCGTGGAGATACCCGCATTTCCGGATCCTTAGTGCCGTGCTTGCACAGCAATCCCCGACTCTGAATATTTCTGTTACTTGAGCCGTGGAGGCTCCTCATTGACATCTTTCACTGGCATTGGGCATCATGATACATGCCAGAAGCCTAAGGTCAATTTCTACTTGAGTTACAATGATTATCATCAAGTTGAGCATTGAATGAGGCTGGATATGGTATCCAGAGTGGTGGCTTGAGCCCTCTTGAACCTTGGAGTATGTATGTAGATGGAAAAAATTGAACTTATGGAGAACAAGACAAGATTAATGACAAAGTGCCTTGAATCACTGTACATATTTACCTAATTGTCTGAGAGCAGTTAAGATTGCATCCATAAAGACTAGAGAGCAGCTGACAGTGCTCTCCAGGTTTTGCAAATGTGCTCTTCAGGACTGGAATATGGACTTTTTTTGGTAATGTAAGCTCAGTTGACTGTCAAGCAACTGTATTAAAGTGTGTATGTAAGCTAAGTTATGTTAGTGTCTGTGTGAATTTAGTAGTATGTTTGCAAGCTCACCTCAGTTGGCTGTAAAGCAACTGAGGGACTTGAAAATGTTGCAAGCATGATCTAATGTTAACTGTACAGTATCTGTAATAACACTGTCTTGTCTTTGTATGTATTCTGTGTGCAGAGTATACCTCAACATTTTTTGATCAATCTGAAAAACCAGGATGTTCATAAGAGCAAGGATACTAGCTGGACAGTGCTGTCAGCTGCTTTCAAGTTCTATTCATCATGATTGTATGCACTTTGTGTGGAACTCAGTCTCAATCTCCGAGTCCATTTCCTCATCCACTAGGATGCTTCCTCCAAGGATAAGAAGAGCACATGCATGCCACCTCATTATGTACTCAACAAGTTTTTTAATAGAGTATGGCCTAGAATACTGACAACACTGTGGGGATGAAGCACTTTTCTCATGAAGAATAAGTTGAAAAATTTGAGAGTTTTGTAAAAAAAAAATTGTAGCTGAGATTATTTTGGAACAATCTGCTAAGGATTAGGCTGAAATTAATATAGGAATATTCAAAATAATCATGTTTCCTGCCATGTTCATGATTGTTGCATGGAGAACATTTCAAAAAGTCTCAGCAAACTCTAATAGAGAATTTTTAGAGAGTTCTGTACCTAATCTTTTCATATTCACTACAAGATTAGGGTTTCATCTCCGCAGTGCAATGGATTTCTAGCTGGTATGTAGTGGCCAAGGAGGAACCCAGCAGGAACCCATGGATCATGATCATCGGACCGTATTTAAATTGATTACTAATTGATCATCAGTGCAAAATGATCTCACAAAAAAGGCCCGTTTGAACCCGACAAGGACCTCCTCTTTCAGAGTCGGTGAAGGTGCATTTACAGTTCTGTCCATTTCAGGGTATGTATTAAGATTGAGTGATGGTCAAAATCGCAAGGCAATCTTGATTACTCTTCCAGTCAAGAGGTGAGGGAGATTCAGATCGGGGGTACTTATGTTGCCACACGAAAGGCCCTGACCAAGCCCAAGCCGAGCTGCACGGCATCCTATGACAGTTCGAGAGGCCATAAAACTTGTTCAAAATCTTCGAATACCTGTGTTTGTGTCACTTATTGATGATATCCAACTACTTAGGTACAGTCTGGAAGGTATATGTGAGCTTGAAGGGCGTCTGAGACAGTTCTACAAATAGACCCTGCCTGGACTCTCAATTCATTTGGGGGGGGGGGGGGGGTCGTGAGAATTGTGTACCCGATCTGAATCTCCCTCACCTCTTGCTTCCAGTGCACATCGAGCAACGAGAAACTAATATCTGATATGAAAATAATTGCCAAAATTTGTGGAAAGAAGCTAATGTGGGAAAAATACAGCGATATTTGATACAATCTGATGTAAGAACATTTTCAGAAAACAATGACTGCTTGAGTTGTCCAACTTTGGTTAGTAGTTTGAGTTTGAAGTCAAAGGACTGATCCTCACATAAATTTAGGGCATGAGCATGGGCTCAAAGGAAATGCTACCGGCAGATGCCTGGAAAGTCACGTCAGAACTCCAATCATTTTCTTCCTCATCCGTCCCGGAGATCACCCTGGAGTATCGTTTGACTTTGATCTGGAAACAAAGCACCTGCCGGTAAAGATTTGGATTGTACAGTGCCAACAGGCACTTCTCATCACCCGATCAACTGTAAAAAGTACAAATTCTTAGAATTTTTTCAGAGCTTGTAGTTAACATCGGAATATAGCCAAATTATGCTCATTTGACTTGTAGAAGATCTATATACCTGGCTTGTGCTTTGCTAAGCCTATGGTCAACTTTTATTTTTACCCCCACTGACCGAAAATGAACCAGCTTAGTCATCGCCTAATTAGGAAGATGCCTTCTATATATGGAAGGTACACGTGGTCACTACATCGTAAGGACACGATGTTCCAGCTTGATTGTCACAGGTATACGGCGATGGCTGGTATATTTCTTGACAGCATGTTCAGCCTGTTTGATATTGAGCCCATGTCTGAGGAAACAGTAGAAATTAGAGCATGTAGGAATACTTCCAAAGGAAAGTTTGCATGCTTGTATGCATCCATGCATCAATAACCATATTGTAAGTAACAGCAGATAGTGTTTATGGAAATTTGAAGTATCAGGAGTAGTGGGCGACGCATCTATCACTCCAATACTTTTGATTTTTTCTGAGTCGAGAAAGTGAACACCGTGGGAAAACATTGCCAAATGCGGAACATATTTCTTTCTCGACGTGAATAGCATTCTTTTGGTTGGTTTCATTCCAAAACTATTTTTATTATGATTTTAACTATTTTTTTCCACTCAAACTTGACCTGTTGGAGAAGTGCCTGTTGGCACTGTAGCATTGAGCACGTGGTCTTTTTTAGGGGTTTCACGGGTCTTTCGGGTTGAGGGCCCCGGAAGCTCTACCAGAACCCTGTCCGGGCAAACGCTGTAAATACGCAATGTTTTCGGCCTAAAATACGCTATAACGGACAAGGTTAATCACGTGAAATCCAAAAAATTACCCGAAATTTCCAAAAATGGCAGTATAAAATACTTAAAAAATATAAATTTGAATTTTGCTTTTGGTTCTTCTAAACTACGTTATAACAGACAAGGACTGACCCACTGAGCTTCAATCTATGCTCTATTTGGACAAGGAAATGGCAAATTTTGGCCTTTAAAATACGCAATTCCGGACAGGGTTCTGGGGGGAGCTTCCGGGGGCCTTTGGGTTGTCTCCCCACATCAATGCTCACAGAGTCCTCCTCATTGTATGTCTCATTGACCGCTCCATTGCTGATTGGAGAAATAGAGTGATGCTGTTTCCACGGGATAATCAAAGTATCATACCTTGACCTGCCTATCCTACCCCTACAACCTAACTCCTACCCTACTACAATTTCACGGGACCTCCCAACCCCCCCATAAACTCCCCCACCTTAGTCCAGTCTTGGCAATACACCCAGGATTCCCCTTAACCCCATCCATAGAACTCACCTGCCGCAACAACCTGTTAAAATCATGTACACTGTGAAACT